TTTTGATATATTTAGAATGTGACCCTGGAAATTCAGCTTGTGGTCGATGAGAACGCCAAGGAATTTGCCATCTAATTTGTTACAAATTTGGGTATTGTTTATTTTGAGATTTATCTGATTAGAGGATTTATTGCCAAACAGAATATAAAACGTTTTGTCAATGTTAAGGGTGAGTTTGTTGGCAGTTAGCCAAAGATGGACTTTCTCTAGCTCAGTATTTACTGTGGCATTTAGAGCAAGGGGGTCAGGACTGGAGTAAATGAAGGTTGTGTCGTCAGCAAATAGAATTGGTTTGAGGTGTTGGGAGGCATTTGGAAGGTCATTAATGTAGATGAGAAAGAGGAGAGGGCCAAGTATGCTGCCCTGAGGAACACCAATGTTGATGGGTAGGGTGGGAGAAATTGTATTATTCACAGAAACATACTGGAGCCTGTCAGTAAGATAAGATTTGAGGTAATGCAGGGAGTGTCCTCTGACTCCATAATGATGTAATTTAAGAAGGTTTTGATGGTTGACAGTGTCAAAAGCCTTACGCAGGTCCACAAATAACCCAACAGGAAACTCCTTTTTATCAAGAGCTGCGTGAATTAAGTTAATCATACTAATAAGTGCATCGTTAGTGCTTTTTTTGGGTCTGAAGCCATATTGACAAGAGCTAAGTATATTGTGTTTGGCTAGAAAAGAGTAAAGCTGCTTGTAGATTAGCTTTTCGAATATTTTTGACAAGTTAGGCAGGATTGATATAGGTCTGTAGTTGTTAACATCAGTGAGATCACCACATTTGTAGACAGGGGTTACCCTTGCTTTTTTTAGAATGTCAGGAAAGGTTTGGAGTTCAAGTGACTTGTTGAAGAGCAATGCAATAGCAGGGGCTAGAGATCTGGAGGCTTTTTTGTAAATTAAAGTTGGTATCTCCTCGAGGGCACTAGACTTGGTTTTAAGGGAAAGGATTATTTCATTGACATCAGTGGAACTAGTAGGCTTTAGGTACAGAGACTGTGGATAGTTACCTGTAAGATAGTCCTTAACATCAGTACAGGAAGATGGAATATCATTTGCAAGGGATGACCCAATGGAAGAGAAGAACCTATTGAACTCAATAGCAGAATCAGAGGCTGAAAGCTGACCAACGTTATTGGAAAGGAGTGTTGGTTTGTTATTTAAAATCTTCTTTGATCCCAATATTTGTGAAATTGTGCTCCAAGTTTTTTTAATGTTGCTCTTTATTTGGGTAAATTTATCTTCATAGTATTTAGTTTTGGCTCGTCTAATTATTTTAGATAGCAATAACGAGTAATTCTTTGAGAATTCTTTGGAGACTGTTCCTAGCCTATACTTCTTCTCAAGGTCGTGTTTTTTGTTAATGGATTTAAGTATTCCCTTTGTAAGCCAAGGATTGTTAAGTCTTTTGCTTGTGACTTGTTTTGTAAGCATAGGACAGTGGGTGTTATAAAGGCTAAGAGTTGTTTGTAGAAAAGATTTCACTGCTAGGTTGATGTCCCCTATGTTACCTAACTCGGACTCCCAGTTGACATTATCAGCAGCAGTTATAAAATTGTTTATAGCAGTTTCATTGTGCAGCCTAAAGCTTAACTCCCTTGTCTCTAGAGGTGGTTTGCTAATGTTAGTTAAGAGAAATGTGGGGTAATGGTCTGTAGTGCTATCGGTGATTATACCTGAAGTAAGCGGAGAGGTTATGTTGGTCCAGATGTGATCTAGAGTCGTAGCAGTACTATCAGTGATTCTAGTTGGTCTAGTGATTAAGGGTATGAGGAAGCAGGAATTCATACAGTTGAGGAAGCTAACAGCAGTAGGGTGTTCAGGCTCGCAGAGGTCAGTATTAAAGTCCCCTGCGATAATTAGATGGTTTTTGTTCAATCTGTTATCTAGTATTAGATTTCTAAGGTTTGAGTTGAATTCAGACACATCAGTGTTAGGAATTCTATAGACTGCACCCACAGACAGGACAGACTCGGCACCCTTGACTCTGAAACTGGCGAAGATATACTCCCCACAGCAGTCTCTAGTTCTAATTATTTTTAAGCATGTTAGTTCTTGGTGGTAGTAAAGAGCAGTACCACCACCTCTCTGCATTTGACGACAGTTGTGAATTGCCGAGTAGTTAGGCATGTTAAAGAGTTGAGTATTATCCTCTTTATAAAACTTCATAAAACCCTTTAAAACACTAAACAATTTGGAGGATGTCGATCAGAACAATGTCTTTAAAAGGTCAGATGTTACACGAACAAGGCGCAACAGGTTCAAACTCAACAAGTCAGAATGTTGGACAGGAAACAGGAGAGGCTTTTTCACCCAATAGGGTTGTAAACCCGTGGAACCGCCTGCCCGCCTAAGCCGTAAATACCAAAACTCTACTGGGTTTTAAAATACAGCTGGAAAAGACCATCAGGGCAAATGGGGGAGGGACCTTTGACAAGCCGCCGGCTTACTGTCCTCATCGAGGCCACTAGTGTTAGCTAGTGGCCCTCAGGTAAATTCAGTTCCTGGAGGGGTGTCCCCGCTCCATCCTGTTGGGAAGTTGGTCATCGAAATGACAGTACTGTGGAGAAATGCCCGACAGACCACTGGAACATAATCTAACACAGTGCACAGTTACAAACCCATTAAGATTTCAACTTAGATTGAAGTTGTTAAACACATATGGCAAAATCTTACTAAAGCGACCATACGAGTCATAAATACTCACTACGTCAGGCAAGACGTCATTCCACTACCTAGATAAGTTACTTCTGCGGCCAGCGGGCACCTCGCCCTTCGTTGGGTGGGGGATCGGCTGCGCCGGATCCCCAAGTCTAGGGCTGCCCGCAGCTACTTACCATATGTCAAGTGCTCACTTGTAGTGCAAGTTGGGGGTTGCAGACTTTACATGTAAACTAGGCACTAGCATATCATTACCCCTGGAAATTCTTATCTGTTCTTTTCTATGCCATCTGTGTATACAGAATATATTTTATACATACTGTACTGGCTGTGCCACTCAATTAACTCTGGCGTTGTCTTTAATTATAGCATTAAGCTGATTGCGAGTACTACAACATTGCTTCGGCTAGCTGGCACTAGGCACGGTTAATGTGCTACGACTTATTTCCTTAGTTGCATCTTTGCAGTACTGGCATTCTACTCAGTCATGTTATACGACATCTTTTATATTGTGGTACAGCAGTTGCTCTGTAAAATTATTTAATAAATTAAGGTCCCCCCCACTCCTGGCTTGTTTTTTCTCCCCGATCAAAAATACTCATACTCCGCCAAGTAAAACAAAAACAAGCAACACTTAGTGGGCCAGCCAGAGGCTTAGGGCCCGCGCAGGAATATCCCTGCAAAAAAAAAAAAAATCTAGGATAGGGAAAAAAAATCTATTGCAGTATTTGTACACAGGACTGTCGCGTGTCACTAAACTTAGTTTTTAAACTATTAACTTGTTGAAATAATATCTTATACGCGATAATAATTCTGAATACGCAGTGCGATAAAATTTACGAACGCGGCTTTGGGTCGGGCGGCTGTGTTGGCGAGCCTGGCCTGAGGACAGGCAACTGTAAATGTTTCACCCTCCACATACTTCAAGTGCAAATAATTGCCAACAGAACCTAAACACCGAACCTACTATACGCCTAATTAAACATGGAATATAAAATTAATTTATACACGATTAAAACTTATTTTTAATACACAGTACATAAGACTCGATAATAAATGCGTCTTGGGAGGTGGGGGAGGGGTCGACCGCCGCGTTAACGAGCCTAGCCTGACGACGGGGTGGTTTAACAATGTGGAAGTGTATTCTACATAATATCCTATCATATAATGTTCGCAAATTATGATCCTTAAAATCTACCACAATATCTGAGAGAGGACAGACTATTGAGCATTAGTGGAATACAAACATTTGAATTTTTTTTTACTACAGAACCAATATGGAAAAAATGACCGCCGGAGACATCACAAAAACTCAAATCAAATCAAATCTAACTCAGTGTTATAATAGCAAACAAATGTATAATGCATTAAGCATTGTAGGTGGAGGTAGACTATATATTCCTGCGTACCTCTCAACTGCAAAGGCATATTAGCAAAAAAAAAATTACAGTATCAGCCTTACCTACACGGGAGCGATGTAGCTCGCGCCGCTGCTTCCTAACGACTGGCAGGGTGGTAGTCAATGAACCGTGAGCGACCAACCGACCCAGAGACTCTCTGCCTAAAACTATTTGAACTCCATATTGAAAGTGGCTTTACAAGACTGTAATTACCATAATTGTATCCTCACATTCCTTATGTACATTCTTGTATATGCATAAATAAATAAAATAAATAAATAAATAAATTCCTAGCGTATAGCGTCAGGATTGTGTAAATTAATATTTATATGCATTATAGGCCTTTCTAAATGAATTTATAGATCTGAATATCATATATTGTCTAACAAACGAATTATTTAAGTTATTATTTTAATTATGCCAAATACAAGTCTCATCGCACACAAGAAGATTCGTTAATTCAATTTCTTCGTCGGCGATTCGTTTTATTTTTTCTGCGGTTGGAAGAAAACGCGCACAAAGAGTGGGAGACTTGTTTATTTTAATAATAATAAATAATTATAATGAATAATAATAAGTATAATGAATAATCAATAATAGTAATATGTATTAAATCAATACAATATATATATATATATATATATATATATATATATATATATATATATATATATATATATATATATATATATATATATATATATATATATATATATATATATATATATATATATATGTATATAAATACGTAAAAATAAAAATTTGTATTTGTATTTGTAATATTGTGTCCGAAATGGTAAAACATATGTGTGCGATCCGTCTTCTGTCCCACCTGACTAGTTGGTACAGTAAACATTATACATAAAACAATTCATGATTATTCACAAGTAAATCAGATTTGGAATCACGTAATATTATTGTTTATGGCCCAATAGAATGCGAGTGTCAGTGGTGTGTTATACGTTGTGTGTGTGTTAAGCCTGGTGGGTGACGTCACTAGTGCCAGGGTAAACACGGTCCAGGGGTCAGACCCCAGGCTGGTCCTCTATCACCTTCACTACGGCGGTCAGTTGCTCTATTTACTCGGTTTCTTATCGCATAATATGTCAATGTTTTTAAAAGGGCCTAGTTATGTTTCTTGTTAAGTGGAGAAGGTAAACTTGCCCGAAACGCTATGCATACTAGTGGCTTTAGGTATTGTATGTACTACCTCTATCTTTAAATCAAACAGAATGTTTGTACTGTAACTCTGCAACTATGTATGTACTTTTCCTAAATAAATTATTATTATTATTGTTATTATGTATAGTACATTATATTTAATGGTTGGTCGGGGGGGAAACCGAGGATATAATCCTGATGCAACGTCCACGGATGATATTTAAATATTCTTAATTGTAACGTGGGTTTATGTGTACGTTTATTAAGTGACAAAACACAGAGTTTAGTGGTTTTTATATGTATTTAGTATAGTCTTGATTACAGCAGTCAGTTTGTTGGGAATGTAGTGAAATGTCGTTATAACCCCATGGCAAAGTGGTAAGACACTAGCCTGGCTTTTTGTGAGCACTTTATACTGGGTTCGTATCTTGGCTGGGGAGGATTTTCTAGGTGCAATCCTTAAATGTAGCCTCAGTTTACCCATCAGTAAAATGGGTACCTTGATGTTAAACAATATAGCGGGTCGTATTCCGGAGAATATTTAGAATTTAGGACCTACCTAAGAATATTAAATGTAATAAAAATGGTCTGTAATCTAGAGCAGATCACCTAACCATACTCAAAAAGGAGTGATGGAAACTCTACCTGAAATTTATTTTTAATATAATTTATTAACTCTAGAACCCCTAAAGTACAGCAGAAATACTTTACCACTTCAATCTTACATTACCTCCCTGACTCCCTATAGGCAGGAGACGAGATTTATATTCAGTAAACTAACGGTAAAGTCTACTTTCCTCAAGGAATAACACTCTACAAAACTTAATATCTCTAACACGCAATACGTGTTCAATAGTCAGCCCAAAGAGCTAAACATGTGGAACTCAAAGTAATTGACTAGAGAACAAGGACAAAATTACACATAGAACATCTAGTAGCATGGAACAATTACATATTTGTAGTTTGGTAATAAAATATAATTTATGTCTTGACTTGTTTTTGCTCAATGGGTACTCAATATTTTTCAATATTGGTTTTCAATAACATTTCAATATGCTTAATGAGTACTCAATATTTTTCAGATTGAAGGGGCACTATTTAAGTCATGGCCATAGCTGGACCTCCAGGGTTGGAATTTGACCACAATTGGCCTGAATCAGCAGAATGTCTCACCTTAGACTTCGGGCCTTTTGAGACAGTACACAGATGGAAATGCATGCCAGAATGTGACGAGTTTGTGGGCGCCAGGTACTGTTTATAAGTTAATACAGTATTGCTTTTCTGGTAGGGATGCCTCAATGACTCCAGTCTCATATACAGTAGTATCTAGTATTGCTCACCCCTGCTCTCCCTCCCCACCCCCTCATTCAACTCTTTCTTTTCCCAACCCTCACTCCCTGGCTATTCCAATCTCAATACCTCCCATTTCCCTATCTATCCCCATCATCCCCCCCTCTCTCCTAATCCTCCTTCCCCATCCCTCCACATCCTCTCCTCCCTCTTCATCTCCCAGTCCCTCTTCGTCTCCCCTCCCGCCTCATCCCTTCCTTCCCTCCTTTCTCACCCCCCCCCCCTGTCACACCCACTTTCATCCCCCCTCCTGTCCCTCTCACTTTCACCCCCCCCCCTTCCTGTCCCTCCCATTTTCATCCCTCCCCTCTTGTCCCTCCCACTTTCATCCCCCCCCCCTCTTTCCCTACCTCTTCCTAACAATTGTCCCTACTTCCCCTCCTTCCCTCCCCATCCCTCTTTCCCCCCCTCTCTCCCTGTCCATCCCTCCCACCCCTCTTGCTGTCCTTCCCTCCCTCTTTCTCCATTCCTTCCTCCCTCCTACCTTTTCCCCCATCTCTTTCCCATCCCTCCCTCTCCCATCACTCCCTCTCCCATCACTTCCTTTCCCTCCCTCTCCCTCTGTTTATTTGTTCATATTATATCCATAAAATTTACTTATCATCATCTTCCAGTTTTCTCACTCAACTTCTAAACTTTTATTCTAACATTTTTGGGGTGTTTCGTGTTCTATATGTTAAATTTAGTAGGTGGTTTCCTTTATCAGCTTAGATTAAATTGCAACCTTAGTGCCCATAATCTCTTATTTATATCAAATTCATATTCAGTAATGCAAATTTGTATGTACAGTAAATATATTTTTTAACCTCAAAATTCAAAAAAGTGCATAGGGGGACTTGAACTATGCAAGAGCTCATGCTGTTATTCAGCAAAAAGTGCTGGACATTTCACACTCTGTACACTTGTACACAAACAATCATGTACTGTATCTACCTTTTTTTATGAAATATATTCAAAGTAAGGAATCTGTATGGAAAAGTAAAAAGGATACCAAAATAATCATACTGTATATGGTAAAGATCTTTATGTTGGCCTAGGGAAGTGCATAGTCATCATATGATAATGGGAGATCAGGAGCTGAAGGATGTCTTCACTCCAAACTATTTTTGTGGCCTTCTGTTCCTACTGGGAAACACCATTGAGCTATTCGAGCCATATAGCACTATCGGTATTTAAATATTGACACAAAATGTAAATCATCATATGATGATGATTGCATTTCACTAGAATGTGAATACCCTGTATATGACAACTGCATTTGTATGTAGAGATATTGGTTGTCATATTATTATTGTTAATTATTATTAAGGCAATCTGTTACTTCTGCATAAAACTTGTAGCTCTGCTGTGGAGTTTACGATGAGTAAGCTAAAATTGTGGATAGCTCCTGTTAATGGAGTTCTTCTGTTTATATACTAATAATTTATGTTATGTTATGTTAACATTTATATTAACATTTTTAAGTGTGATTTTTAGGGGGGAGCCCCGGAGGCAGGGAGCCTCTGGGGCATAACCCAGAAAATGGCATTTTGTTACATTCAACGCTGGCTTTTTATGTTAAATTGCATCTGGTAATAGAACTCTGCATGAATGCAAATACAATACAGTACTGTACTAACTTAATAAGAGGAAATTGTGTTTATTACTTAGAAATGAATGTTCTCCTAACAAATTACTATAATTAATAAATCAGATATCCTTGCATAATTATTTTTGCAGTCTTCATTATACTGTAAATGATATTCCTACAGACGAAGTAAGCATACAGTGGTGGCTTACAAGGATGCCATATATGTGTTTGGAGGTGACAATGGCAAGTGGATGCTGAATGATTTACTGCGTTTCGATGTTAAAGAGAAGTCTTGGGGAAGAGCATTTTCTACCGGATCTCCTCCAGCTCCACGTTACCATCATTCAGCAGTGGTAAGAAGTTATTTTTTTTTATCCTTCTCGAGAAAGGTGAAGAGTATGCGGTGTGACTTAAGTAATGTGTGCAAATTGGTGAAAGGGATATTAAGAAGGTGCTAAATATATCGACACAAAATACAACACCAATAAAATATATTCAGATTGAATAAGTTTAGATTCTGGAAAGATTTCTGGTAAATTGTAAGTCTTTTTCCCAACACTTGTTGCCTTGATCTAATTTGCTTGGGATTTTCTGGAAAAGTGTAAAAGTGGAAGTTTGTTCAACGTCGTAGCACTTTGTATTTAAATTTTTTTCATTTAAAGAAAAAGTGATGATAAAGGTAGGTATACAGTATTTACATCTGTTCATATAATTCAGGTTTTTATGGAATGCTAACCATCATCGTTTCCAAATGTAATAGGTACATGAATCTTCAATGTTTGTGTTTGGAGGCTTCACGGGAGATATCCATAGCAATAGCAACCTCAAAAACCAAAATGACCTCTTTGAATATCGTTTCCAAACAGGACAGTGGATAGAATGGAAGTTTACTGGCAGGTGAGAATTTCTTTTTATAATTCTGTGTTTTGGGATAATTCAATTTTTCAACAGTTTAGTAATTTTGAATTAAATCTTCCCAAATATCTTTCACCATGGGAGATAGCCTTATGTTTTGTATTTCCTGAATTGTTTCTTTTTTGAGGACTCCATTTATTACATGCAATTTTCTCTACACTAATAGGAAATGAGCTGCTTCCAGGAATGGGTAAGAATGTTGCTCTTGTCTGTAATGTTCAACTTTATTCATTGTCATGATAGACCACCAACTGTTGAGGCGCACTTATGGCCTCACTTCACTTGTACTGTGCTGCATATTACAAAGAATCATCATCCTATGGCTAATGTTGATAACAATTGCAGAATATAAAGCTAAAATACATCATCTGTACTCAGACAGTAAACGTTCCGATGTCGCTAAAATACATCATCCGATTGCTATTCATAAACGTTTATATTTCATGTGCATAATCTGGTATAAGTGTACTTTTGTTTTTGCATCTATTCTCTAGAGAATTTATTTGGAAACATTTTGACACAATTTATAGTTAAACCCCAACAAATAATTTAGAACATGTAGAATGATTATAAGCATTTTTCACATTACTGAACGGCCAGTGAGAGGCCCGGGAAGCCCACAACATTTATGATTGGAATATGTGAAATGTTAAGTGCAAAGTATACCGATTTGATGAGCACGTTAAAATCAAGAATATTTGCATCAATTAATTATTATTGTAATGCAATGTTTAGCATATCCTTGGTGACCCCTGGCATTGGAAAACTATTTTGATGCCCAAGTATCCCAGACAATAACGATGTCAGGGGGTTCTCTGAATGCTGAGTAGTGGAATCATGTGGCCTGTCTAAGGAATCAGAATCCTTTGCCAGAAGATAAGGAAATAATATCCATGGGGCCTGTCCAAAAAAAAACTGGGCCTTTTGCTATAAGATGGGAAATAATGAGAAAATATTATGGCAGTGGGTAAAATTGAACTCATGCCTCTAGACTTCCCAGAAACATTCACTATCCACCCATTGCCATAATATATTCTCAGAGCTAAATCATGTTATATTTATTTCATTGTGGAAGGAAATAATAGCTGAAAAACCTGTCAAAGAAACTTAGATTCTTTGCCAGGAGATAAAGAAATAATAACTGAGGGCATTAAAATGTAATTGAGAATTGCATTATATGTTTCTTGTACTATAACTGGGAAATCTTTACATTTCAGAGCTCCAGTACCACGCTCAGCTCATGGTGCAGCAGTATATGAGGGGAAGTTATGGATATTTGCTGGCTATGACGGTAACTTCAGACTCAATGACATGTGGACCATTCCTCTTGGGGTAAGACATTAATGGGCTTATTCTTTTCATATCTGAAATATATTGAGAGCTTCACTGTGTATATAGACAGGATCATGAATAGTCATGCAGGAAAATATTCTGGCAGAGGTGCCACAGGGCATTTTCAGACATTCCTGCAGAACCATTTGAAGGCTAAGGAACTACTGAAGAACACTTACTCCAACCCAGAATGACCAACAGTGGAATATTCATAAAAACTTGAAGCCTATCCAAGCCTTCTCCTGACAACACAAGTAGCCATCAGCAAAAGGTCTCTACTAACTGCTCATTTACCAGCAAGCAGCCTATAGCCTCACCATCATGTGGCAACACCATGTACACCTGAGGGGTTCCAAGACCCACAGCTGTTTGTACTTTTTGTTTCATGCTATTCTATGGTCTTATAGTTCTCTTCCTTTGGCATTGGACACTCACTTTCATTGTTCTTATGGCTTCTCTGTGGTGGAACTTCAGGGGGTGTTAAATGTTGCTGGGTGGCCTCTCAATTTGGGCTATTCTAAACAGCATGGGTATTGGTCAAGTCCTTCTCATAGCTATGCTCATTGCTCGATCTTCCCTTGGTGATCCTCTTTTTGTTCGTGTGGTACCACAGGCTTTTTATTTTACTTTTTCCCATATTTTCTTTACATTTGGACTGGATACATCTCATTTGGATTCAAGGCAAATTTGTTTCTTTCCTCATTTCAAAATATTCTACAGTATACAGTTCTCCTAGAGGTCTTTGTGGGTCCATGTTTTTTCCAGTCTGTTGATATGTATGCAGCTGTGGTTCCCTCTACTCTTGCTAGCTGTCCTATCCCACTTAATTTCTTGCTCTTGTTCTCATGCAAGGGTTTGGCCCTAGTCACTTTGTGATGCATTGCAGGCTCTCCATAGGTCAAATGTGAAGTTTTTAAGCAAAATCAAATCAAAATCAAATATTTATTCAGGTAAAGTACATACATACAAGGTGAGACACAAAACATTAATGGATTTATAGATAGAGCTAGTACATAACAATGCCTAAAGCCACTATTACGCAAAGCGTTTCGGGCAGTAATGTAGCTGTAATTTATCTACTACTACTGCTATGGAGACTTGTTGGCTACAGTTTTGATTCAAGCCATTCAGCTCTCTCCTTGATGCAAATACAGGGTCTCTTTACTTTTCCCTAGCATTTCCTTACTTTTCCAGTTCTTTTACTTAATTGTTGCTGTGCTAATGCTAGTCTTCGTTTGTCTTTTCTAGGAAAAGAGCCTTATGAACAATATCCTTGCCTAATATAGGTCAGACTTAATCAAACATTTCCAGCTTATTTTTAGATATGACTGCTCAGCTCAGTAAGGTTTCTTTTGTGTCCACTTATCTGATGCTCTCTCTAAGCCTCTGGTTGGTGGATATGGTTTTGCACTTCTTAATCCATGCTTAAAGCTGCTCCATAAGCTTGTCAAGCTTAGTCAGCGCAATATGTACCTTTTGGCACGTGACTTGCACAGATTCACTACTTATAGGGCTGCCTTTTCAGGTATGGTATATTCTGAAATGGGTTTTTGGCAGATCAGTTGTGTCTTTGCCGAGCACTACCTCCCAAAGTTTTCATGCCTGTGCAGACGATGAGTCACAATAACATGGCTGAAGATATGATGACCAAACCACACATCAAAAGATGGAGCAATGACAATGTTTTGGTCTGTCCTGGACCATTATCAAGTCTTATCACACACGACTTGATAATGGTCCCAACGTTAACTAAACATACTCCCAGCAAGTATCAGAAATATTGTTGGAACAACCGTGGACTTCTTCAAGAGAAAACTAGATAGTTTTCTTCAAGAAGTGCCGGACCAACCAGGTTATGGTAGATATGTGGACCTGCGGGCTGCTCGAAGCAACAGCCTGTTGGACCAAGCTCTCACAAGTCAAGCCTAGCTTCAGGCCAGGCTTGGGGAGTAGAAGAACTCCCAAAACCCCGTCAAGAAGGTCTATGACGGACCGAAACATTGTCATTGCTCCATCTTCTGATGTGTGGTTTGGTCACCTTTTCATGCCTGCCTCAGTAGTGTGGCATTGGGTAGGCCACTATGTTGTACTTCTAAGTTTTTGGCTGCAGCAATAAGGTCTTTTAATTAGAGAGGATTCAGTAAGGCTTGAAGTCTTTGTGGAAGTACCACTGTGAAACCTTCTTGACTGGATTAAGCTTTTCTCCAGTGCCTTCCTCGCCCTATATACACCCATGCAAGAACATATGAAAAGATACCTGCTCAGGAAAGTTATTTTCATACTAACTCAGTTCCTTATTTTGGAGACCTGCTAATAATCACTAAATACAGAATAAGGAAATTGTAATTTGTTACAAAGTGTATTGATAAATTAAAACAAAATTTAGAATTGTATACAGTATTTCATTATTAATTAATTCTGAAGGTACCTGAATTCTCTCTTTTTTTTTTTTTTAATAAAAACTATTATCTTTATGCTTTTATAAGTACTGTATCATAAATGATATTGAATACCTGTATGGCATAAAGGGTGATAACCGGTTGTGGGAAGAAATCAGCCAAACGGGAGATTGTCCCCCGACGTGTTGCAACTTCCCTGTAGCTGTAGCAAGAGACTCTATGTATGTCTTCAGTGGTCAGAGTGGAGCCAAGATCACAAATTCCCTTTTCTACTTTACTTTCAAAGACCGATGGTAAGTTTATGATCCATTCACAGGCTACATTGTGTTATTTCATATTTCTGTGCAATATTGTACTCTTAATTAGCATGACCATTGCAGACTTGTTTTTAATGGATACAGGTTGAGTTTTTTTTAAGTACTGTGCTCAATAAGTCTCTCATCTCTGAAATCTGTTTATCTTATTATATTTTCAATTAAATTAAAAAGAACCTCATACACATTTTGAAATTTGATATTCTAAATGTGATGTCAGATTCAGAGACAAAATTCGTTGTTCGCTTCAAAATAATTTTAATATAATGTGTGTGTCCTGTGTATTGAATGCTATTAGGAACTTTCATTACTTCCTTTTATAGTCAGGTATACAGTGACCTATCCATCAACCTTAGCATGAGCAATAAAGGTGTTGTGTTTGTATGTTGTGTTAACAGAATGTCAGAAAATTAAGAATTTTGCAATTTTTTGTGCCACAATTAATACAATTGGTATAACTCCTATTGTTTACCTGAGTACTCCTAACGTTTACCCGGTCACTCTCGCTGCTTACTTGAAGCAGATGCATTTAACTTTTTAATGCAAATTTTTATTTAGGTTAAAAAGTCAAGAACTTGTATGTGTGTAACACCATAAATGGTTGTATTCAATATTTCTCATACAAGGAGAGTCAGTTCACACAGGATATTTGGCGGTGCCAGGCTGTTGGCCCTTAGCATTTCACATAAATTCGTTCAGATGATGAAATGTCATCTTATAGAAGGTCCGCAGATATATCAGAAATACTTCCCTACACTGACTCCTCCTCCCCACATATTATTACATGCCTGGGTGAAACTTAGTGCCTTCTTGAGCAACCATCCTGCACTGACTCGTGTTTTGTCCTGCCTCTGCTTGTGCCTCTTTTACACTGCATTGTCACCATACTTTTCTTTAACATTACTTTGTACCATCATCTTTTGCATTGATTTCATCACTCACTTTAGGCATAACAGTGGAGTGCTAGGTTTTGCCTTCAAAATATCAGCATTGTCATGTTAACACTGGATTCATTGCACATTAGACTTCAGAGACGCTACTCTATAGTTTCTTAATTAGCTCTACTATCTCTTGTCAAAAGTCACCCCAAAATGTTTTCTCTTATGTTTGTTGCTAATACTTGTAAAAGCTTTCATTGACATATTAGCACTATTTTGAACTGACACAGTGGAAAGATGTTCAATATTTTATGTGAAATATTAAGTGATTGATGGGAGATGATATTTCAGTGTCCATGCACACTAGCAAACCCAAACTGGGACACTGTAATAATTACCTAAGTAATTAAATAAGTGTAGTTTTGGATGAACGCTTCAAAATTACTAATGGTTTTAGCCTCCAACACCTTCTCACTTAACTTGTTCCAACTATCTACCACTCTGTTTGTAAAAGTGAATTTTCTAATATTTTTTTGGCAGCTTTGCCTAGTTATCTTAAATCTATGACCTCCTTGTTCTTGAAGTTTCATGTCTCAAGAATTCTTCTTTATCAATTTTGGCAATTCCCATTAATATTTTGTACATAGTGCTGGTGCAGATCGTGTATTAATGAGAAGCACTCATATGGTAACTCAGGTGCCCACCCAAACAGTAATCTGTTTGATCAAATGAACAGTGATAATGCAATGGATTGGTCACTATGCTTTATACAGCACAATATATCTCACATTTAGCATTTCATTCTTTCATTCTTATTTGTAGCTGGACTCGAATATCAACAGAGCACATTCTTCGCGGTGCCCCTCCTCCACCAACACGTCGCTATGGCCATACCATGATTGCTTTTGATCGTCATCTTTATGTGTTTGGTGGCGCTGCTGACTCTACTCTTCCCAATGACCTGCACTGGTATGTTCTGTCATGATGTAGCTGTATGCTAACCACTTAAATCTGTTTCTTGTGATGTGTTCTGTATACTTATTTTGTTCATATCATTGCCAAGTACTGTATAAATAATGAATAATAAAGGGAAAATAACAAATATAACTGTGTAAATATAATAAGTTCTCTTCTGAACAGATTCATTCAGTTGGTCCCAAAGGTTGTTAGAATTTGTCACTTTTGAATAGCATGTTTTCCAGCATCTACTGGAAGACCTTATGGATATCTGTTTGGTCTAGAGATGTGTGATCTACACTGGTAATGGATGATAAGCCATCTACTTATCTTGAGGCCAGGTAGAAGATATAGTTGAATACATACTGGGTTGTAAGGCCACCTACTGAGAATCATGTTGCACCTTTTTTTTTTAGTCTGCGTTTAAAACACGTGTTGCCAGGAGGCATATTACATTTACAAATTATATAATAATTTTTTTACATATGATGTGGATAATAATCCTTTTGAAAGGGAAGCTAATTGGAAAACTTTGCACATATTTCTATCACATATTCATGCTTCAACAGCTTCGATCTAGACAGCCAAACATGGTCAGTGATACAACCAGCACCAGACTCTCAGGTGCCATCGGGTCGACTCTTCCATGCTGCAGCAGTAGTTGGTGATGCCATGTACGTCTTTGGTGGCACAGTAGATAATAATGTACGCAGTGGTGAAATGTATCGCTTCCAGGTAAGATACTTTCTTTTCTTATTTTGTCTTTGTGAATTAAATACTTTTGAAGTGAAATGCTTTTTAATCTACATAATAATATTATTAAGCTTATTTTCTGTGGGGAGCCCTGGAGGCTCCCTGGAGCTATAGGACTGATATATGCTATATTAGTCTGGGGCTTCAGTCAGTGGAGTCCTGCCTACCGACGACCAGGGGCTAGATTCACGAAGCAGTTAAGCAAGTACTTACGAACATGTACATCTTTCCTCAATCTTTGATGGCTTTGGTTACATTTATTAAACAGTTTACAAGCATGAAAACTTGCCAATCAACTGTTGTTATTGTTATAAACAGCCTCTTGGTGCTTTAGAGCTCATTAACTGTTTAATAATTGTAAACAAAGCCGCCAAAGATTAAGAAAAGATGTACAGATTCGTAAGTGCTTGCGTAACTGCTTCGTGAATCTGGCCCCAGAGCCGGAACCTTGCCCCCCCCCCCCTCAGAGAGGCACAAGAAGCAATGGCTTAACCCTCAAACCGCTAGGGGCCCAAATGGAATTCACACCCACAGGCGCAACAAAAAAAAAAAATTCCAAAAAATTCTTTCGTCTTATAGAAGTGTTCATTTTTGTTCCCTAATCACGGAAAAAATAACAAAAAAATCGTAGGTGGCATATTTTAGCCGCAATAGGGTAGGGAAGTGTGGCAAAAAAGGGGCGTTGGCAGAGCCTTCGCCAGACGAGGTCTACTCCGCCCGAGCTGTCAGACGGCAGTTGCCACAAATATATTATTACCTAATTATTTCAATGTCTGATTTTTTCTTAGTTTTTTTGCAGTAATATTATTCCATACAGTGAATTGTGGTATATTTATATTATAAAATATGTGAACCATCGCTGTACTCAAAATTATGGTGTGCATATTAGTGATTCAATTATGTTCATAAAACAATAAACAAATAGTTTTGCTGTTGTTACACTATATACACAGGTTATATATAAGTATTTGCATGTTTTGTACACCATAACGAACTACTAAGTTGGTCTTGTGAGTCAAAAAGCAACAAGGAGTGACCGCCAAACACCAGCAAGCCACTCACTGCCACTCCCTCCCTCAACACCACCTCACTTACCCTCATTCACCTACAATACTCTTTCTGTATTTATTCACTATACACAGACGTTATATATACGTATTTACATGTTTTGTTCACCATAACTGTACATCTAAGCTTGTATGGTGAGTAAAGGCCACAAAGACGTAGCTACTCTCACAGTCAGCTGATCGGCGGCCGCCCTCAAGGCCAGATGCACTAATATTTGTCCTTCAACAATATTGTTTGTGGTGTTATTACGCTATATACACATATTATATATAAGTATCTACCTGTTTTATTCACCATACCTGAACAAATAAGCTGGTATGGTGCCCAAAGACCATAGTGGCCATCAGTAAACACCATGCCAAGACGTGCAGACGACGCTCTTCCCTCACCAAAATGGCGGCTCCCAACCTACTCCTCTCGCTGTTATCACACTCTATACACACGTTATATATAAGTATCTACATTTGTGTTCACCATGGCGAACCACTAAGCTGGTATGGTGAGTGCAGTCAATAAATGGTGGCCACACACAGTCAGAAGACGACGCCACCACCCTCCCTCGCACAGCCTTACGCCTCCCTCCATGGAGCACAGCGCTAAATATCACCACAATCCTGCTATTATCAGAATCCTGGTCAGTTTTATCACAGTCAGGGGGCTTCAGTAATACTATCACTGCTAAATAATAGCAGTATCATATATATTATGGTATTTGTAGGCGATGCTGTGGTCACAAGCTGAACAGCGGTGCTGTGAGCTCGTGCTGCGTGCGCCAGCCTTGGTGGCTTGCTCAATACTGACGCTGTAACACCCAAGAATGTTGGCCTGGATTTTTTTTCTAGGTGGCATCTGGCAACTATCGGTCATGGCTGTACTATAGCTGCCCCTATCCCAGGCGGGGAGTTTAAATTATAGCGCTAGACACGAAATCATATATAAATGATGTGCGCGGTTTCGGTTTTGTCACTGATAACATTTATATATGATATGCGCGGTTTGAGGGTTAAGAAGACCCCCCCCTTGTAATTGGGGGGTATTCCTTGACTGCCATCAACCAGGGCTAGGAACCCAGAAAGGTAAGCATCTGAAAACAAACCCCACATGATAGAAATTGTAAAAACCCAAGACCAAACAGAGAAATAGAAATCCCCAAAGGAAAACAAACGAAACAAGCAAACAAGCAATTGTCGTTCACCACCACCGCACAGCCCTCCTCTCCCTCTCCCGGGAAGAGGTGGGCTGTACAGACAAGCTGCACGATGGCGGTGAATGAATGATAATTGCTTGTTTGCTGGTTTTGTTTGTTTTATTTTGGGGGGGGGTTCTATTTCTCTGGTCTTGGGTTTTTACAATTTCTACCATGTGGGGTTTGTTTTGAGATGCTTACCTTTCTGGGTGCCTAACCCCGGTCGATGGCAGTCAAGGAATACCCCCAATTACAAGGGGGGTCTCCTTAAGCCATTGCTCCTTGTGCCTCTCTGAGAGGGGCCAGATTCCGGCTCTGTTCCCCGGTAAGTAGGACTCCATTGACTGAAGCCCCAGACTAATATAGCGTATATCAGTTCTATCGCTCCTGGGAGCTTCCGGGGCTCGCCCAGAAAATGGAGTTTCATTACATTCAACTCTGTTTTTTTACTTTATAAGTTACTACTATTTTCTCTGAAATACTGTGTTTGTAATTTGAACAAATAAATAGCTCTCATTATAATGTCCTTTTCTTCAGTTCTCTAGTTACCCCAAGTGCACTCTTCATGATGACTTTGGTAAGCTCTTGGAGAGTCAACAGTTTACTGATGTTGACTTCCTGGTGGGACCCGAGGAGCAAAGAATACCTGCTCATGTTGTCTTTGTGGCTGCACGCTCACAGTATCTTAGAAATCGCATTCGACAGGCAATGGAAGCACGCGATAAACATTTGGAGAAAGTTAGTAGACTTTGTATTAGAATATATGATCTTCAAGATAAATTTTATTTGTACAGTACTGTAAATTTCCTAATATCTAATGTCTAGCCCAATGCCTTATGACTTTTTGAGTATAGATATTTTCCAAATATTTGGATACGCACATACTGTATATATTTGCTGCAGCCCCTATCCCCTATACTGTAAAATGAGTGCTTACCAGTTCTTCACACCAATACTTAAAGTTCAGTTCAAGAAGTTGGTGTGATATATAGGTCGATACAGTATTATATCAAAAGAAGGGAAATGGATGTCTTGTATTTTGTAGATTCTTTTATAGGGGCAAAGGAGAGTTATTTGAACAGTAGAATAAAAATTGGGGAAGAACTACTGGAAGAGGTAGTATGCTTTGAATACTTTGGGGTAAGGTTAGATAAAAATGCATATGGAAGGGGGACATGAAATGGAGTGTAATGAGTAAGAGAAAAGTGATAGGAGTGGTGAACAGTATAAGAAGAAGAAATATTAGTATGAGATAATAATACAATAATAATAATTCTGGAAAAATTGTACTTATATTTTTTTTATGTACAATATACAGTATATTTCATCTGGCAAGCAATACATTCATTTATGTGTATAGGACTCTGGTATATATCCATACACAGCAAAAGTCAAATTACCAGAGGTCATTGGGCTGATGGTGATAGATATTAGGTAAATTACTGTATATTTTTTCAATTTTTTTTTTTTCATATAATCAAGTTTTAAAATTTGATATTTTTACTAGTAAGCTAGCTCCAATCCCTAGTAAGTTATGTGGCCCCAGGGCTCATTTTTTAAATTTTGTATATAAACCTTCACAGGTTTTTGGGACTGCAACTATTCCACCACAGGAAATGCCTACCCTTGAGGTGAAGCTACAAGATGCTGTACCGGAGGCATTTGAGATGGTGCTCAACTACATTTACACAGACCGCATTGATCCCTACCACTGCAAGAAAGACCAGAACCCCAACAAGATTGTTCTCATCATGATGGATGTGTATCGTCTTGCTGTGCAGGTGTGTACTTAACTAGTTGTGCTTGCAGGGGTTGAGTTTTGGCTCTTTGATACCACCTCTCGATTGGCAGTCAATGTGTATCTGTGACAATGTTTTAGGAAATTTATCTTATTAAAACCAGTCAAGTGACTAATATCATGTATAATTATATTAATTTGAAAGCATTATGATTGGAAATGGGGAAAGGTTTGTCCTTCAGTTTTAATATACAGTATTTATTTATTAGTAATTACCTGTAAAATATGGAATATATACCAATGATCAAAATGTGTGTTAGGTCAATATACTGTACAGAGCAACCTCGATTCAACGAACTATATTGGACCATTCCCAAGTCATTGCAGTGAGGGATTCATTGCAACTCAAGATGCCTCCAGGATTCATTTTAAACACCCTATGGCCTGATTTCACCTAGCAAAATTTTAATTTCAACTTATAATATAGTAAACAACTACCAAATGAACATGTCTACAACAAATTTTAACCACATCTAGCATATTTCTCATGCTTATACCCTCAAAACTCTCTCTCTCTCTCTTTTTTTTTTTTTTAAGGAAGCAGGGCAACATCTCAGTGAAGGAAAATCTTGCCGACTCAGAATAAAAACAAACCATAGAATATGGTTTTAAATATCCTCAATAGCTTTTCCAAGGCTACAACTGTTTATTACAATGTTAAGTTCATCCATAAAAATCATCAAAAAATCATGAGTAGAGTCATTCTTACCTAATATTTCCCACACACTATAAGCTGATTTCACTGAGTGAAATTATAATTTCAGCCTGTCATATGAAGGTCAACAACCAAGAGAGCCGGTCTGTAAAAAAATTAACCACATATAGCATATTTCACACACCCAACACTTTAAATCTTATTTTTAAAGGAAAAAGGGCCTATATTTTTCTTAACAAAAACCTCTGCAACTGGAAAAAATAGAACCATAGAAGTTACTTATAAATATGCTCATTGGCTTTCCCAAGGCCCAATTTCTGTATTTTTAATAATGTTGCCTCCATCTATGAACTCAGTCCCAACATCATGAGCAAATCCACACATCCCTCTTTTTCAGCAAACTCTTGCTTGTTGAATTGGTTGAGTAAACTTGGCATGGAAAGTGTGTGTTCCAACTAGAGATTTGCCGAATTGAGGTTCATTGAATCAAGATTCTGCTGTATATACATATACTGCACTGTACGTAGCCACATAAATTAAGATTTTTATATTAAACTATGATTCCATTTATTTCAGTGCCACATGAGAAGATTAGAGCAACTTTGTGTACAGTACCTTGAAGCTACTATTAATCACCGTAATGTGTTGGTGGCACTCTGCAATGCTGCAAATCTAAAGTTGTTCTTTATAAAGGAATTCTGTCTTAAGGTAAGCCGCTAGTGAGTGAGGTTACAGTAGCAGTTGGCCAGATTAGACAAATGGTATATGGTGCTTAATTTGGTCCACTTAAGAAAATGTTTTATAGATCTCTCCCATTATTCTGAAACACATTATGAGGTCATTGGTAGAAATTAATAAATCAAAATTAATAAATTAATAAAATTAATAAATAACACCTAGAAATTTGTAAGAAAAAGTTTGCATTGCTTTAGAATGTTAACTGAAACTGAGTAATTTGTGTTCATTTTATTACAATAAAGCATAAAAATATTCTATTTCCCTTGCAGTTTATTGTACGAGAGAGCAACTACAATCAAATAGTTATGTCTAAGGAGTTTGAGATGTTAGATAAGCCACTGATGGTAGAGATAATCCGCCGAAAACAGATGCCACCGATGAGATCACTCCAAGAACCTCAGTTTGAATCTTCAGGTTTGATGAGTCATGTTGCTGCATGTGTGATGCCTCACACTACACATGCAAACTATTTAATTTATAATTCAATTCTGTTTCATGAGATGGGACTGAATTAATAGGGTCTTAAGTGGAACCTTTAGAATCATTTCCTCAAAATTGCTAATACCTGTATACAGTATATTCAATCAATTTTCAGGTACAACACTGGAACAGGATATGGAGCAGTTCCTAAAAAGTGTGGGTCAAGATTTTTGTGACATCACACTCATGCTTGATGGCTCGCCTATCAGAGCGCATAAGGCAGTTTTAGCTGCACGTTGCTCTTATTTTGAAGCTATGTTCAGATCCTTTATGCCAGAAAATAGTATGGTACAGGTAGGTATTTATTTATTCAATACTGTATATACTGTATACTTGTCTGTGAATAAGCCACTTGGAGTCTCCCATAAGTAATATCTGGCTTCCCCACTCTCATTGTGACCTCCAGCTTGAGTTAGGGCTACCTGCTTATCTCAGATGCAGCAGAGATCTTTGTAAATACCTTTTTTTTTTTTTTGTGAGATATATATAAGAGTTGTTACATTCTTGTACAGCCACTAGTACGCGTAGCGTTTCGGGCAAGTCCTTAATCCTATGGTCCCTGGAATACGATCCCCTGCCGCGAAGAATCGTTTTTTCATCCAAGTACACATTTTACTGTTGCGTTAAACAGAGGCTACAGTTAAGGAATTGCGCCCAGTAAATCCTCCCCGGCCAGGATACGAACCCATGACATAGCGCTCGCGGAACGCCAGGCGAGTGTCTTGCCACTACACCACGGAGACTGCATAACCTGGAGGGCCATATCCGGAATAAGGGAGACACTGGAAAAATCTCAGTCCATTACTAAACACAAAAACATTCCAGGTTAATTGGGTTTTGCCATTATTGTCCTTTTTGTACATTATCTTTGTTGTATATATTTTTTAACTGTTTTGGTTCTTGTTCAGTCATGGCATGCACTTTCCTTTTCTTGTCTGTGATTGACATGGTTACGGTAGGCCATGCTTAGAGTACAAGACTTGCAACCAGTGCTTTCTTTTGATATACTCTTGAGGTGTTTTCCTGGACCCCCTCTAGGTTTTAAGTAGTTTACTCTCCTGAGTGTTGCAGGCATAGAAGCTCTGATTGAGTTGAAGTCAGACTATGCTTGGTGCAGCTTTGGGTAGCACTCTACATTTTTTTTTTGTGGGGGGGGGGCTTCATTAGCTTCCCAAGCTATAGCACTGAGATGCCTTTAAGGACTTAAACCAAGCCTCTGAGACAACCCTAACTTATCTGGAACCATAACTAGAATTTGATACTCTATAAGGCAAGGGAAGCTTGGGTATTGAAGATCGGCCCAAAACTAAACTAAAATACCAGAGGGGATAAGCACATGAAATAGTAAATGTGAGGAAGACGGCTAACAATCATTGCTGACGGATAAACACCCAAAGCCCCACTGGCTGGCAGCCCAAAAAAACTGGGTTCTCTGCCAGCTGACCACCTGGTGCAACTAGGATTGTACTTCTTTGCTAGACCAACATTTAGCTTTGATCTTCAGCATGAGGATCAAATATAAGTTGTGTTAGATATCTGTGGAACATTTAATTTCTCGCTAGGCCACTGCTTTGTGTTTCCCATTTCCTATTTCACAACTGTTCCTTTCCTGGTAGCTATTGCATTTTCCTTATCCCACCAGTTACCTTCTGTGCATGGTTCAAGTTTTCTCCATGAGTTGACTCTCAAGAATTCTTGCTATTGGGTATTGTATGGGGCTGCTCCCCATGTGAGGCCAAATATACGCCAGCCTTTGCTTCGGCCGCCGAGAGGTCAGCTCATCCGGTGTTGTTTCATTCAGCTTGCAAGCCTCCTCTGTTGGTATAGGATTTTCACGGAGGTGCTGGGCTTTCTATCTCCTCATCCTCCTTATTTCTTTGGAGGGATAAAAGCCTTGAGGGGGTTAGGGACTATGATGTTCTTGTATTCAGGCTCACAAAGAAGGATGTTAGCTCCATCTGTGTCCTTCCTCTATAGAGATGGGGTTGGAGGGGGTCCTGGGAATTTAGGGTTGGCAAAGGAGGGTCTATTGTTACTCTTTGATCCTTTGGAATTTCAACTACTGTTTGTGGGTGGGACCTCATGAGTAGCTTCATGAGCTTAAACACACTTCCCATATAACCTCCCAAAGACCCATTCTTGCCTAATGGAAGCCAAGACCAGAATCTGGATCACTCTACGAGGTGAAGGGAGCATGAGGATCAAAGATTGACCTAAAACTGAGAAAAAATCTACCAGAAAGTATAGGCCCAATAAAACAAGCAGTTGCCTAAAGGAAATCAGGCACCTCTAGGTAAACAAGGTAAATGATTGATTTACTTTAATGCTATATTTGTTTATTTTTCTCATTATATATATATATATATATATATATATATATATATATTTTTTTTTTTTTAAATATGGAAGGGAGTACCACCTCTAGCTGGAAGAAGGGGGACCCATAGCCTCGGAGGAAACCACGCATAACGCATTAGAGGGAATGTTTAGAACCCTCCAATACAGTTTGTGTGTGCTTTTCTCCTACCACCCCCTTCCTTTTTTATTTTTTGTGCTTTATTATGCATTTGATGGTTACAAGATATACATGGGTTGATTCAAAAATAATAATGCTCTATATATATATATATATATATATGTATGTATGTATGTATGTATGTATGTATGTATGTATGTATGTATGTATGTATGTATGTACGTACTATACTGCATGTACATTTGCATACTTTAAATTATATATAAGCCATTACTCCTAATCCTTTTACATATGTCAATTTTGCCTCTTATTGTACAATTTATGCACCTTGATATTTTTTCTCCCAGATTGCCATTGGAGAGATGATTCCATCACAACAGTCATTTGACTCACTACTGCGATATATATATTATGGAGATGTAGATATGCCACCAGAGGATTCTCTTTACCTTTTCTCTGCTCCATACTTCTATGGGTTTACCAATAACAGACTCCAGGTATTGTAACCACATCTTTTTTTTAATAGTTTTTATCTTAATAGAGTTAAGCCTTCATTGAGATAATAAGCAATTCTTTCTTTAGTGTACCATGGTACAGGTAACTAATTACTTTTCAGTCACGGGTTACTTGGATTGACATTTTTCTTGTTTTTGATTTGTCCAAATTAAGTTGTCCGGCAAAGTTGTGAAGATGGGACTCAAGATGCCAGGAGTCCCAGTTTATATACCAACTACTTTAGGCACCATGTGAGTGTTTTGTTTCCACATAGATGGTCCACATAGTTACAAAAAGTACTATCTAAACAGGAAGATGGATGGGTTGAGGACAAAAGTTGGAATATGCACCAGTTTTATGGTGCCGATATCTTAAGAAGCGCATCAACAAACTGGAAAAGGTGTAACGACATTCAACCAAATGGCTTCCGGAACTGAAAGACAAGAGTTACGAAGAGAGGTTAAAGGCTCTAAATATGCTAAAGCTAGAAGATAGAAGGAAATGATGCGATATGATCGTACAAACAAAATAGTAACAAGAATCAACAAAATTGATAAAGAAGAATTTGTGAAACCTGGAATTTCAAGAACAAGAGGCCATACTAAACAAAGTTGCAAAAAAAAAAATCCAAAATGCCCAATAAAACATGCCAAACAAAAATCATTAAAAATGTGATTGGAACCATATTAAAAGAGTTACCATTCATATCTAATATTTCCCATGCTCCATGGGATGATTTCCTTAGCAAAATTAAAATTTCAACCTGTCATATGATGGGCAACAATGAAGATAACCTGTCTGCAAAAAGATTTAATCCCCTCTAGAATATTTCCCACGCCCAAGCCTCGAAATTTCATTTTCCAAAGGAAACTGGGCCCACGTTTTTGTGAACATAAACCTCTGCAACTGAAGGCCCAACTATTTCTTGTAATATTGCCTCCAACTCGGTCCCAACATCCTAAGCAAATCCAAACAACCTCCCTATTCTTGGTCATCGAGTCAGGGGTGTTTCAAATCGGGGAAAGTGTGTGTTACAATCAGAGATTTGCCAAATTGAGGTTCCACTGTATACTGTGTGTTACTTATGTACTCTAACATCCTACCAAATTTCATATAAATCTGAGATGGGCTGGGAACTGTGATGATTTGGCATGGAATGACTCCTTGTTGTGATATTTCTGGATATTGTCTCTCCAAAGTATGGACCATTCCTTCATACATCATTATTATTTTTGCTGTAATTATAAATTGCCTTTGAATTACACCAATCACCCTTTCTTTCTTTGTTAAGGTGGAAGCTAAAATTATTTTTGTTTAAGAAGAGATCTGGCAAATCCTAAATATTTTCAGGCATTTTGCAAGCAAAATTTGGAGATGAACGTAACCTTCGAAAATGTGATACAAATACTTGAGGCAGCTGACCGCATTCAAGCCACAGATATGAAGAAATATGCTCTCAACCTTATTGTACATCACTTCCCTAAGGTGAGGATGAAAATACGTAAGCATTACCTTTTCTTTAATTTCAAAATTAAGAAAGAACAATGTTGTTTTCATTATCAATTTCTTTATTTTAATTTGTTTTACTTCTTGCTAAAAAATGAATATTCAGTAATTTTGTGGAGGGGCTGAATGGTGGCTCAACCCTAGGAGTCCTGAATAATCTACTAAAGACCAGAGCCAAAACCTAGCCCCCTCTCACAGAGGCACAGGGAACTGGGATTATTTACAATCAGCCACATCAAGGAAACATTCAGAAAGTAAACTTCTTTCTGAATGTTTCAGCTAATGAATGAAAAACTGCATAATCACATTTTATATAAAAATTTTACATTTCGGGACTAGAGAGTTTTATTTGTTAAATTTGTTTATTGCTTAGTGGTTTAATACATATAACATCTAGCTTTCAAAAATGTTTCATTAAAATAATTTAAAATAATGCCCTGTATTATTCTTTCAGGTGGCTCAGTTACCCAAAATGCGGTGCTTAAGCCGTGACCTGCTGCTGGATATCCTTGAGGCCCTCGCAGAAGACATGTCAGATTCCAAGCTCTGCCATGATATGTCCTCCATCAGCCTGAGCACGTCAGATTCTGGATGAACCCAGTCATAATTGTTATGATTGAAATATTTGAGTGCAGGTGAAATGTGTGTTCACAACATTTGTACAAATGAAAACTAATCTTTTCATGCAATTGATAAATACCATTGCTGGTTAAGAATGGAGTGATTTGCATGTTTTGGTTCAGTTTATAAAAGTGTGTGCTCATTCAGAACACAGAGCCAACGTGTCTGTAATCTTTAACGTATTGTATCCGTTAATTATAACTCATTATTTGAGATCTTATTCAAAACCTTTTGAGACGTGAAACTCTCAAAGGAAAAACAAAAAATAAGGTACCAGTACTTTAGTTTTTATCAAACACAATTAAGAAGCCAAGTCTTTTCAATTTATCATTCACAAGGCAACTAGAAGGGTGACCATGCATTCTTGTTTATTTTTTATCTGAATAAAATAATTATACTAATTTGCATATTAACAAACATTTAGTAGATATTTCATGGTTGGGCTCAATATATAACAACAAATCTGGAAATGAAAAGGGGGTAACTACATCTCCAATAAGCCTGGTATCTTGATTTGCCACAACATACAAAATATGGGGTATTAAAATGCACAAACCCAAGCTATTTACCTAACCTAACCAATATATGCATAGAAAAAGTAGATATTTATGAGTGCTACTTTTCATAGTACCACTTATTTTACATGTTTGGGACTATAGCATATAAAATAAGGCACATTAGTTGAGGGGATGGGCTGCTCCAGCAGTTATGAGTTTGTTTATATTTAGTGCATGAAGCAATGAAAAAAAAAGATATTGAATGTAATAAAATGCCTCAGTGACACACTGTAGCAAGTCATGCAGAGATAGTTCCACACGAGTCACAAAGAAACCCAGTAGTCCTTAATAGCCTACTGGAGACCAGAGCCAGAAGCTAGCATCCTCAGGTGCAGGGAGTAGAGGATTCTTTACAATCAACCTCATTAAAGGAAACATCCATAAAATAAAGTGAAACAAAACAATCACCTGCAAGTTTCACAAATAAAAGAGAAATGAAGAAGCAAACAACTCTAGTGTTTATTCAACATGGCTGACGGACTTATCACAACCTCGTCCCCACTGACAATCTCAAAGGAAGAGAAGCGTGTGGAAGAGGAAGGGGTCGAGGTTTATATCGTGGAGGCCATGGACGTAATCGTAATGGTAGCGGAGGTGTGGATAATGAGTCACAAACAGCCCAGACCAAAACAAGTCTCAAACAGGTCTGTTGACAACCTGTTGGAGCCTAAAGCCTTAGGAGGAAATAAACTCAAGAATGACTGGACAATGGATGCAGATGTTGTGATTGCAAGATTCAGTGGTTTTGTTGAGCCAAGGAAAGACTCAAGAGTTTGAGTCAAACTTTTCAGGGTATATTACTCTCATTGAGAAGTTTTGCATAGCTCAGACCATATGTGACAAGAGGTTTGGCAAAATTTATTCCCCAATGTGCCTATCAGTAATATATGGTTTTGGTCTTGTGGAAGAGACTATACCAGATTGTCTTACCCAAATGGGCTCTCAGCACATACGATGATCTACATACCATGGTACCCGAACTCTTAGTGCCAAAGGATATTAGAGTATACCTAGACTATTGTAAGTGTTGCAGATAATGAATTAAAGACACGGCATTTCAGGTTTAAGGAAAGTATTTCTTTACCAACTGCATCTTGGAGCTAAAGGCTCCTTTGGGAGGATCAATGATGAAACTCTCCTCTACTATGAGACTATGCCTGTCCCAATTATATCTGTACTTTCTATTATAGGTGATATACATTGTATATTGCACAATTGTGAAAGTCAGTAGACATTACTAAACCATTTGACACCAGCTGCTATTGATAAACAGCCAGGATTTCCCACGGCCAATTTGTTGGCTTATTGCCAAGCTAGAAAGTTGATGTGCAGGTCAGCTTGATGTTTCAGGCAATTGTGGTCTTGTTATCCCAGATAAAACAAATCCTACTCTCGTTATGTTGAGAATATTCCCATACTGTGCTTCAAGATCTCATCTTCTTTCCTGACTGGGCAATTAAATGAATTTTAAGTGGCTGATAGAATTTTATCAACCTCAAGCTATTACTGGGTCACTAGCCTAAGTTCCCTTTACTCCTCAAGAGCATATAATGATCAGAACCCTGACCTTCAGGTTAGGGCAGCCAAAAAAACAGGCATCACTTCATGTTACAGGCAGACAGCACCTCATTTTGCAGTTGGAGCAAATTCAGGTTCCATTTTATGAGGCTCTTCAATAACAAGACAACTGACTGTTATTGATACTTTTGAATGGCAGTGAATTTTAAGAGAGATGGACAGATAATGAAAATTCCATCTTCTTGGTGTGTGAGGAGTGGAATACAAATGACTTTGCCCAGCCAGCTGTATTACTGTAGTATGCCAGTCTCGCTTCTTGCAGGTCCCTACTGTCCAAGTGGTTGAACACAATTCCTTTCCTCTGTCCTATACTACATCCTTGTCCCAGAGCCTGGAGCAAGGTGTATAAGGGGTTTGTGCAACTATGGCAGAAGCAACAGCAAACATAGCACCAGCCACTCCAACTCCAGACCCCAAGCCACAAAACCAGGCAAATGAACCTGAAATGGCTACCACCTGTCACTACAGAATAAAAGAAACAAAACCAAAAGATGGAGGCTTTAACTAAAATAGAGGACCAGTGAACCCAAACAATGCAGCCCATGGGGTAGAGAGTAATACTCGCCCAATAGACAGCCGAGTGAAACAGTACAAATAACTACAGTATCAGTTTATAGCAAAACCAATAGGTATTCCTCAAACTCGCAAGTCGTGAGTGCAAGCTCGGCAGATCAATCTACGACAAACCACACCAAAGACCCCGAAGGGCTTGCTAGGGCCTGACAATAAGAGCCAAGCAGGATACCTAGGCAGTAGGAATGCTTGCTGAAGGAACTGACACCGAATGCAGCCTGCAGGACAAATATTGCTATGAAGGGCATTAGTGGCATGCCATATGTACAAGCACGAGAACCCAAGTGCCCCCCATAGTCAATAAACCCCAGAATGCCCCAAATCATAAAGCCTCAGAGAAGTTTATGACCCTTGCACTGCTATGGGCAAGGCACATTAAATAGAAGGCTAGCTTCTATGGGAAAGACCTGAATTCACCAGGGAAGTAACTGTCAGGGCAAGGGGCATCACTAAACAAGAGCTTAGGGAAGGACTGCCTTATGCCCATGCAGTTCAAAGTGAACAGTTTCCAAGTTCCCCCACATGAAGTGAGACTTTTAAATATGCACATAAATAAATCGCATGATGCACAAGCGAATGAGCCCACACAGAACAGGGTCCGAAGGATGGCCAACACTTATCTAAAAATAGTTGGAATCCAAAAAACTTGGTGACTCAAAAAGCAGTCTTCACAGGTGGACATCAGATGATGGATTGAATTGTGTTAACATGGGAGCAGGCATCTTCCTGGGTGCTGCCACCTGGCAATGAACAGCTGAAACTAGGAAAGCCAAAATTTAACTACTGGGTGGATCATATGCAGGTCATTTCTCTCTTCTCTTGAACCTTGCAGTTGTTTATTTTGCTTCGCTTACTTTCTGAAGGTTGCCTTTGATGAAAATGATCATAAAGAATGCCCTGCTCCTTGTGTCTCTGTGAGGGGAAGAGGGGTACCAGGTTGTGGCTTTGGTCTCCAGTAGGCTATTAAGGACTTCTGGGGCTGATGGTACTTGTGTGCGGAGTTATCTCTATGCAGCTAACTACAGGAAGCCACTATTCGGATCGGACCCCCTTAAAAAAAAATCTAATTTTTAAGTCAAGAACTACAGTATATTGAAAATATAAGTACTTAATTTTTTAACATAATTGAAAATACATCCAGCCAACTAGAAGGGTGACCGTGTATTCTTTATCTAATTCTGAATAAAGTAATCTCTTTGATTTGCATATCAACAAGAGTTTAGTAGATAATTCATGGTTGGGTTCAAAATTTAAAAGACAACTATCACATTATGAATGAACTAGTATCAACAGCAGTTTTTTTTTATATTCAGAGTATGAAGCAGTAAAAACAAATTTTTATATTTTTAAGAGCTGAAACTTTTTTTTTTTTACTGTACGTTACTAATAATAATTTTCTTAAATTATTTGTTAAATTTTTATTATAATTTACTGCTTTTAAAAGAAATTACAACAATTAAATACATTGGCTGAGAAATACAGTACATATACACACAGAAATCACAATAGCGTGATACATCAAATGAACAAATCCACAAAGGCCGTGATGAGGGTTTAAACCTATGTCCAGGATGATCCCAGATGCGACTTAGTCGATTGTGCCACAACATGACACGACCATGTCACGGCACAATCGACTAACGCTCGTCTGGGATCATCCTGGACGTAGGTTCAAGCTGTTATCACTGTCCTTGTGGATTTCTTCAGTTACAGTACTGTACTTATGTTTTAGCCTATTCGGACATACAGTATATCAGAATTTTGTTGAGTGTTACTCTGTATTTTGTGTGGTTGCATGACTTTAATGTTTACTATATATCTTCTATTGGCAGCATTGATATCTTTACTCGGTAGATATCCAATACAATTGAATAATAAAAAAATGTTAAATTTCTTATACAGTAATGCACTAAAATCCATAAGATGCTTAGTGCTTTAAATGTGACTGAAATAACCCACGTACAAGACAGAGTAATAGATACAGGGTCTCTGTGGTGCAGCATCGCATTACTGCAAGGTATGTTCATTGAGCAGGTAGGAGAGTTATGTTGGGATTTGGCCCAAGATAACCGTTATTAATGTTTTTCTTTAATATCAGTCCACCTAAGCTAGTGCTTGGGTTTAAAGCCAATGTATATAATACACTGTATATAGAAAATATATTAAATTGATTATCCATACTTCACAATGTTTTTTTCTTGTCATTTGCTATACATAAACCTGCCATGGAAAGTTGAAATACTGGATAGGTTAAAGCAAGGAAAACGATTCGAGAGGTGACTTCAAGGTCCCGGTTGATAAAAGGAAGTACGGAATGTGAAAGAAATCAGTTTGAAATGATTTTATTCTTAGTTGTATGTTTGTAAGGCTAAATTTTTGTACTTGGCATCAGATATGCTTTTAAGTGAATTGTATATCTTTAATTAATGTACTTAAATTTGTCTTGCTGCTCTAATGTTGAAATCTTGAGCAATATGTAAGTGCAGTACTCTGCATTTTATTTGAGATGATGGTGCTATATAGCCATTCTGGTTTAGTGCCTTCTGATAATTACTTGATCCTACTACATACACTTTGACAACTTATGTTCACCCCATCTCAGTCCACTCCCAATTTCCCAATTTATCTGAAACTACAGATAAAATAATCTATCACACACATATGGCCTATTACATAGGCCTTTAACATCCAAAAAGTTCTTCTCCCAACTGCAAGAGGAAGACTAATAGTCTCCTCCCCCAAAAGGTAAGAAACTGTTCTAAATTGCTACTACCCTTATAGAAAAGCTGTGTGACATCTAAGTTCCTCCACACACTCAATTACTTGAACATCCTTGATCACTCCCTTCAGCCCCTTCACTATCTGAATCAGATTGCATAATTCTTCTCCCACATTTGTTGGTTAGACCAAAGCTGGAATATGAAGCAGTTGTATGGTGCTGTGATTGAAAAAATAGAGCAGGAGCTGAAGCAATCGGTTTGTTTATCCACGTAGGTAATAACACCTCAAGTAGAGCATGAACCCACTGCCCAGTTGCATCATATCACCCAGGACAGCATCTCTACCATTTAGCCAAACTGATTTGTAAATTGGCTCAACATCCATGCTTGAATGCACTAGCCTAGCTGCCAAAATCATTCAGAAAAAACTGCTGATGTAGGCAGCAGGGAGGTAGCTAGGCAGCATGTTCAAACCACATTAAAGTTTGTATTTCCACATGCATCATTTGGAAAATGTACTGCATAGACTACTGTATTAAAGTGAGTCAAAATTAAAACATTACTAAGAGGAGTACAGAATGGTAAAATAGTGGGAATTACAAAATAGAAACTGCAACAGTTAAAGTACTGAATATAATAGGAATATTTTACACAGTACATAAAAGATATACAAATGTGATAGATGTTTGGAACTATATACAAAGTAATTTTCCTGTATCTTTATGTGCTCACAATTGAAATCTTGTATAGAGAGAGGGTACAGTACAGTAAAACATACTTCATTTCAAACCTGCTTAGAATATGTTTCTGTCACTCTCAAATTAGTAAGAAGTTACCTGAATACTTATTAATTGGCTTAAAATAGCAGGCTCTTTCGATATACAAACAAAGGGAGTTAAAATAATTATCTTATTTCATAAAAATATTAAATTACAGCAGCAGGTTCTTCTCTGTAAAAAATAAACCATGGCACAATTTACAAAAATATACAATTTAAAAATGTAACCTTAAAAGTTAAACAGCATTGTTTGTGCAGAGTTTTGCAATACAATTTGTACTTGGAATTTAATAACAAAACTAAATTAAAAAAAATCAGAACAATACACAAACACTGTATTTAGATATAGTACCCGGTATATACTAAATTTATATGCAAGTAACAATTTATAAGGTAGTCTGAAGTTTTATTTTGGTTGAATGTAATGATGTAATGTGTTTGGTATAGTATAATACGGTATTCCATGGTTTTCCAGTCTCGCGTCTGGCGGTCGTAAACTCTGGCTCATATCTGGTGGAATTCCCTGGTGGTGAAGTTCAACCCCTGGATGGTGATTAGTTGTATGATGATTATGTAAATCTGCTGTTATTGTCATTGTGTCACTTTTAATTTCATTTCTGTCTTCATTTCTACCATCTGGATTAACATGTCTGTAATTTGATATTCTTAAAGCTCTTAATTCCGAAACATCTGGCCGAGGAATATCCTGGGGAATTACATGTCTATATTCTGGTCTTGCATCTTGACGTACAAGTTCTTGCCTATGCATAGGCTGCTGAAGTTCTTGTCTCACCATATCGTGTCGTACTATCTCTTGAGCATGTATATCATGTCTTTGTATTTCTAAAAGTTGATTAGGTACATCTGTTCTGACCCCTTGTGTTGGTGTGGCAAGAGTGCTGTGTGAATTTTGGGATGAAGCTGAAGATAATGCTGCCTTCTTTATTTGTCTCTGAATTTTTTGTTGTTGAAGTTCATCTTGTACCTTTTGAATGTAGTACAGTTTTTGTTCGTGAGCCACTTGATGTGCCTCTAAACTATGAACAGAACCAGAATCATGTAAAGGATCAGACTGAAAATCATTTCTGAAGTCTGGTCTCATTTCCAGGATCATGTCCAAATGAATAGCAGATTCCAGTTCTGAAAACTCGTCAAATAATCTCCCACCTTGCTGCTGCAAATAATGCCTGAGAACTTGGCATGCAATGACTGCTTCACATACCTTAGGTGGACTAGGAGCATTTTCTACTTGGGGATCACTCTGTTGGTTAGGCTGCTGACTTTTATTGTTTGGAATATTAAACATATTTGAATAATGTGGATATTGAACAATATTGGTAACCATTCCTGTGTGAGAGCTCAAATTTTGGGTAGGTGCTTCCTCATGCTCATCACAATTCAATCCTTCATCAGAAGATACAAAAGCATCAAAGTCCTGTTGGCTAATCCCAGGTGGAGGGCTAATTTGGTCATTGACATTTAAAGCATCTACATCCTTGCTAAGTCCAGCTTTAACTACTCCTTTCACTATAGTTTCAGGACTAACATGCCTCCAAGCTTTGTATATCATGAAAATTGCATCTAAAGTAGATACACATTGAGTCAATGAAGGTGGTGACAAAATGTTTTGATTGAACATATTAGTATGGTTCATTTGTTCATTAGCGTGGGTCTTTGCCATAATATGCTTGACCTGCTGGTGTCTATACAAGGCCTTAAATATATAAATGACACCTAACCGTAATGGCTGTAACACAGTTGCTGTACCTGGTGGAAATAATGATATATTTATGTTGAAAAGATGTAGATTTTCTGGATGATATGTTGCCTTATTCAAAAGTATAATTATTTTCCTTCTCTTTGAACGCAGTTCACGGTCCCACTCACGTAACCACGATGAAAAGAACTCCAAAGTAATGGCAGCTTTAGGATGGTGGTGGAAAGGGGTTGGAAGGGTGAGGGAGCTAAGCAACTGTGCTCTTCCAATCACTACTGCAGGTCTACGCTCAGTGCCAGCTAAATTGCATGCCAATATAACAGATACCTTATCATTGCCACTGTTAGTTCCTTGTGTCATATATTCTGGTAAGGCATTATATGCCAAAGGAGTTTCATCAACAACCCAAACATTTTGAAGTGGATATTCTTTAGTTGTCTTTGAAAACATGTATCTTCTCCAGTGATTACCAATCTTGATGCCAGATGGAGCACCATCTTTGTCTTTAAATCTTTTAAGAGTTACTCCATTTCTGTCCTTCCATCTTCCTAGCCATCCAGCAGATGGTTTAAATTCTATTCCCATCTCATTACCTATAGATTTAGCTTTTTCCATGAGAATAGGCCCAGATATGGGTAAGTCTTCTTCTACAGCTTCCTTATACCAATCAACTAATTTTTGCTCCAGAAAACCAGCTTTACCAAGTCTGCAACGTTTGCGTTCTGGGGTAGCAAACCTGTTCCACTGTGACATAATGGCTTCCTTGTTCTTCATTATTCTTGAAACCTGACTTTGACTTACACGAAACATGGAAGCAATCTTTCCCTGTGGAACTTTAGGCTCAAGGTCAAGCATTTCAAGAACCTGTAAAAATAAAAATTACTTTAATGATATGCTTACAGTGAGAAGGAAATAAAGTAGATAAACACATGTGGCAGTCTTCCAAGAAGGGGAGTTGGAAATAAATGGCTGTCTGGGGCAATTGAAGTCAATTACCGACTAGAAAAATGCTGCTGGGTTCCCACTAACTTGGAAAGATTGATATGTATGCTCAAGATGGGTTTTGTTTACCTAAGGTTGGAGTTGTTTCTTTTGCCAATTCTTTGGAATCTGTAGTTGGAGGGGCCATGTCTAGGTTTAAATAGTTAGATGATAAAGGTATGTGAATAGATTTGGGAATAGGAAGCAATAAAACCATGCATTAACAGGGAAATAGTTCAGGTAAAAAACAACAGGGGTGGAGATGGACCTCAACATAACAATACCCTTAATGTTTACTAAACAAATAGCAGGAGTCCTAGACACAAAACAGACAATTTAAGTGCTGTTGTGTGCACAGGAACACCAAATATTATTGCACGAACTGAAATGTGAATGAATGTTGAAAATAGGAAACTATTAGCTGAATATCAAATTAAGGGATTCAAATTATTTCAGACGGATTAGATTAGATCAGGAGGCGGAGTAGCAATATACAGTATGTCAGAGGAATATTTAAAATATAGTGTCAGAGAAGGGGATCAAAATTGAGCCACAAAGTACTTGGTTAGAAAATTAAAGGAAAATAATAATACTCTAATAATGGGAGTTTTATGCAGATCACCAATCTTTTTTTTATTTTTTTCATTTCTATATATACAGTACAAAAATTCTTACATTCTTGTAAAGCCACTAGCACACATAGCGTTTCAAGCAGAAACAAACGAAACAAGAAAGAAATGAAACAAAGAAAAAAAACGAAACACTCAACAGAATGGAGCAAAAGTATATATGGGATAAATATATAGAGCAACTAGGTCAAACTGTTTGTATTATAGGTGTCTTTGATTTGAGTAAAAACTGGACTAAAAACAGGGAATGCCAAAGATTTTTTATCTCTATAATTAGTTGAAAAAATATACATTATACAGGTACTTAAGTGTTATCTAACAGACACACTATAAATATTATTGAAATAGTGAGTGAGCTAGGGAACAGTGATCACTAGAAAATCAGATTTATAATAGCATGGAATAAATTTATAAGTGAAAACTATGCTAGGGTGCTAGATTTCTGAAGAGCTGATTTTCAAGGATTAAGGAGTTTCTTGGGAAGTGTTATGACCTGAGTTAGCCATATTTCAATTAGTTTGTTTTGGGGAGAAAATTAGCATACGAGTTTAAAAGGCTGAATAATTTGAGTAAGTGTAAATAATTTGTTTTATAATCATACAAATAACTTTACATCAGTAATTACATATTAATACACGTATGCATCTTGTAAATCTAGACATATAGAGAGGAGAGTAGCGTGGTCAGTAGGTATAACAAAAGTGGACCAGTTTTAAGACTAGAAGTGAAGGAAACTTGCTCAAATTTATATCTAGTTTTCCATTGTGGAATATTTGTGTACCTAAATTGATGACATTTGTAACTAGCCAATTCTTGAACTGAATTGAACTGAATCCCATTACTGCAGCTTAATGGGAACATGCCAAGGGACATGACATAAGCCGACTTTGCAAACTAGTAGGAGGTCCTCCACAGCAAGCTTGGAGGACCTCTTACTAGGTACAATATCTGGAAAGAGAAGTGACATAAACTACAGTGAACATAACAACCCTATAGCACCCTGTCCAACATATTGCAAATAACAGAGAAAAGAAAAAGATGGCTGGGAAGGACTCTGACACACAAGAAAAAGAACAGGAAACCAAGAACAGGAAAGATCCCAAGCAACTTTCCAAAAGACCAATTATTCCAGATGTGCAACAATCAGAGGATGCCCAAGACGACCCCCCACCACACCGTCACAGGCCACGTGAAAATAATAAGTAAATCTGAAAAGAGTCGTATCCATGAAAAACCATCACACTGTAAAATGTCTTAGTACAAAACATATTTAATTTGTGTACCTAAATCAAATTTGGAATTAGTGACCAATTGAAGAAGCATATATATGTGCATGCATACAAGCTAATGTTTAATGTTTCAGTTTTGTATTATGACAGGCAGACTAAGATCATCCTTATGTGTACTGTACAGTACTTACTTTAACTTTGGCCCCAAGTGTGAGGTCTTGTCGTCTCTTCCTCATAAAAGTGAAAGCATTTCCTACTTGTGAATCACCATGAGGAACAGCCCTCTTTGCTCTTTCTTTTTTCTTTATCTGAAGAACAATTAAATACAGTACATTAATTAAAATCAAATCTAAAAATGTTAAACATTTTGGGTTGACTATAAAGAAGAGATGCCTCACATTACCTCTGACACAAAGCATGTTTATTAATATAGTAATGCTTATCTTATATTATCACTGATGTTCTTTGTCCAATAGTGGTTCTTGACCCCAAGGTCATAACACAAAGCTAAGTTATCAAAGCATTTTGAGTAGGTATCCAAGGGTCTTGAGTATATCCAAAGTATATAGTAGTGACCACATGAAAACCTGAGTGGCAAGATTTGAAGGCACGGATTATCAAAACTACATTTTATAATGAATTGGCTATGAAAAACTATCTTTTTTCTTTACTACAAGAAAGACACATGAGTAATGTAATTTATCCTTGTAACATCCAATGCAATAAACAATAAAAAGCCTGATGAGCTCAAAGCCAGGTGTCTGCCACGACATTATCGTTACTTTCAAATTCCAGTTGAATTTAAACTTGTGCTTCATCCACCTAACAAAATAGAGTATCCAGTTTACATTGCCTTATTTTAGATGATTTATAGATATACTACTAATATTGAAAAGTGTAATGAACTGCAATAAACAAAGCCATAGTTATTAGTTTTCAATGTCTAAACTCACTGCATAATTAATTACCTTTGTTCTACAACGTCTAGTATTTTTTTTCTTTGGATGTTCTACCACCTGTAGAGGCTTCTCATCATTATCATCATCATCAGCTCCACCGTCATCCTCCTGTTCCTCATTCATTTCCAAGGAAAGGTGGACTTCGGAATCTTTCTGAACTACTGCCTGCACTTGGGAAACAGTATTAAGAGTTTGTGTAACAGCTTCAGGACGGGTCATATGCTGTATCTCTGAGGTCTCTGGTAGCAGCTCCATGGGCATGTTTCCATATGCCTGAGCATCCATTTCTCAAGTATTTTGTGGATTCATCATTGTCTGAAACTAGATTAAATTAATATTGCTTTTTCAAGGGAGGGCCATGCCATTTTTTTTCCATATTTTTCAAAACTTGTTTTTATTGCCATTATAAAATCTAGAATATTATTAGCAATATTTTGAGCTTTATTTGAAAGAAATTAGACAACTCTTAAGTACTTTATTTTTATTATATTTTTTAAATAGATAGCAACTGCAAAAAAACTATTAATAACAGTTTCAACTTTTTTTTTTTGCTATGAAAATAAACCAATAAGATTAAATAAATACAAATAATTGGAAAGTACTGTACTGTAATGTACTGTAATGTACTGTATATACAAAGTTATACAATAATAGGGATTTGGGAGTAGAAGATTTGGGATGTTGCATTTTAATTAGAAAATTCTAATCTTAATATATCTTTTTAGGGTTTCCTTCAACTTCTCTATTAGTTTTAATAAAAATTGTATTAAAAAAATCAATACACAAATCAGCAAGCTATTTTGAAACTATTTGTTGAAATAGTGTACATTTCTTAAAATTCTATTTCTGATCAGGGGAAGGAAGACACCAACACATGGGGGCATAAATTTATTAGTACAGGATAAATAATTCTGCAGAAGTAAAACAGGCTTCTAAGTAGGTCTTAACAAATGTATAACATAGCCGTGGCTAACTCAAAGTACACGAAACATCTTAAATTGTACACCCGTAGTAAAATAACGTAATCTTATAGCCTAGTAACAAACTCTGCAGAAACCTAATGTCCTATTGTCTAGAATTAGCAGCGAGGCGAATGTAACAAATCTAATTCTAAGTATAACAGGACACCAAAGTGAACAACATAACATAAGGGAAACCCTAGCTGGTGAATAATCAGGCGGCAGAAAAACACAGAGACTGGGGAAGCCTGATATGTATTTGGAGAAGAAAATAACCCCAGGCCAGAGGCCGAGCCGCCAAGGAATAAGGAATTTCCTGACATAAGGTAGGGCTTACTAGTAGAATGGCTGTAAAGTCAAAGTAGTAGCTGCGGACAACGGAACACTTGGGGACGGGAGCTGCACCCCCCCCCCCCCATCCCCAGTGAAACGGGAGGAAAGACGTGAGGAACAACGACCGACGTAGTCAGAACCTGGAAAACTGGCAGCCAGCAGAAAGGGGGAGGAGGGTGGGCGCTTCGTGAATCGTGGACTGGGTCGGGAGATGGAGTGAGAGCGAGACCTGATTTCCCGCGCTTTTTATGCCACCCAGGCTGGCCGCACCGCGCCTTGCGGAACGCGATGCGCAATTGTCTCTTCCTTCCCCATCAGAAACTCCACCACCTTTCGTTCAAAAGGCAGTGGCCATTTCATAGTAACCATGCTTATGAATACTTTGAATAGAAGCTATTCATAGCCAAAGCAATTGTCACTCACAGTGAACTAAGAAATAGTTATATAAAGCTTATTGGAAAATGTAAGGAATAAATCAAGAGAGGAGGCATCCTATAAAATTACATTTTACAGTACACTAATGGGTGCTGTACATATAATAACCCATAGAGATATTAACCACATATTGGTGATGTTATGAATTACTCCATGCACCATGTATCTGGACATCCTAATTCACCCCATCCACCAGTATCCAGACAAATGGATATTATACCAATTTCCACATGCCTATAGTTACAGCAGTATAAACATGAACAGTGGTACCTCTGTTTACGAATTTAATACGTTCCCAGAGTCGGGTTGTAACTCGAAACGAATTTTCCCATTAGAAATAATGCAAATTGAATTAATCCGTTCCACACACCTAAAAATATTAACTTCAAAATACATTTCATACATAATACACACACATTTTGTACTATAGTATGTACAAGTTATAGCTTACCTTTATTGATGACTCTTGTTGACATATGGAAGACAGTGAGTTGGGGGAGGGGAGAGGAGTGGTGTTACTGTTTGGAAGGGGAGTCTCCTTCCATTATAACATCAGGCAGTGATGACTTCCCTGGGGTACTCTCCTAAGTTTTGCCTGCATACCACTAGGACCTGGTTGTGGCTCACTGCTTGTTTGTCTCACTAAGAACCTTCCCATAGAGACTTGTTTTTCCTCTATGTTCATCCTCACATTTGTTTTTTTAGGTTGAACCTTACCACTGACTTTCTTGGGATCCATGGCATTATTACTTTTATGTTCAGAAAACAAAAAAAGCATAAAAACAATAAAATTCTTTACAAAGAATTCAAGCACAATCGTCACTAAGAGGGCAGTCTGGTAAACTGAAGCGGGGTCGCCCGTGCCACCAGGAACCATGCACTCCATTGACTATGCATGTATGAACAAAGTCGCAAGTCGAGGAAAGGTTGTAGATCGAGTCGAATTTCCTGACAAAATTGGGATTGTAACTCAAAAAATTCATTAGTAGGGGCATTCATAAGTCAAGGTTCCACTGTACATATAATATGTTTATATTATAACAAACATCATGTATGCCAATGAGAATCAACCTTACATCACAGACATTACATTATTGACAAGCCTGAATAATATGAATACCGAAGCCATTTATTACTCGGCGATTCAGATACCTTTGTCATTTACTTATTTACTTCAATATAAGCCTAACATACACTGGCTGCCTGTCCCCCCCCCCCCTGACAGTGAATTGATTATTTAAATTAAATTTCAATGATATCCAGCCTGTCATATCTGGTTTGCAGTGTTATCAGTCCTGTGGCCCTCAACCTTAAATCTTGAGCCTCAAGTCTTTTTGCTCTTGTACTGACATCCTGAATTGCAATCATATTGATAGTATAGTAGTTTGTGAGTGCTAAATAGTCTTCCCATATTAATGCTTTCTTTCAGCAATTACTTTATTATATGTTATTTTGGTAATGTTTGTAGAATGTGAAAAACTTATTTGCTTCACATGAATAAACTTGCTTTTAATGATTATAACTTTCTTAGCTAAATGAATTTGGGGGTTCAGTTCCTGACCCCAATATATGTTCTACTGTAACCTTGTCACATGCTCACAGGATTGGTATGGGGTGCATAATAAAAAAAAAACAGAGCCGGCATAAATCATCAACTTTCTTTGTAGTTGATCACTCATAAAGCACTCATGGGTTACAACAATTCCACAATCTCTGGACAAGATTTCTCTTGACTAACATTCCTATAAATTAGAACCACCTTCCCACCAAAGCCATAAATTTACCTGAATTTATGCCAAATTTATGTCATTTATGAATTTATGTAAATGCTAAAACACTGGTTGCAATTCAAGATCAACCCGATAAGATCACCAGGAGAAATGGACAACTTTGACAAGCCGCTGGCTTCTTATCCTCATCGAGGCCACTAGAGAGAGAATGGCCCCTCAGGTAAATAATGAATATCTTTTGAGTTATAGGTAATATGTTGAGCCTCTCTTTCTGAATACACTCAGAGCCGGGGTGGCAGAGAAAACATCATTCTGGACGTGAATGGGACAACTTTAAGCTTGACAGTTCAACATAAAGCTTGACAGTTCATCATAAAGCTTGACAGTTCAACATAAAGCCTGACAGTTCAACATAAAGCTTGAGCCTCATCACTGGAGCAGGAGACCCGCCTGTAACACCAACACCTTCACATCACAAGACAATCACGAGTCCTAAAAGCATTACAGACACCATTTACAAGTGTACAATGAGAGAGAGCAAGCTTCCCTACCTCCCGTGAGAGACATAGTGACCGGGAGAAGGAGTGGAGCGGACACGAGAGGCAAGAGTTGAAGGAGAAGACTGTGAGAGCGGCACTCCTCCACCCTCTCTCTCTCTCCTGTCAAACTCGCTTATTGGCATCATGTTCAACTACGTCAACAAACAACGATAAAACCGCAAGAACAGGCATGTATCCACAGTACGCGGCGGGATCAATCTATAGAATCAACGTACAGGGCAAGACATAGAGGACAACACAGAAAACAGATAATCTCACTTGAGCAAACGTCAAAGGCCTAGCCCAGGCCTGGGAGTCTCTCCAATATGGCGCACAGTTAACAAAGACACATTATACACATCTACACCATCTTATTTCGTGCCATTTATCGTTTTTCTGCTTCCCATAATTTATATTTTGTAATTGTTGAATGCTTCCCTACAAATTTTTATTTTTGCTAATGTCCAATATTGCGATGAAAGAATCGTTAAATATTTTAGGCATCACTCTCATAGTGCCACATAGTGGAGGGAACTTTTGAAAACACGGAATGACAATTAGGCACGGAATTATACCTGAATTTACCTGAGTCCCATCATCTCACTAGTAGCCTCGACTGGAAAAAGGAAGCCGGCGTGTTGTCAAATATCCCCCCATTTTTCCTGGTGATTCTTTATAATTCATTTTTCCTACTGAAAATATTTCCAACTGAATTTTGAAATGGATTATCTTGGCATTTACGGCTTCGGCGGGCAGGCGGTTCCATGGGTTTATAACCCTATGGGTGGAGAATCATCTGTAACCTCACAATAACTGGTATCTATTTACTACTAGGTGAACAGATGCATTAGGTGTACAAAAACACGCCCAACTATTGCTGTCCCTCCTGGGAGTCGAACCCGGGATCCCCCATTCTGAGTCAAGAACGAAGCCAACCGTGCAATACTCCGAGGTTGATTGATGAAGAGTAAGCCACCTAAGAGGTGGCACGGGCATGAATAGCCCGTAAGAGATTAGGCTACTTGGTCGATAGTTTTCTCTTTAACTCTTTCTGTCTTCGAAGATGGAGTGAGAGGTGGTGGACTTCACTTCGTCTGCTGCTAGTGTAGGCTAATACATCAGCCTCGTATTTCATGTTCTCTACTGATTCCATGTTGACTAACCATCTACAGGTGAAATGGGGATATATGAAGAACATATAGCTAGTTTTTAATTTATACTCTGTAATCGTACATATAGAATAGGGTAGCAACTGATAAAACCTGGATCCTTTTCCTCCAAATTATTCAGTATTTTAAAAGTTTCGATGAGATAAGTACTGTCATGTCTGGTTTGCAGTGTTGTTAGCCCTGTACTGTGGCCCTCAACCGTTCCTGGTGTGAGAGTTGGCTTAGTTCTGGAATGATTTTTGTTGCTCTGTGTTGAATTCTCTTCAAAGCAGATAGTTTCTGAGGATGAGGTCTCCACCTGGATACAATAATCCAAGCACCAGAGATTTTTACATTTAGGAAGGTAAGGTAATTATCAGGAGAAAGCCCCAATTCATTACGATTATATCAACCCGTCCTCAGACCAAGTCTATTCCATCCAGCAGTCGACCCCAAAGACACATTCTCCAATTTTAAAATGCTGTTCATTCAAAATTTTAATTTTCTCAAATATAAATTAACATTACTCTATTTCATATTAGCATGCTGTGCACATGAGTGCACGCCTAACTATACGTATAAATTTTATGTAATACAGTACAGTAATAATAATTTATATATGAAAACAAACCAATTTTTGAATACACAATATGTTAAAATTGATGAATGCGTCTGGGGAGGATAGCCGTTGCTTTAACCAGCCTAGTGTGAGGACGGGTTGCTATATAGCATTTGGAAGGGGTTCGTCTAATTATCACAAAGCCTCATATTATTACGTAAGTAATGAAGAACTATGGTATATTTACTCACTAACCAACCACTTGAGCTGGACGGTATAGCGACGGTCTCGCTTCATGCAGGTCGGCGTTCAATCCCCGACCGTCCAAGTGGTTGGCCATCATTCCTTTCCCCCCGTCCCATCCTAAATCCTTATCCTGAACAAATCCACAAGGGCCGTGATGAGGGTCCTTATCCTGACCCATTCCGAGTGCTATATTGTCGTAATGGCTTGGGGCTTTCTCCTGATAGTTCTCTTCCCTTCCCTTCACTATAATGTTGGTGCTGAATGTAGAACATGAAAAAAAACTAATTTTTACTCTGAAATAATATAATTTTATAACGAAATTGTGTCATCTAATTACCCAAAGCCACAACATTGTTACTTGGATCATCGACTTCATGTGGCATAACCTGCCACTTAGTTTCGTGTAATTTTGTTATAAAATGATATTATTTCCCAGTAAAAATATGTTTTTTTCGTGCTCTACATTCAGCACCAACATTATCGTGAGTAAATATGTCATATTACTTCATTATTTATGTAATGCTTGGAAGGTTTGGGTAAATAGAGGGGACTGCGAGAAACCCACTTAGTGGTGCAGTATATAAAACTCGGGTCGTGTACCCCTGCAAGTTGCCTAGGCAATACCCTTACTAGATTATCAGTAGATTATGACAGGAAGGCTGGTGCAGAGAGCTATGCCAGAATTTATCAATCACTTAACTGTTTACTTGTGAAACCTGTACATATTTTCTGGCTCATGGCATCTTTGTCTATATATTCATGGTTTACGAGGTTGGAAATTCTGCAAGGACGTCCTTGAGTCAAGGCTATAGTAATTGCTTTAGACAACCTCATTTCGTGAAAACCTGAGATGGTAAGGTTGAAAAGTCCATGCAGGTAATGTGTTGGCCAAAATTTTAACTGGTTGTGATGGTTTTTCATCAGAAAGTAAAGCTTATAAGAGAAGTTAAATAAGGCATTCCTGGGATGATAGTTAAGTCAACAAAGCCACTTTTTTATGAAGGTTAAATCTATGATTTATACTTATGTTCAAAGTGATAATGGTGTATTAGACGAAGCAATCAGCCATGCAAAAGTTGTGTGGGTGCATTTTGACAATGGTATGAGAAAACGTGAGATGAAACAGATACCAGTAGCAAGGTGGCTGATCCAGAAGTCCAAGCATTCCCATGAACAAATGAATGTTATCAAAGTCATGTGTGTGTAGAGCGATAGCTTACAGTCAGCTGATGAAGATGCAGAGGTGTATGTTTCAGTGGACCCTGGGTGAGTACCCTTATTATTTTAGTTATTTCTACCTCGACTATGATACCTCTAGTTTACATTATTTGGTGAACCTACACAAAATTGTGATAAATTTAAATATTAATCCAGATTGGTTCAAAAACATGTCAGTTTCTGAATCATTTCCCGTCCTGTTAACACCACTATTATAACATGAATATTGCCATAAGAGGCCTTTCTTTTAAGGCGCCAGAGACAGGAGCGCAACTTATCCACCTTCCTCAAACTCGATTGAGAGGCAGGACTAAAGAGTTGTGCTTGTTGTGTAAAGAGTAGTTGTGCTTGCTCAACCCCCGCAAGCACAACTAGGTGACACTCCATTTTTTTTACATAATCTACTTGGTAAATGCTCCAACGTTTCCTAATGGATCAATATCATAAATATGAACAAAAATATATAAAAAAGTTGAAAAATTCATCAGTTTCAAATTAAATAAGCTAATTTAAAATTTCACCAATTTTAATTTTATTCACTATAGGATCAGAATGGCATATAACATTCATTTTCATTGCTTTAAAATATTGAGAATATAGTTAACTGTACAAAAAAAGAAGTCAATGTGGGCTTCAAAATATGCACAAAATATAGACGGAAAAAAATGTACAGCTCCCAAAGTTATGGTTTATAAAAAAACTGCAGCAATGAAACCTTAGAAATAAGAACACTACACATAGTATGTAAAAGTGGTGAGAATTGCTCTAAAACTGAAGTTTCTATGTTGCCTTGAAAGATGAAAATCCTGTTCAAGCAGAAAAAATTAAGTTAAAAGTTCTTGACAATGAATATAGGAGTTCGAATTTCCCACATATCTTGTAAGTTTTATTAAATATTGCTTGGTATTCATACTCGAATATGTGAAAGTTGTGGGTCAATATGTGTTGGATTGAAGTCAAGAAAAAATAACCACCCAAAAAAAATAAATATAGGGATAAGGATAATGGGTTAGGGAATATATAAGTACACTTTATATAGGTGATAAAGGCCTCATATGGTCTCCAGTCAGTATAACAACCTAAAGAGAAAGAAAATATAGTTTGAAATCTGTAAATAACTCACCCCCCCAAAAAAATTTAAAAGTCACAAGTTCTGCCACCTGTGACTGAATTACATGTTGACCAATTTCGTTCCAACTTCACATACTTAGTAACGGGTATGCATTCTCCAAGATGTAAAAGCCAAAACTAAATCAAATGAGAAACAAAGGATTAAAAAAAAAAAAAAATTGGTGGACATGAGAAATATTGGCATTGTGCAATGTATTTATATGATATATAATATAATACAGCTACATAACATACATACTTATATTACTTGTGTGACATTTTGCCCTCCAGGTGGCAATCGGCAATCCTAGAAGGCACCAGCTGCATATCCACTTTGAGGACTCTTCTTACTACTACTACTCCTCTTTGTGCATCGGACAGGTGCTTGCATCTCTTCACTGCATTATCCATGAGCTTCACTAAGAGGTGTTATTGTTATCATCAGTACTGAATGCGCAGTTTTTTCTTTTAAATTCGTATAAAATCCATTTAATATATTGGGATGAAACTTTCACAATATTGATGCCAAATAACCTTATATTTGTTTAACTGTTTTCACTATAATTCATATTCGAATGAATATTTTTGAGCTCCCAGCCCCTTAAGAAATATGACTACAAAATAAACAAAACTCCATAAAACTTTAATTTAAGAGTACATATGCATGGAAGCAAATTTGAAACATGGCGTTTAAAAATGGGCTTTCAGTGATTAAAACGGAGACAAGAAAATATGGCCTACCAGTAACCAGTACTGATTCGAAGAAAGCAAATAACGACTAACATAAATTAACGGTAACATGCATCTGACCTGCATGAATAGGAAAAAAATGCTTAATTTTCCTCAATCAGCATTTCTACATTCATACATCTTAAAATCTAATTATGTAAAACATTTGTGTGTATACAGAACTTGGTATTGAGCACGTAATGTCCCCATAATTCTAGGTGTGCCCAGTTATTTTCTAAATTACTAATTAAAGTGTGTGTGATGTTTGCATTATGATGCACATGTCAGATTCCACTGAAAATAACTGCTTTAAATGTAAATACAATTAGAAAAGCCTATCTCAAAGAGGAGCTCCAACACTAACATAGAATGAAATAGCATTAATAGACTAACAATAAAAAGTTAATACTGACTTAAATTTCTTGTGGAATACCAACCCATTTTATGTGTTAATTGTTAGTTTAATAATTACACAAGCAAGCCACTTCAACTTAATTTAACCTTTTCATTTAACTGTATTGTAAATTAAAAATGTTCTTTGTATATTACTACAAAATGTGGATTTATTCATCTTAAATTGCTGAAATAGTTTTCACCCAATTAAATATTTCTTGTATAAAAATATACAAGTCATTCTCTTGTGATGAAACAAGACTACAAAAATACTCAATAATTTAGACTTATGGGTACACCCAGCCAGGAAAAGGAAGCCTTTATCTGGCTTGTTAAGACCCCTTCCATAGGTCAAGGCAATGTTCACATTGCTATCCATTCAGTTACTGGTCAGATGATTCAAGACCTACCTAGGCATAACCTTAATTGACCAAGTGACAGTCTCCACAGCAGGTCTTCTTTAATCATTCATTGGTTCTTGCTGGAAAATACATTTTCAGACATTATCAGTAAGAAAAAGGGGGTACCAATTTCCCAAAACCATTTTTTTTTTTTGCCATAATCATTATGCAACATCCCCCAGGTTCTACCCCACATACTCAAAGCAAGTACTATATAACCAATCCTATCAGAATTTACCAATAGCTTCCATTATCATTTTTCTTCTTACATATTTTCTTATTTGTTTCATTTTCTTCCTCATGAAAACTTAATTGGACAATCTCCAGCTTTTTTATTTCTGCAGGAAAAGCAGTACGTGTACTTTAATTTATACAGGAAATTAAAAGTTTAGTCAAATTGTCAAGTACAGTACTGCCATTCTGTAAATGATTCTATCATGCCGAGTAATATATTAGGGTAAGAAAATAATAAGTAGCTGCAATATTTAGAGAAGAGTCTACATTTACTATTCAACTTTGACAAGGAAAAGGGCAGGATATTAGTACAGTATGTGGCAATTTAACCCATTTCTTCACACACACACACACACATACACACACTTGGAGGAGCCTGCATAATATACATCCCTGTAATGAATGGTATGATCTCTTAACTTGGTTTCTCTTTGCAAAGTGTATTGTTAGGTAGCTAGCACAAAAATAAGTTGAATGCTATTAAAGGCATTATTTCAGACTTTCAATGCTCTAACATGTTATTAACGAACAGTTCAAATATCTTACATTAATAAACCAATTTAGCTGTTTACTTACTGCCATTAATTAAGAGCACTATCTGTACCCCCCTTGCTAAAGACAATCTGACCAATTGAGACAAACTGGCTCCCAAGAGTGAATGTAGTAAGCAACCACATTAAACCATCCCTTTAATGTATCCAAAAACTGTACGAATAATTACAACTGCTCTATTGGCATTTGAAAATTGTAAAGTTATTGGAACTTCTTAAATAAAATATAAATATATATTACAGTATGTATATGTATACACACACATGCACACAAGCACACACACACAAACACGCACAACAGAATAATCACAAAGCCTTTGCCCCAAGAACATACTACAATGTAATTTTGTGATACAATTTGGTTCAAGTTGTATCCATTCCATTTTAATCACGGCTGAACTTCACATAACAGTAATCCACAGAAAGAAAATAAATAAATATTCTGAAGATGTTTTAAATACTTAATACATATTTTACCTGATTTTTATTGACTACATTTACAAATAATTTTTCAGTGCCAATTCAAGTACATGGCTGGTTCCATATTGAAGACACACAATGAAGAAATACATGAATACCTGTACATTAAAAAAAAAAAAATTTTTTAATCCATACAAAGTAACTCAAGTGCAGTTTATGTTCATCTCAACATTAGATGATTCAGAATATTATGCAAAATTTTTCTATTTTCTTCATAAAGCACTTAATGGATCAAACATTGTATATCTGGCTCGTTATTCAAGGTAAATTCTTGTTGTGTACTTGTTTAGTTTATAATTATGTTCAACATCCTTAACAGGCCCCCGTGTTCAGACACCACAGGAAACTAAAATAAACTTTAGTTTTATTATTGATAGGTTAATGATTAAGCATTGCAAATGATGCTGGATTGGTGTTAGATGAGGATGATGGCTCTCAATCACTAGAAGGGCGATTTAGTTTAGGACAAGTGGACAAGTGTTACGATAATTGCTGCAGGACCACAGAACTGAGGACCTATGTTCATAAGAAATATTACCGACATTCTGTCTAGCAAAATGCCCCCACATACTACCAAGAAATGTTATTTTCAGTTTCTTAAATTTATTGTCAGACTAGTGTTCAAATCCAACCTTAACAATGGACTAGATGGCTAATAGTAGCTTTTACCAACACTATTGTTTTCTAGAAATGTTTAAAAATGTTAATTGCCATAATGCAGCCATGGTTAAACACACGCAAGTAATTTAAGGTCAAGAGATAATACCCGATTTAACTTCATCTGCATACATTTCATGTATAATATTTTATTAAAGTAGATGCTACAACTCAAAAACGGTTTCCAGTGATTAGGATATTATAAAGATTTATACATAGCTGTGGAGCTTAATGTTTATGTATCTGTTGCCCTAATTGTATATAAATATTTCTTTCAATGTCATGAGTTATAATCCAAATCTGTATTTCCCAGTATTATATTACCTAGGTAGATATAGCCAAAATGAGCACAGAAATATTAGCAAATTAAATAAATTTATACTTAATTATTCTGCCTATTTACTCTATAAAGTCCCCAAAATGAAATGTACAATTCCCATGTAACACAGTGCTGTCCCAATAATGCAAAATAAAATACCTAAATTTACATGTGTTTTTCCCCATCAGTTTATATATATATTTATAAAAAAAAATAAAGATGGGTTTGTTACTTCTTGGATAAAAACTTTATATGATTTTCTTTATTTTAATTATTGTGAACACAAAAATAGCCTACAACTTAATATCATCTGTGCATAATTTTATACAATGGGGCACTGGGAAGCTTTGAAGCCTGTGCTTAACCACTGAGTGAATGCCTCCCATTCAGCAATGATATAATTTAGTCAACAGAAAGCTTTTCTTACGGCGAAGAATTGCTGCAATTAATTTAATTGGCTCTTGGCGCTTGGGAACATCTCGGCTAAACAGTCTATAAGGTTTTAGTTTCTGTGATGCACAGTATATATCACAATCCATGGCTCCCAACTCCTATCACCAACAACTAGAATGTCAGAGGCAAAATTAAAGTTATAGTGTAATAGAAATATCACAAGGATACCAGGAGTAGTCACTGTAGTGATAATTATGCCACATAATTGTAGGTATTAGGGTTGTCCTTGTCTCGCTCCATGTAGTCGCGATCAATAAGAGATTCTATCCTCTTTTTCAAATCAGCAGGCTGGAAAAAAAATAAATAAATTAACAGTCATATATTAATGAGCGAAAGTTAAAAGAATAAAACTATTTTGGCAAATGTCTGGAGGAGAGAAAACCCCAGCATTGAATGTAATGAAACGTCTTTTTCTGGATGAGCCCCAGTAGCTCCCCGAAGTTATGTCGTCGAGATTGCTCAGTACAAGTGTGTCACATTAGACACGGGAGATCTGTTTGGCCTACTGGGGACCAGAGCCAAAACCTAGCCCCTCCCTTTCCCTCAGAGGCACAGAGCGAATGACAATTCACTACCACACCAAGAAAGCACCCAGAAAGTCCCTGAAGCTTTACAGACAACTGGAGAGAAAGACCTAAGCCTAGAAATTGCCAAAGTCGGCAAACAATTTGCACAGAACAAGTGAAACATTCAAAATTAGAACGACACTCATAGTACCGAATGCTATCAACAGGTGGCCTAGCTTCCACACAGCCATCTTCCTTACCCAGTTCTAGAGCTGTTGAACAGCCCACCGGCAAACCGACTAACCAGGTAGGAAGTCAGGGAGCCAGAAAGGCAATTACAAGAAACAATAAGAAAAAAATGCCTGGGAGTGAGCATAATCCCAACACTAACATCAGAAGGTCATGTGAATAGGATAACATTAGTAGCATATAGAAAATTAGCAAACATATGAACATCATTTAAAAATCTCAACAAGGAGGGTTTCTGGTCCATACTCATTGCCTATGTGAAATCATTACTTGATTACATGTTGGAATTGCATACTCAACACCTTGTGAGAAGCATAAACAGAAATTTGAAAAAGTTCAGATTTGCAAGAAGATTAATACCAGATTCGAGAGGCCACAGCTACGAGGGCAGGTTGAGAGAACTCGCCATCACATCTTTAACCCTTATAGGGAGCAATACATTTATAGCTGAGGCGAGTAACTATTGCGGGATTGCGCACCCCAGCTATGAATGGTTGGGAGTACCGCACGAGATTTAAAAGTCCTGCGACTACATGGGGTTCACACCAGCTTACTTAGGGCTCTAGTAAACAAACCCTTTTAAAAAAAAGAAATTGTGGGAAACATTCCCAGGTGTGAAGGCTTCAGTACAGAGTGAGCAACCAAGGCTGGTGCACGCAGCATGAGCTAACAGCATTACTGCTCAGCTTGTGACCACAGCATCGCCTAAAAATGTCAAATATATATGTAACTGGTATTAGCCCATGATAGTATTACAGAAGAGCCTGACTGTGATAAAGACTGCACAATGTTCAGATATCAGTGAACACAATGCTGTTCAAAATGTTCACAGCGCTAGCCACAACACACTGCTATTGTTTTGTCCATCTAAGAATCTTCAAACTACTTCTCATGTTCCCTTACAAAATAAATTTGTGGAAAATTATTAATTTACAGGATTTAGTGACCAGAATTCTGATAAGAGGATTGTGGTGAGAATTAGCGATGTGCGTAGCATGGTGGGAGGAGTAATCTTGGTGAGGGAAGGAGAGGTGGCGTCGTCTGCTGACTGGTGAGAGACCTGTTATGCAGTGTATGGTGGCAACTATGCTGTTTGGACACCATACCAGCTTAGTTGTACAGTTATGGGAATAAAACATGTAGATACTCATATATAATGTGTGTATATAGTATAATAAACGCATATAGTATAATAAAAGCACAAACAGTATTGTGGGAGGAAGAATGCTGGCAAGTAAGGTGTTGAAGGAGGGAGGGCGGTGGCATCTGCTGGCTGGGTGTGACAGCCCACTCCTGTTGTTTGGACTCGCCATACCAGGTTAGTGGTTCACTATGGTGAACAAAAAATGCAGATACTTATATATAACATGTGTATATAGTGTAATAACAGCAAAACTATTTGTTTATTGTTTTATGAACATAATTGAATCACTAATATGCACATCATACTTTTGAGTATAGCAATGGTTCACACATTTTATTACTTAAATATATCACACTATACACTACAGTATTGAATAATATTTAAAAAAAAAAAAAAAAAAAAAAAAAAAAAAAAAAACTGAAATAATTAGGTAATGATGATATTGTGGCAACTCCTGCCTGAGTGTGGGTGGAGGAGACCAATGTGGAACACATACTTTGTCAGCGCCTGAATTTTGCCAGACTCTCGCCGACTAGGGACTCCCCAGAAAAGCTTATTTTTATAGGTGCACTATTCCTAATTCACTAACAAACTTTTATAACCCATAACCTGATACAGTAGTGATTAAGTAATCAAGGCAGAGCCAGGAAAGGAAAGACATCACAATGGAAACTGATACAGGAGCTATAGAGGCAGTAGGCCTTCCAAGCCATTTCACACTGATGCACTGAAAGACAAATATGAAATCAAGATGTCTGCCACCCAACTCCCATACAGTTGGCAGTATACAAGGTCTATCAACTCCATACATGAAGATCGGTGGAAAGCCTCAAACAATCCAGGTATGTTGTGTCACCAATCTTTTGAGAGAGGTTAAGCCACAGGATTGAGAACCACCACCCAGCCCACAAAAGTCTCCAACCTGCCCACACGGAAAAATGCAGCCAGACCAGGTAGGAGACCACTGCCCCTGAGGAGACCTGGAGATGAAGCCCAAGCCAAGATCGGGCACATCTGTTTAAAGCTCGAGTGATGGAGGAATGAGGAACCAGAGCCATGGAACTAAGCTCTGGAAAAGTAGAGGAAAATGACAAGATTTCCTTCAGGCAAAGAAGCGTGTGCAATGAATGGTCATGAACGTGACAAAAGGATGCCCTTCAGAGAATACAAAAGAAATCCCAAGCCACATAGACCAAGTTCAGGCTGCCCAAATGGAACTCTAGTGTCGATGGATAAAATAAAAGGGGCAACTGTGGAGGAGAAGGGAGAGGCCATCCTGCAATTTCAGAATAGTCCCAGCCAAGGAATAACCTGAGAAGGCACTGACTGGGACTTCCACTAGTTGTCCAGAAAGCCCAAATGGGGCTAATGGGAAAAAAAAGAAAAAAAAAAAAAGACATTGAATGGTGCCTCTCCTAGTCTGTCCTAAGTATTCAAAGCAAGCTTGAATGGTCCCCAAGCCACAAATCACTAAAGAACTCTGACCCAACTAGGGTCTGAACCTGCAGTACCAGGAGTTACCTGGCGTGTACAGTAAAATAACCACTTCACCAGCAAATGTTTTGCCGACTTTCAGAATGCTTTCCCGGTGAAATAGCAGCATGAGATTTGTTCCCTGTGCCTCTTGTGAAGGGGCCAGATTTTGGCTTTGGTCCCTGGTAGGTGAAATGAACTTGTGCAACTGATGTGACTGGTTGATTGGCAGCAAGATACTACAGAAAGTCAAGTGCCCCTCCCCTCCCCCCCAGAAACATTGATGCACATAAAAAATACTGCATAAATAGTAGTTTCAGGCATGGAATTGGACAGGGAAGCCTTAACAATGACTCAGTAGGGGAAACTAAATTTAAAGCTTAGTTCACCTCTCGAATTTAACCCAGTTACTGTACTTGTATGAAAATCATACATTTTAGTGCACAAAACAGCATACAGGCCAAACTCAATTATAGTACAGTATATAAAATTATAAATACCTTGACAGGAAACTTCAATTGGTTGTATAGTTCAGTAATAAGGAGATTATGAGGCAGAACCTTCCTCATTTTCATGATTCGAACAATTGCTGCATCAATTTGGTATTGCCGGTCCTGAAAAACTCTTTCTTCGGTCTGTTGCTGTTCCTCACTCTGAAAAAGGATTGAAACAATTAGTGATTTTTAATTTTTGTATTGAATGTAGTTACCATGGAAGAGGTATAACCACTTGATAATATACTAAGCAGAGAAAGAGGAAATACAGTAGGTTAAAATGCCCAGCAGACCAGGTTAGTTTTATTTTCAGGATTAATACATTATACTGAGTTAAGTGAGGTCTATGAGCGAGGTTGATTATATCTGGTATAATCAACCTTAAAAATTTTGTGAGTTAGAAAGTTACAATAATACTATTTAAGTACCTGTACAAGTTTAAAAATACATGCCATATAATTCAAAAGAATGAAGTGACTCATTCAAGGAATGAGAAGAACCCAGCATTGAATGTAATGAAATGCCTCTTTCTGGAAGAGCCCTGGTAGCTCCCTGAAGTTATCTCGCCGAGATTATACCATGCAAATGGGTCACAGAGCGAATGATAATACACCACCACACCAGGAAAGCTTTACAGACAACTAACTGGTGGGATAATGAAAACCTGTCTAAAAATTGCCAAACAACTCTACAAACGATTCACACTGAACACAAGAAGGCCGACGAGCCTCCTGATCCTACTGGGATTTCGGAGCAATCGTCTTCAGAAGCACTCCTAGCTCTGAGCCATCTTTTCTCCTTTCGAGGATACCCCTGTACCAGGTGTTGAGCATGGACTATGACTATCCCAGAGCCTTCATAGCAAGCTTCTGGGGCTGAAGGGGAAGCCCAAGGAGTGTCCATGGCTGCCCTCCAATCTTCTTAAGACCTTAGTACCCTTTCTAGAGGGGTCTTTTGCTTCAGGGGGTTGTTCAATTCTGAAAGATTGAGGGTGTACCATAGGACCACCGAGTCCCTATTTAGGACTGGGAACAATCACCAAAGTAATGAAGTCAACTCAACCATACATGAGGTCATCCATACCGCAATGACTAGATACTGAACTGGGAAGGATACCTGAACCAAAAGCCTCGATCCCAGGAAAGATGGAAGGACCGACCATCTCCACTGTAGCCTGAGGAAAACAACCTGAAAGGCCCAGGAATTGTGGAACCAAGAGCTGGCAAAATGAGACAGATGCCCCCTATGGCAGTATTAAAGTGGGTGAACTGTGAAAGGGCCGGTGTGTACCACAAGTGGAACCATCCTTCTGCAGTGCTTAGTTGTACAGGAAGTGCAACAGCCTGGAAATCTAATTCTCCCAAGGATCTACCACGATCAATAGCAGGCGAGATCCCAACCTTACCAGACTGCCTCTGTGCAGGGGAAAAACCCCAAGAAAACAACAAATGATCAATAGGCTATTAGGAGAAGGATGCTACAAACAGCATTGACAACACTTGGGATGATGCATTGTCTTCACAAGCGCTTCCCTGCGAGAAAGGGAAGGCAGACAAAAGGAACCAGGCCGAATCTAATGAATGGGCCAAGAAAACCCATTGACAAATGTGAAGGGCCAAGTAAAATGCCGCCACTGCCTCCCGAAGGAGAGGCGGTGGCAGCAGAAACCCCAGAAAACCCCTCCACAAGAACCCAAACCTACTAGATTGCCAACAAGTGCAAACATGCCTTGTGGTCATCCACGATAAGAGTCCTGGATAGCACAGGCAGCTGCACCTAGAGCTGCCATTTGGGAACATCCTTGGGAAGTGCCGGAGCAAACAGGAATCTCCAAGAAGAGCTTAAGAAGCACTGCCCAAGAACACCTGAAAGAATACACCTTCCATAAATTAAAGTGTGTGTATCTGAAAGAACCCTTGCCAAGCCCCCAAGAAAAAAGAGGGAATGTCAGCCAGCCAGGATGAATACGGGACCTCGCATCGCAACCAATAAACCAAGATGGACCCACACTTAAAACGAGGCCAGGTTTTGGCTCTGGTTCCCAGTAGGCCAAACAACTCCATTTGATGTGAGCCCTTTCCATGGAACAGCCTCAAAGAGATAACTTCAGGGAGCCACCAGGGGCTCCCTCAGAAAAGAAGATGCTATATAAACAAATAACTAAAAATAATTCTATAAAGTGTAGTATCTTTTGCATTTCTATATTCATATAAAATAATTTTTTATTTAATAAAAATACAGTACTGCATTGATTTCCACATTCACAACTAAAAATTATTGATGAAAGTACAGAATTTTGTTTCCACTTCATATCATTTTCAAGTAATTTACCAGACACTAATACTTTCTTTTGTAGTTTATTTCACTAACATTTGTAGGTTTAGTTCTAGTTGTCATTATAACACAAAATTCATAGTCGACAATTCTTAATACCACACTCTGAACTACAAAGCATGGCTTCTTACCGTTTCCTTCATTTGAATTTGATTAATTCTGATCCGAAACAGTTGGTTAGTGAAGTCTTTATTGTAGATAAACTTGTCATCATCATTAACATCCTTACTACGTGGAGTTTTCTGGAGAACTCTTGCTTTGCCGCATGCTAAAGACTGCAAAGTACGGCGAAGCTCACCATCCTAAAGTTAAAATAAGAGAATATTAAAATCTGGGTACACAAGATCTAGTATCCTATATCTAAAAAAAAAAAAAAAAAAAAATGTAAAGAATGTCAGCCGATAGTTTTATGGACGTTATATGGAGCAGAAACATATGTATGATTCACATACATATCTAGAAATAAAGTAGGAATATAAAACAAAAAGATCGTAACAAAAACAAGATTTAAAACGGGAGCAGAATATTGTTATGAAGAGCTAAAGATCACTTGAAAGTCCCGACCAAGAAGGTGGTCCAGAGCAAACTGCCAGCAAACAGTGAGTGTAATATTACAAATTCTAAACTTGTGCAGCATTATAAAACTGTGGAAACTGACATGGCATAGAATAAGGATGCTCAAAATATGAAGTGTAAAATTGCTGATTAAAATTAAGTTACAAATCTAACACATGTTACAAACACCAAAATAAGTACAGAATAAAGTAGAATGGAGTCAGGAAGACTGCATGTAAAAAATGAAGTGTGAAGTCAATAATCAAACAATTGAACACCATCTTGCCCAAAACGGTGTGTGTATTAGTGGCTTTAGACATAGTATGTACTAGCTCTATCTAGAATTCCAACATTCTGTTTGTAACATCTTGAATGTATGTACTTTTGCCTGAATAAACATTTATTTTTATGTATATTACTATGGAGCATTTCAGTGGATTACACAAAATAAATTGTTGATGACAAATGATGACACTGTGCAGACAAACTGCACACTGAACAGCAGAGCAAGGATAAATTTAATTTAAATGTTAACAATCCATGTCAGTTGCAAAAAGATTGAGGTTAACATTTCTTATTCATTAACATAATAAATTAATAATTAACATAATGCATTCATTAAAATAATTAGCATTCATTTAAATTTGCAAGGCATTTAATAAAATACACAAATAATAATAGTGAAACCGTGTAATTTTACCCGATAAAAGCTTCGTTAGAAATTAAAGGTTTAAATCTTACCTCAATATTTGTTCCAGTTGCTATATCTCCTAATGAAAGGGAGTCTGCTTTATTAAACAATAGTAGTACTAAAGCCTGAAACAATGATACCTGGAGCTCTTTGGCACCCTGAGTAAATGCTGCTTTCAAAACACAGTGACCCAGTGTTGGCTGCCACTGAAAAGGAGTCGGAAAATATTTACAATGAATGGTGGTACATGATATAAAAATACTTATTTAACATTGTTATACATATACAAACATGCATGTGCATGTGTTAGGAGGCGGGATATACAGAGCTGGACCTCACCCCCTCAGTCACTAATAGGCAAGCCCTTGAATACACAGTGATCAAAGAGCCAAAGCTCAACCCCCGCAAGCACAATTAGGCGAGTATAGGTTGCAGAGAAAAACAATACCCAGGAAAGAGGTATATAAGAAAAGTAAAATTAACCCCTGATTTAATAGCTGATGCAAGGTAGTGAAACAAAACAAAAATATGAATTGAAGTGTAGTGAGGTAATATGAAAGTCACTAATACACTGGAGTTGGGAAAGAAGTGGAGAGGAAAATATAAAATGACTAAAACACACTTTTTAAAGTGGAAAATTATAGTGATCAGGCAGAAAACAAATAAGAATGTTATCACAGAAAACAAGCAATTAGCTCTGTCAAAAACTCAATGGGAGGCTCTCTAAGGAAGAGGTTTATTAATTAATAGCACAAGAACATTCTAACAACAATGACAGGAGGAGGGAGAAATAATACAGATCCTACATAATATACCTTATATTATCATGCAAAAGCTGTAATAATACTAACCTGCAATTTTCTATTACTATGTTTAGCTAGATAGAACTTTGTGAAGATCTGTTGATAATTAACCATTTCTGGTGGCATATTGACTTCCATCAATGGGTAATTTGGCCAGTAACCCATTGTTAAAATGTTAACATTAAGCTCCATGGCTGTGCTGCCCAGTTGCGAATTCTGAAATAATTGTCAAACATTTAATCACAGTTAATAAGTTTTGAAAAACAGTACTGATAAATAAATAATAAATTAACAAATAAACTGAACATTATAATAAAGTCTCCAGATAATTTTTTTTGTTAAAATTATTTATTGTTAATACATTGCAACCTTGATTTGATGAACTGAAGTATACAGTACCGATCCTGATTTGCTGGAGTGAGGGATTCGTTGCAATGATTATCTTGGTTATCTTGAGATGATTTCGGGGCTTTTTAGTGTCCCCGCGGCCCGGTCCTCGACCAGGCCTCCACCCCCAGGAAGCAGCCCGTGACAGCTGACTAACTCCCAGGTACCTATTTACTGCTAGGTAACAGGGGCATTCAGGGTGAAAGAAACTTTGCCCATTTGTTTCTGCCTCGTGCGGGAATCGAACCCGCGCCACAGAATTACGAATCCTGCGCGCTATCCACCAGGCTACGAGGCCCCCTCCCAATGGGATATGCCTTTAGGGAGACATTTGTGTGATGCATTCATTGTGCGAGAAAAACACATTGCTATGCCTGTTTCTCTTAATGTTTCAATTAACATTTTTTTTTTTTTAAATTTGACAGGAGCAATAATAAGCATTACCATTCATACCGTAATATTTCTTACTCTCTATGGCAGCACTTCTCAACCTTTTACTCCTTGAGGAACATTTGAAATAATTTTCAGGTCTGAAGGAACCCCCTGCATAAAAATTATGTAATATACAAACTTATTCCATATTTATTCCATCACTTACGTCCTCTAATTACCCAACACAAAGCCGCTATTAGAACAATATCCAACTCTGGCCCCAGACATCACTCGGTACCCCTACTCAAATCTCTTAATATGTTAGATATTAAGTCACTGCACATTCTCTCATGTGTATTATACATATATAAAACGCTAAACTATAATGCCAATCCTGATCTTAAAAGCTTCATAGAAGGTTGTAACAGAACCCATGAGCACCACACCAGAAATAAATACAGTTTTGATATTCCTAGAGTACGTCTTAATCAAACTAGAAATGCTCTGCAAATCAAGGGGCCCAGAATGTGGAATGACCTTCCCAACCATGTTAAAGACTGTACCTCTCTCAACCAGTTTAAGATAAAAACTAAACACTACCTAATAAATTCCCTGTAATCTACCTCACTCCTCTATTGTCAACCCATGTCTGTTATTTTCTTTTTTTTTTTTTTTTTTTTTTTTTTTTTTAATCAACACTGTTTGTCAACCTATTGTATTTGTGCTGCTTTTTCAGTCATGTTCCCCCTTTTTTTTTTTATCTTTATTTGTATTTGTTCTCAACATCTTTTATTCTTTATGCTCAATTAGTATTAAGTTCTAGATATTAATGTTTTTCTTGCCCGAAACGCATTGCGTAATAGTGGCTTTAGGCATTGTATGTACTAGCTCTATCTATATATCAATCCATTAATGTAACATCACTTGTATGTATATACCTTACCTGAATAAACATCTGAATCTGAATCATTTGAATCTGAATTTATGAATACAAAACAGTCATTGAAAATGTCCACATGAAACCCTAGGGTTCTACAAGAAACACTGCTCTGGACTAATTTCAGAGTAAAATTTTAATTTCAACATATGATATGGACAACTACCATGAGAATGTGTCTGTGAAGGATTTTCATTACATCTAGCCTATTTACCATGCCCCAGCCTGGAAATCTTATTTTCAAAGGTAGCAAGGCCTATCTTAAAGTAAATGAAATCCATGCCAACTCAAAAATGAAAATGAACCATAAAAGTTGGTTTAATTTAAATGTACTAAATGACTTTCCCAGCACTCCAACTCCCAATGCTGTTCCATCTATGATAATAATTAAAAATGTGATTATAGCCATATTAAGTGAATTGCCATTCATACTTTAATATTTCCCATGCTTTAAGGGATAATTCCACTGAGCAAAATTTCCATTTCAACCTATCTTATTATGGACAACTTTTCCAGAGGTATGTCAACTCTGAACCTGTTTCTCAAGCAAATCCACACATCCCAGCTTCACTGAATCTCCAAACACTTGCAAAACGGGTGAGTAAACTGCATACGGAAAGTAGGCTGCAACCAGAGATTTACTGAAATGAGGTTTGCATATTCAAGGCTGCACTGCACTCTAGTTGAATTTCTCCTCATTGTTCAGAAAAAAAGATGAATGAATTACATATCTGAATATTAATACTGACCTCCAGCCATTTGAACCTCACCTTTAAACATACATCTAACTATAAAGGTAAGGTAATTATCAGGAGAAAGTGCTAAAGCATGACAACTATATAGCACTTGGAAGGAATATGAGGATAAGGATTTAGGATAGGATAAAGGAAAGGAATGGTGCCCACCCACTTGGACGGACAGGGATTGAAGGCTAATTTGCAAGAAGCAAGACCATCACTCTACCGTCCAGTCCAAGTGGTTGGACCATCTAACCATAAAAAGATAAGCAAATTATTTAAATTCTTACTTGTTTAAAGGCCAGCATTATGTCCTTGGATAATTCCATGTCTTTAAACATGCCTTCTAGCTTACTAGTAAATCCAGGCCCACATTCTTGCTTCAACTTGCTCAGCATGCTCTTTTCTGCATCTACACTGGCCGATTTACCAACTAACAAACGCTTCGCCAAATCCTACAAATAAAATTGTAATGCATTTAAAAATGTTACCGAAGCAACATACCTAATAATAAATGCATATACATGTTCAGATATGAAAAATTAAAGTTATATAAATGTGTGCCAAACACAATGAACAGAAATGGACTTCGTTTTAGTGCTAACGGACACACTATCACCACACATTAAAGAATGGGAAGACTACAGGGAGGATGGGTAGTAGTTATATACTACATACAATATATATAAATATAGTATTAGTTGGCAGTATATCCTTTGGGTTTCTAAATTATTATTCATCAGAAGAGTAGACACGAGTCTTGCACCTACATTCTGCTGAAGAGGGTCTCAACTAGGAGACCAAAATATTCTCAATTATTGATCATAATATTGACTTAATCTTACACATGTAGTTAACTTTCCAATGAATTTATAGAACAAACTGGGTTTCATTTTGCATTTGTCTTTAATATCGTACCTGAAGTTTTTTTTCATCCTTTCTTGTCACTACCATATAGTGATTTTGGACTTGAATGTATTTCTCGTGCATCACATGTATTTCTCATATTTCCCTCGTTATTTTGAGGTTATCTTGAGATGATTTCGGGGCTTTTTAGTGTCCCCGCGGCCCGGTCCTCAACCAGGCCTCCACCCCTAGGAAGCAGCCCGTGACAGCTGACTAACACCCAGGTACCTATTTTACTGCTAGGTAACAGGGGCATAGGGTGAAAGAAACTCTGCCCATTGTTTCTCGCCGGTGCCTGGGATTGAACCCAGGACCACAGGATCACAAGTCCAGCGTGCTGTCCGCTCGGCCGACCGGCTCCAGAGACTCGTGAGTCGAGTTTCTGCCTAACTGGTTTAATTTTTATTCTGTGATCTCTAGCTCACTCCTAATTTATGTTGATGCAGTCTTATTTTCCAGTTGCTTCTTTCTTTTGGGGTGAAAGATTGGGTGCCTTTGTTATAAATTAAAAAAAAAAAAAATATATCTCATTTAACCAATACTGCCAATCAACAAAGTTTTCTAATCAAATCCATTGAAAAACTCTTTAAAATTTTTTTGGAGAACTAAAGTCAAGTTTCTCTGATGCCTCTCTCACCTACTTCTTATTATCAAATGACATATTTAATTTTCCAATAGGACACTATCATTCCTACCAATTGGAGGCAGGTAATGTAGGTCAAATATTTCTTCCTCTTCCTGGTAAAGATGAGATCCAACAATGATGGAACTTCCCCTTTCTTGGCTGCAGTGATATGGTTTATGCGCCAATGCATAAATGTATCAAGAGCAAGATTACTGAATTTATAGATTCACAGGTTTTCTGCGCTTGTTCACAAGCCTCTTGTGATCTATTAATTTTATATTAAATTCTCTTTGTACCAATATAATATCAACCTGCTATATTTATTATCATTCATATAATCATTATAAAACTTGCTTGCATGTCATATGTCCACATATTACTGCAATGCCTCCACTATTTTGAATTCCGAATTGTAGTTTTGTTTCTGTCCCAAAACTACAATATCCAGTACTTTCTGCTGTATTACATTTAGCTCTAGTGTTTTCAAACTCACCCAATCTATGTAAGCATACAATATTTTAATAAACCTGTTTCCTCCATTCAGCAACCTGTATTTACTTGACTGGTGTTATGTCCCCTGAACCTGTGGTCAATTTCCCTAGCTTGCCCCAACTTAGGTTTCTTTAAGAAGTTTTCCACACCACCAACAATTATCTCTAGACGTGTGTGAGGGTGTGCATGTATGCACGGGTGTAAGTGATCACAGTAATTGTTAAAAGGGTTATTATTACACTAAAATAAACATTTAACTTACTTTCTTGTAAAAAGCTTCAAACACATCCTTGCCATGAATAAATCTAAAAAGAACCATAATTTTGTCTAGGAGTCGTTCAAGTTCATCTTCGGTTGCTTCTTTGTTACCAGCACGTAGCTTACCATCTACAAACTTAGCTGTGAAAGATGAGAAAACATATGTTAAATCTATTGCACATTGGCACAGTAGACCCATATCTTCAAGACAATTTTTATCAAATCTTATACAAAAACCCGAATATAAATTTTGAATACTCTTTTATACAAACAGCCACTCAGAAGCTATGAAACTCTTCAAAAAAGACATTTATGGGATATTCACCAAAAACAACTGTGCTACATAGTCTTCCTGTCTTGGTGCCTTCTTTGGATACTTACTTACCAAAAACAAATATTGCAATAAGGGTGTTTCTCCCTTCCCAGTTTTCTTAAATTTCTCAGGCTGTCCTACCCAAACACTCAGGCTTCACCTCAACTCTCACAGGCATTCACAGTCCCTGGCCTAGTAGTGTTCATGCCAGTGGAAAAACTCCACTTTTTGGTTTGGAACCACTGGAAATTTGGTTTCTCCCTTCATTTCTGCAAACCCATATCTTAACCACTGATTTCCTACAGATGACTAGACTAAAATTAACAAGACTATCAGCTCATGCTACAATGATCATGGGATGATCTATGCTTTGCTCAAGTTCCAAATATGTAAGCCTGGAATAAAGTTGCAATAACTGACAATTTCAAAGTGTTATTATACCTGGCAGAGATTTTCACCCATTTGGAAGAGCTACCTTTAGAACTTGGAACCAGCCTAATAGATTTTGGTAGAAAGGTCTTCACATGGGTTGAGGAAGTAAAAGGAGACTTGAACTTCAGCAATTTTGAGTTAAGAGGGAGTTACAATAAGGACACGAGTAAGTAGTTTGTAATGCTTGAAGGTGGTATTTAAATATAGTGGAACATACCTTTAATTGATCAATCAGAATCAAATTTAAAATTCTCTAGTCTCTCCCTTCCTCCAAATACATTACAGTGAGGGCAACCAACAAAAAAACAGCTGCATTGGAATTGACAGGTCACACAAACCCAGGCTAGATTTATGCTTGACCGGGAAAAGGAGGGCCTTGCATAAGGAAGCAACCAGCTCAAAAGTTAATGTTTCCTAATACAATGTCTTTTTTTTTGGGGGGGGGGGGGGGGGCTCATACCACCCCACACTATAAAGTGGAAATCAAGTCAATAATAATGAATTAATCAACTTCTAAAAATCTGCCACCAGAGTCCATATTACTCAGTAACAATGCATATCTTCTTTGCATTACTATGTAGCAGTCTCAAGAGTTTCAAGCTGATGCATGAATGTATTCACCAGATATTCCACAGACAGCAAATTTGGAAAAAAAAAAAAAAAAAGGCAGTGATGTACTTCATACAGAAAATTATAATAATATTTCATTCTTGCAATACAGTATTTAGATGACAGCAAGTGGTAAAAATTATATAGAAGCAGCTTACAGAGGCCACTCCATGTCTTGATAGGGTCACAAAGAATGTTCAAAAAATTAAATACATTATACTGTAAGGTAAATCTGAAAGTATGTATTCTTATACACCTTATATCACACCTGTTAAACCTACCTATTAACTCAGCTGGCTTGTTGAGTCTCTGATTTATGAAATGCTCAAATGCTTCTTTCAATGCTAAAACAAACTTATCGGAAGAGTTGAAGCATTCACTAACAATGCCATCCATCTTATCCTTAAAATCAAGAAGTTCCTGTACCATTCCTTTATCTTTCTCGGGGTTGATTACAATTGTTTTCCCATACGACTGAAAGTATAAGAATAGCTTTTAATGTACTTGTAGTAGTAAAATTAAAGACAAAATTAAAATTTATTTTGCATTTGCAAGAAATATTTATTTTAATATAAGCACACTTACAGTAATATAAGTTTTCTAATGGGGAAAGTATTTTTTGTTAATTATTTATTCAGTGTTTCTTCCAACAGATGTACAATAACATTTATAATGAAAATTGGCAAAGTTAAATTATATTTTCATGGTGTCCCATCTTCCCAGCACTCACTCATAACACTTTGAAACTACAGTCAGCCACATGCTTTATGAATGCCCGTTATCCGATTGCCGTTTGTTCGGATAAAAAAGTTCAGATAACTTGTAGGGCAGGCAGTCTGAATAAAAATGCGTAATAATGATGGAACAGTTTGCCCAGTGACTGCACACAGTACCACCTGAGCAGTGTTCATACACTAATGGATGGCTCAGAAGCTTTCAACTCTGCCATGGCATTAGGTACATTAGAGTACATGGTAAAAAGCAATTTGCTGACATTACACGATCGCCATTAATCTCTACTTCAGTCAACCCAACACTTATCATTATCCACCACCACCTTTTCTAGTCAACCCAACACTTATCATTATCCACCACCACCTTTTCTATCTAAATATCTTGAAGATTATAGTTGATTGATTGTTGCATATAGCAGTGATGTCAGGCAGCCACTACTGCTTGAGGTGATCACATTAACAGCATTAAGCTAGGGTTCATTACATCACACTTGTTACTGTCAGTGGGACAAACTGTGCGAAGATTTGTCTATGACACCTCATAGACCTCATAATTGTCTATGACAGTTATCCCCAATTTCCATGCACTGTATACACAATTTGTGTTCTAATTTTAGTGAATAAATTTGCATATTAAGCACATGGTGTTTCAGGAAATCCTCATTCACTCATATCTAAAAACTTGCCATATCGGTCCCATAAAAGGATCCTCCACCTATACTAGCCCCATCATAAATTTTTATGAACCAATAAGCTGCATTTCTCTGCACCACCAGGTTGAGATCAGACACCACCTATATCTAGCAAGATCTCCTTGGGATCTTGTACTGTTGTCTAGGCATTTGATGTGGCTGATAACTATTTTGAGTGACTCGCATGGATATGTGAAATTAGGGACTCGAAAGTAATAACGTAAATTACCATTACCACATTGTAAACAAACCAGTGATGATGAACTTTACCACAACTAAATGGCATCCCAGGTCATCTGAAGCTGAAGTTAGCCAGCCCCACCCCCCCCCCTTCATTCACAAAGCTGCACACAAAGGTGGTCCAATTTTAAAGTATCTTGGTCAATCCTGAATCTTTGTTTGCATTTGTGCCCAAAACACTTGAGTCAATTTTGCCCTATTCGAAAACAGTGGAAAAAGAATATAAAGGAAACAAACATTTTGAAATGAAATATCTTTCTGGTGGGAACCTCAGTAGCTTCCTGTGCTACTGGTTAAGAACTCCAGATGAACATTAGAGAGAAGCGCAAGACTGTCGAGATCTACCTTTGCCTATTTGGAGGCTAGAACAAAAAATTGACTTGCCCTATGAGGTGAAGTAAACTTTGTGATCAGAGATCTATGCAAAACCCACGAACGAAATTAGGGACCCAAAAGTAATAATGTAAATTACCATTACCACACTGTAAACAAACCAGTGATGATGAACTTTACCACAACTAAATGGCATCCCAGGCCATCTGAAGCTGAAGTTAGCCAGCCCCCCCCCACTCCCTCATTCACAAATCATCCAAAACAAACCCTACAACTCCATAGAGAATAAGGGAACAGAGCAGGCATGGATATATAATGAGGGGCCCCACCAATAAAGGGCATTTCTTTTCATGGCTCCTTGGTAGAGAAGGCCAGCAGTTCTAAAACAGAAAAGCAGCAAATGCTGTCCAGTGAAAACAGATGGCAGAAGGTAAAGGGGACCTCACAAAATCTCAAATGCAAAGAGTGCAACACAAGTATGGCAAGGACAAGGGACACCTCAAGGCCAACACCAAGAACAAGACCTGAGGTCAAAAAAGCAATGAAGCCACCAGCAATACAGAGCAAGAGGCTGAGGACAGGACACCAATACCCAGGAAAACCCAGCTCTGATACCAGCTTGCTTTGTTGTGCTCATGCTTTATGGTGAGGTTTTCTCTGGTTTAGTTTTCTCTGATACACAAGCTCCTTCTACCTTGTAAAGGGAGCCAGATTTTTGTCCCGGCTTCCAGTAGGCGAGGGTAGGTCTCGAAGGCCTAGTGCTTCTTCCTAGGGTTTAACCAGATGTTAGCGCAGGGAGCTACCAGGGAAAATACATGGAAAATATAGCTTAGAACCAGTTTTAATTGTAGAAAGATATAAAACACATTAGGCCAAAACAAACTACGACTTACCTTAATATAAGCATTAAAATGGGTACAAAGATCTTCCAATCCTCCCTTAATACGGGCAAAGAGGTTATACAAGAGAGAGAGGTCGTGGCGACGATTCTGATCAAGGAGGGAGTCTAGCCCCTTTTGAAGCAGAAGAGTTTTGTGTTCACTTAACAGTTGCTTCTCCACACAATATATCAACTGCCGTCTGTAAAGTAAATATAAAACAGGTTTATAAGACGTGTCCATAACATTGAGGTTAAAACCATCCTCTTTTAATGACTGGTTTTATGCACACACTGTATTTGTAATTTCTGTACTAAACTAGTTGAAGCTTATAATGAAAATGAACACTGAGGTGATGGCAAATATCAACTGTGACATTCAACAAAACGGAACATGACACCCATGATGAATGATGAAAAAATAACAATCGATTAATACAAAGCAAAATCACGAGAACATAAAAAATGTTCACAGAAATTAACACTAATATTCTAAGTCATCGGCGCATTCTCGATTGTAAATATTCCGGGTATCTCAGGGTCCTGCTTTGCAATGCCAAAAATATTTACACACTTGTTATGTACAGTTTTTGAGTTTCTGTATAACTATAAATTTGGTGTCAAAATGTTCCCATACACCTCCTCCTTCGTGTGTGTAGGGGCCTCGTAGCCTGGTGGATAGCGCGCAGGACTCGTAATTCTGTCGCGCGGGTTCGATTCCCGCACGAGGCAGAAACAAATGGGCAAAGTTTCTTTCACCCTGAATGCCCCTGTTACCTAGCAGTAAATAGGTACCTGGGAGTTAGTCAGCTGTCACGGGCTGCTTCCTGGGGGTGGAGGCCTGGTCAAGGACCAGGCCGCGGGGACACTAAAGCCCCGAAATCATCTCAAGATAATCTCAAGATCTCAAGATACACACACACCACTCATTAGTCTTATTTCCTAATTGACATATCAAGTTCATGTGATTACTCTCTGTATATCACATTTGCAAACTATTCTTTATTTTGGCTTAATTTTAAACTTAGCCCATTTGTTAACTCAAATGTTAGTAATTTTTTTCTAGCTTACAATTTTTTTTTATTAATTGCTTATACGTTAATTTAGATCTGATGATAGTCGTAGTTCTGCTATTTGAAAAAAAAGATACATTATGTATGTATGTATACATGCCTTTATATATGTGCATACATATTAGATGCCAAAATAACTTGTCTATGAATATCCACAAAAAACCATTATACATACTTAGTTGACATATCTAGGTAATGAAGGACTCTATTGTTCTCCTCAGTGAGTCTTTTGTCAACATGGAGTAGGTACTGCGGGACATCACGATCCTGTGTGAGTCTCTGTCCCTCACGGAGGTAAAGTTGTTCTGTTGCCACTAAAAACCTAGAGATTGAAGTAATTATTTAATGACAAAAATAATTAAGGTTATTGTATCATACAAATGTGTGATACAATAAAGTCTTATGAGCAACATAATATGAATAGCAATGAAGCAATTTACACACTGTACTACTGTATACTTAAATATTGATAAAATGTCTACCTATGACACTAAAGCTCCCGACTGTCCAAATATAAAACCGACATAACGCTATCCATTTACTGAAAACTAAGATATAAATCAAGCATTCACGGTAGCAAACTGCCCGTTTCTGGTCGGAACCTTCTGTATCTTCCTGAGGTTTAAGTGTTGGTACTACTAGGCCTGGAGTATACCAGGATTATGAGACTAACATAAGCCTACTGGGGACAAGGACAAGAATCTGGTACCTTCAATGAGGTGAGAGAAGGATGGATATATCATAGACTGACCCACAAACTGAAGAAAACCAATGATTAAGTATCAAGTCTATAAGATACAAAAATCACGGCTTGAAAAAGCTAATAAAACAATGTAAATCACTTAGGAAATGGGCAGGATGGTGAAATCAAACCAACATCCTGACTCATCCCAAATGCAAGATTTCACCAATGGACCATGATATACTGAAAGTTACATAGCTTGGTGTCTATTTAAACTCCCTAGGAAATTGGCGGCACTAAGCTGGCACCCAATCCAATTTTTACATGTAACCCACAAACACACTGGTGCAGGTAATGAACTTCTCTACCAAACACTCCAGCCAAATACAATCTGAAACCATAATATTGTGATATATCTGGTAGAAAATCTTTGTAGCAGGATTGAACCAGCATCCTGGTGACCCCCAGAGGAGCACAATAATTAGCAAGCAACCAGGGTTGTAAGTCATCAATCCAACAGGCAGCATGGTAGCAGTAGAAAGAATGATCGTTGTCACTTAGCAAAGGCAGGCTCAACAGGCCATCCTTTATGGTTTAATTGGCCGTTGGCTGCTCAGTACTTCTGCCACATTTGTGAAGTAAAACTTAAAACTAATATTGCAGATGATTTTATGATAATTTCCCATTTCCACGCAATAAATAATTGTTATGCCATAACTGAATGAGCTCAAGCTTGATACTAGAATATGAATTACACTGAAAATACATTTCACAAACTGTTAATTGGTTACAAAAATGCAATTCAATAACATTGAATAAGAAAAATATTTTGTAGGAAACAACAAAGTGTACTGCAGATATGTAAAGCAACAAAAATAAAATTCCACTTACAATAAAAGTAAATACAAACATAACTTACTTATTCTCAAAAACTTTGTGATACACTTGAAGAGAAGAGAGCATTCTAAGGAGGGATTTGACGAGTGATCTGTCGATAGTCTCCCCTGACCGTTCTTTTTCTATCATCATTAGCAAACCATCAACACATCGATTTTCTACTACTACTTCCTCTAAAATATGTTGCCGGAACAATTCTAGACCCATATCCCTGCAAAGATTACAAGGTTTTCAACTTTTATGATTAAAATTAAAATAACTGATTCAAGAACTTTTAAAGCTATCACTATGAGTTAAATTCTATAATTGCACAATGAATTAAGGGGTCGAGTGCACAATTTCTCAACCTTCCTCAAACACTTAAATTTTTTGTGCACAATCTACATGATAAATGCTCCAACTTTTCCTAATGGATTCATATAAATTAAACAGAAAGACAGAGACAGACTGTCTATGTGTGTGTCTGTATCTGTCTGTCAGAGATACACAGACAGACAGATACAGACTATCTCTGTGTGTGTATCAATCAGATACGCAAGAGATACAGACAGTCTGTATCTCTGTGTCAGACATATACAGACAGATACAGAGATACAGACAGACTGTCTGTATCTGTGTCTGTCACAGTTCCAAAGTGTGTTTGTGCAAAATTAAATTTTCAGAGAACCAGGTACAATAGGGATTTTGGAGAATAACGTCACGTACATAGAGGTGTCTCGAGACGAAGTGGAAAAAACTCAAGAAACTAGGTAGGAACAAAGCAGTGGCCCAGATGGAGTTTCACCTTGGGTTCTGAGAGAATGCATAGCCGAGTTGAGCATTCCACTTCAATTAATTTTTCAAGCATCTTTATGTGTAGGAATCATAGTAGATACAATATATGGGAAAAGGAAAACACAGTTCCAATCTACAAAAATGGTAGCAGAGAAGACCCTTTCAATTATAGACGTGTATCATTGACTAGTGTCATAGTCAAAACACTAGAAAAATATTTAAAACCAAATGGGGTAGAACATTTGCAGAGAAATTATATAATAACAGACAGTATGGCTATTGAAAATGAAGATCCTGTGTAACAAGTCTACCTAGTTTCTATGATAGAGCCACAGAGATTATACAGGAAAGAGTTGGTTGGGTTGATTACATTTATCTAGACCGAAAAAAGGCTCTTGACCATGTCCCTGTCAAAAAGAGAGGTTCTGGAAACGAACACACTAGAGGGGTAACAAAGATTTCTAACATGGATGAAAAATTTTCTAACCTAGGAAAAAATGAGGGTAGTAATCAGAAGCATTGTATCAGATTGGAGAAATTTTACTAGTGGTGTACTACAGGGTTCAGTTCTTGCATCAGTAATGTTCTTCGTCTATATGAACAATCTACCAGATGGAAGGCAGAATTATATGAACATGTTTGCTGATGATGCTAAGCTACTAGGGAAGACAAGAAACTTTGATGATTGCTATGCTCTTCAAGATGACCTGGACAAATTAAGTGTATGGAGCAACACTTCACAAATGAAGAAAATAGGCCACATACACATCTTTCAAATTATGTGAAAAGTCTTTAAGGAACTAATAAAGAAAGAGATCTAAGGGGTGCTTCTGGATAGAAAACTGTTGCCCGAGGATCACAAAGAACATTGAGTGAGGAGCCAATGCTATGATTTCTGATTTCAGAATTGCTTGTAAATATATGGATGGCAAAATATTAAAGAAATTGTTCATGATCTTTGTGAGACCAAAATTGTAATATGCAACGGCTGTATGGTGCCAATATCTCAAGAAGGACATCAACAAACTGGAAAAGATGCAAACGCATGCAATGAATTGGCTTCCAGAACTGAAAAAACAAGAGATACAAGGAGAGGCTAGACGGTACAAATATGGCAAAGCTAGAAGACAAAAGAAAAGAGATGATATGATCGCTGCATACAAAATTGTAACAGGAATTGACAAAACTGAACGAGGAATTTTTGAAAGCTGCAACTTCAAGAACAAGAAGATTATTGATTTATAAGCTAAGAAAACAAAGCTGCTAACAAAAAACACTAGAAAGTTCTCTTTTGTAAACAGTGGTAGATGGTTAGAACAAATTAAGTGAGAAGGTAGTGGATTCCAAAACTGTACATGTAATTACAAGTAGATAATTATACTTAAGAAATTACACACATACTGGATATAATAAGGCACATATATATAAAGAGGTTAAGGCCAATTTTTACTTGGATGTGCTAACAAATTCCTTACCATATGGAAGAAACCTGAGCATTCTGCAGTACATAACCTCTGTCAAGAGCCAGGAAGATGTTACAAACCATCTTCATTTGATGACAGTGGTGTGTCCAGCAATCATTTAGTTGTCGTAAGAATGTCAAGCGATCACTGGTACCACTCAAGAACTGATTCAATCGTGATTTAATGTGCTTCTCTGTCAACTCTGGAATAATAGAGACATATAGTGCAAGATGCAAAGATACAAGACAAAGCAAAATTCAAAGGCAATGTAATTATCAGGAGAAAGCACTAACCCATTACGACTATATAAAACTTGGAAGAGATATGAGGACATGGATTTAGGATAGGACAAAGAAAAGGAATGGTGCCCAACCACTCAAGACAGTCAGAGACTGAACCCTGATCTACAAAAAACCATCGTTAAATGTAATAAAACGCCATTTTCTGGATGAGCCCCAGAGGCTCCCCTGGAGCTTATCGGGCTAATGTATGTTATATTAGACCGGGACATTAGCTAAGGAGTTCAGACCTACCAGGGACCAGTGCCAGAACCTGGGCCCCTTCAGAGAGGTTTCAGGGAGCAATGGCCCTGGAAAACCCCTTGTGGTTGGGGTTTTCCTTATCTGCCATCGACCGGGGTTAGGCACCCAGAAAGGTAGGCATAACAACAAACCCCACATGGTAAAAAAAACTAAAACAAAAAAATGAACAGAGAGGTAGAAACTCCTACAATCCTAAGGAAACATGCAAACATCACACTTTACTGCCGCGCCGATCGTTCGCGCAGCCCTCCCCGCCCCGAGAGGGGGAGGGGGGAGCCCCGGACCTACCACGCCGGCTGCTTAGCTTCAGTTTGGAAGCCAAGCTTCAACCAATGCAAAAAAATGCCGACCGGTGGGGAGGGAGGGTTGCCAGGGAGCCTCTGGGGCTTACCCAGAAAATGGCATTTCATTACATTCAACGCTGGTTTTCTGTGGGGAGCCCCTATGGCTCCCAGGAGCTTCATACCCAAAAAGAAGGACAAGAAAGGGCTAACCCGGGAGGCGGCCGCCACAAACTCTGCAACGCGAAGCCGAGACAACAGGCTGCAACCTGCAACCTGCAACCCAAGGCAACAAGAATGCACAGGAGCAGACGCGCATAAAGAATGGACAGCCAAGAACCTGTGCGACCCTCAAATAGCTCAACACAGCAGCAATAACTGCAAATGCCCGAACAGCATGGGCGCAAGGACAGACCGCAGGCTGGAAGACAAACCAATCAAGCATCAATAACCCAAGAACCTCTCCGGAAAACAGCCGTCTTGACCGTCGCCAGGATGGAGAAAGGCTGCAAACGTACAAACCTACCACCAGTACCAAAGAGCAGAAACCTGAACCAAAGGGGCTACCACAAACTGAGAAGATAAGAAGGCACCCTGATCAAGGACCAGTACGGCTCAGGCGACGCATGAGCAGACCGGAGGTGAAACAAAACACGAGAAAGCGAACGAAACGGGGCAGATGTGACGTCCACCCCGAACGCAAGCCGGAGCGGCTACGCCAGCGCCACACAAAACGAGGCGACAGTAAGAAACATCAAATAACTGTACATAAAATGAGAGACGCCAAGACCACACTGACGCAAAAATGGCCATGGCCTGGAGTCCATACGTCCAGCAGAGCCAACAAAATGAGTCGGCGATGACTGGCCAATCCACGAACAGAGGAATGAACAGAGACAGACTGTCCGCCAGGACGCAGGACACACCCCGGACATGAACCCGCACGGCTAGCCAAACCCCGAGAATCCAGCAAACGAGCCACTCGAAGGGACCAACCCCAAAGGTCAAAGACCTAAGAGAAACCCTGTGGTTCCGGCAATGAACCACTGGAGAACAGTCCGAATGGAGCTGAATGATAGAGCACCGAGTGACCCGAACCCTCCGAAGCACAAAACAGACAGCTGCGAACTCCCAAACCATGCTGTGAGCCCGACAGATGGACAGATCCCACCATCAACAGCCGACCTGGTGAGCAATGGTCACAAAGCCCCAGCCAATAGATGACCCATCCTTGAACACATCGAGCGAAGGCTCGGGGAGGTACCAAGGCACGGAACCCTGAAAACCCCAAAGAGAAAGTCGGTGACACAGCACCAACACAAGATCCCCGGAGGACGAACCCAATGATTGCAAGAGAGGCGGAAGGGTAGTCCCCGAAGGAACCAAAACAGACACCAAAGCCAAACCCTACCCTGCAGGCAGACCAGGACATCGAAGTTCAAACTCCCTCACAACCGCTCAAGCAACCGCCGAGCGACCTGGAACCTCCTCATAAACAGCCGAAGGCAGAACCACAGCCGCTGCATTGCTTCTGGAGAGAAAGGCAAGGAGCGGCCCAAGAGCACTAAACAAGACCCAACCAGGTCCGAACCCGGGACAGAAACAGATGGAACGGCCTCCAGATCACTAGGAAACCAAACCCGGCCGCCCCACCACCCAACAGAAGCCAGACCGGAGACAACAGTCCTCCGAAAAGGGCAAAGAATCCAGGGCGCAGACTGAACAAGTCCAAAAGAACCGCAGATCCCCAAGGCCCGTGTCTGCATAGAGCAGACGGGAACCCCGGAAGGATGGCGCAGATCAACCACGTCCAAACGCACCCAAAAAAAGGACATGATGAAGCACAGGGGAAGAAGCCCACCCCGCCAGCCCTGAACCCCCCAAAATGGGGAAAAGCCGTCCGCCACCAGAGGCCAGAAGACAACCAAAAACGCCCACGAACTGCGGGACTAAGCGAGAGCCAACAGAGCAAGCTACTCCCCCAGCGCCTCATCAACAGCGAAGGGAATGGAGCCCCTTCCGAATGAAAAGGTATATATATACATACACACACACACACAAGGTGTATTACACACGTGTGCATGTACATGAGCATAAACACACGTGTACACACACACACATACGTGTACACATGTACATGTATGTGTGTGTACACACACACACACACGAAAAGAAAAGAAAAAATAAAGAAAAGAAAAATACAAGCCGCCGACCAGTGGGCAGAGAGCATCACGCTGGCCAGGCGAAGACGGCACAAAGAAAGTACAAAACTGTATCAAAAGGCCCACCTCGACAACAAAACCCAAGGCCCGGTATGACCACAACATGTGCCAAGACCCAAAAGGTCAGCCTGCAAGCCAGGAAGACCCTGGAACCCCAGAAGGCAGAACCGGGTCACACACGAGGAAACAAAGCCCCCTGAGATCCCACAAAGGGGGGCCCAAGAGGAAGAAACCTCCGGAACGAAACCAAAGGAACCCAGAATCGAACCAGGGGGAGGCCCAAACTACAACATTTGTCGGCGAAAATACACCACAGAAAGGCAAAGCACAGCCCCCCAGACAGAACCCTCAGGAAAAGTCAAAACAGACCGAAAACTGAGGGATAGGGTGTGGGAGCAGCCATAAACAGCCAGGGGACACTGAGCCCAAACCCTAGAGCCCAGATCTAAAACAGACAGAAAACGGAAAAACCAGTGTAAAAATCAATACCCAGGCGTTCCCAGAGGAACAGAAGATGGGCAGAAAACACCAGAAAAGCAAAGAAACCCCCCCTGAAAAGAGGTGAAAAACTCACCTAAGATGCTAGCTTGCACACCCAGGCACATGTAAACAGACTGCAATGCCACCCTGGTGGCCACGCCGGGAAACCGGCAGAAGAAAATGGCCACCAGAAACAGAGGGCCATGACCGACGCAATAGATACGAAACACCAGCAAATGTGGGAAGCAAGCAGACTAGATGGACGAAAAACTCCGCCCAGAAGCAGAAAACCCAGGCAGGGGCAAACCGCCCCAGAACTTCTAACAGGCATCCCCCACAGCCCCGGGAACCTGCAACAGAGACCCCGGGACAGAACCTTCCTTCATGCCCTCTGCCACTTAAAAAAAGGAAGAGTCCAGGGAAAAAGGCAGCAGGAAAGGGCCGCTGGTAAGACCCAGAAGTCTTGGCTGGAGGAAGAGGCACGAAAACCTCCGTCCCCAATCCGAACGGGGCAGCCCCCGAAAACCGCCCTCGGTCCCAACTAAACCACGTCCTGACCCTGAAACCCACCGACGGTCAGGAGCCGGAAACAGGGAGGGAAAAGGGCGAACAGCACCTAACCAAAATGGTGTGGCCTCAGGACATCCGAGTGGGAAACTAACCTAGCACGTTGCAGCAACCTAAATGAAGCTTGTAACATGGATGCTGCCTGTACTCTGAACAGTAATAACATCAGGAGAGTACTGGAGAACAGAACAATCTCGCAAGACTCCGGGTCAAGGTGTCAATGACCAAACAGGCAACATGACGGAGGTAGAAGTGGCGACTGTCACCCGGAGACAAGGGCACAGCAACCAATGAACCCGCACAAGATGGGTTGTTACCCAGAAGACACATTCAATGGTCCACCGAGCCCCGACAGCATTTTCCAGGGCCCGTAGGGTAACAACTATGGGAAGCCCGGGCAAGGTGTTGCTAATCGGTTAAAATCCAAAACTAACTAGAGGGTAGAGGAAAACACTGCAAACCCCTGCAACGTGTACAATCACGGGGGCCTAGCAGAGGGCCATCAAACTCTACCAATGGAACTATAGCCACACTAGGCAGACCCCCACCAGGCAAATGAAAATAAAAACAAAAGAAAACCCCCGCAAAAGTACACCGTCTCCAGAGTCAACATGTTGCCGTTTAGGTGGCAGGCCGCACAACACCATGACGCCCTAACCAGCACAATACCAGTCCCTACCCAAGGCCAAACAAGGGCCCTAAGCCCCAGCTGGCCCCAAGGGCGAGGCAAATGCCGAGCAGCAAGAACCTCTACGGGAATGGTTCCCGAACGCCCCAGGGAAGATAACCCTGTCACGCAGGGGCAGTACTCACAGGGCGCTTGGGGGAAGTAAGCCACTAAGCGCATGCAGCCCCGGCACTGATGAGGTACTCCTGGCCACCGCACAACACAACACACTGCAGTGAACGCCACACGAGGCAAACACCGCCTAGGAAACTGAGGCCAGAGAAGCGTCTATCCCGGTTGACATTAGCTTACGAACTGAAGCTAGGCAGCCAGCGCGGTAGGTCCGGGGCTCCCCCCTCCCCCTCCCGGGGCGGAGAGGGCTGCGCGGACGATCGGCACGGCAGTAAAGTGTGATGTTTGCTTGTTTCCTTGGGATTGTAGGAGTTTCTACCTCTCTGTTTGGTTTTTTGTTTTAGTTTTTTACCATGTGGGGTTTGTTTTGTTATGCCTACCTTTCTGGGTGCCTAACCCCGGCCGATGGCAGATAAGGAAAACCCCAACCACAAGGAGGTTTTCCAGGGCCATTGCTCCTTGAAACCTCTCTGAAGGGGCCAGGTTCTGGCGCTGGTCCCATTGGTAGGTTTGAACTCCTTAGCTAATGTCCCAGTCTAATATAACATACATTAGCCCGATAAGCTCCAGGGAGCCGTAGGGGCTCCCCACAGAAAAGCAAGGCCATCACTTTACCGTCCAGTCCAAGTAGATGGACTTGCAAAATGCTAAATATATATGAATGTTTTGTTTTGCACTCATGCATTTGGGATGCAGCTGACATTCTTTACTTCTGGGCTCTTCTCTGTAGAAATTCTTTAATGGGTATTCCCAGTCTACCTTTTCTGTTTTTCTGGGTACTCCCAGTCACCTTTTCTAAACCACATATGGTTTCCTCTAATGTGAGATAGCTGAATGTCATTGAGATAGAGCTTCAGGAGTTTGAGGGCGGTGATAGGTCTCTCCCAGAAATGAACAATTAAATGTAATGAAATGCCTTTTTCTAGTGGGCTCCCACTAGCTCTTCATCCTGTTTCTCATATTCCCATAGGGTTGAGGGATTTTGTAAGGCAGCACTGGAGTGATGTGGCAGGCTAGCTGAGACTGCTGGTTACCTTAGCTACCATCTGGTGGCAGTCAAGCACATCATGGTTAGGGTATTTACCCCTGCAGCAACATGAATAGTATAGCAAAACAAAAATCCGGGGAAATATCCATGTATTCTGGGGAAAATTAGGATCAGGGACCTGGCCGAAACACTATGCGTGCTAGTGGCTTTACAAGAATGTAAGAACTCTTGTGTCATTAAATAAATAAAAAAAGAATAATCTTGGAGGAGTAATTGCCATCAACCAGTCATATGTTTTGTTGCACTAATAATTTTCTTTCCTAAGGAAGGGAGGGGGGATATGGGGGGAAGGAATGGTTCAATCTGATCCCCAGGCTACAAGCTTTATAGCAAAAAGTAGACTCTGATCCTGGCTTCCAGTAGGTTAGGTTGGGTCACAGAAGCTAGCTTGCTTTGTAGTACCAGATCTGAGCCCAGAAAGCTATTGAAGTGCATATGAGGGAAAATTAGTTGTTTATTATCGCAAATTGATTGCTTTCAATGAGCAAAGTATTGAATACATTATGATGCATAATTCTGAAGTTGCAACTTCTTGAAGTTAGGGCCAAAAGATGAAAGAATAACCATGGCTTATATAGACCAAGCCATTTACCAGATAAAACACCTACCTCTAAGGTCAGCATAAAGTAATGCTGGAGGCCGTTGTGTAATAAGGTTGTCTACATATCGATAAAGATCCTCCTGCGTGAGGTTATCTCTCAACTTTCTTGATTCCTGAATGGCAACCACCGCTTCCCTCAAAAATCGCCAGGATTCGGCAATGTGGTCAACGGCTGGTTGGTTGTGCACTGCAATTAAAGAATGTTTACCAGATAACAGAGGAAAGACACACAATGAAATCACAATAACATGATGTATCTACAGCTGTATGAAGAAATTTGTGGAAGGAACAGTGGGATCAAACCTGGATGCTAGTCCAATCATGCCATCCTGCTACAAATATTTTATCAGATTAAAGATCGTACAAATATTCTGCATTAACAACAGAAGATACATTACAATCTTAAAACAAGTATTGTACTGTACTTCACCACCCATTAGAAGCATGAATTCGAACACTATGTATTTGTGTATTATGCACACAGGAAGGAAATACTACTATAACTACTACTGTATACCATCAACATGATTTTATGCAAGGAAACATTACTCAGCACTGCAAAAAAGTTAGTATCACTTTTTTTTTATAAGGCTCTATTAGTATTTTTTCTTTTAAATCCACCTTCAAGAACTGCATTACAGGACAAATTAAAATAATGCATGGACTATTATATTTTAAGATTTATTACCAATGTGGTACACAAACACAAATGTTTTCTGACAAATTCTTTGTAACACTGAATTGATAAAACATTTTACGCCTCCTGCAAAAAGCCACCATCATTACCAGGTCCTTAACATTATTTGGAGATGGAGCCTACATACTGGCATTATTCCCGACATACCATGTACCCCCTTCATGAATAAAATCGTTGTACAGTACTAACTCACAGGAGTGTCCTTTAAATTTTGCCTCAATGCAAACGTCCATGCAGCAGCCACATGGAATACAGTATTGTATGGGTGGGGGGTGTAGCAGAGTTTGGGGGAGGGAGTACATGGGGGGTGTAGGTTTGTGTGGGTGTGTGGCAGGTATGTGTGACACACTCCCGACATCTAGTGGCCTCAAGTTCTCAATGACCCACACTCATATACTATAATTTGATCATGTTTGCTCTGTTGGTGGGGTGGGGCCCTGGGCTGGAGATAGGAGGGTGGGGCGGCATTTACTACAGAAGTCAATTACAAAATGGTGGACCACCAATGCAGTGCCAGGTATTTTCATTTATTTATACCACTTCTCTTCAAAAACAGCTAACTTTGACAAGCAGGATAACTCTTTCATTAAATGTAAATAACGTTGTGTTTTTTTATGTGTCCCAAACATATTGGTTTTGTGAAGATTTTTGGTGGCCTTTGAACGCATCTCCCACTTATAGCATTGCATCTATAGAAAACCTCACTCCATATTCCAAACAAATGCTTTACAAACACAGTCTCAGACCGTAACTCATCTGTAATTGGGGAACTGCTTGTATATCAAACAAATGACTTCCTCCTAATTTTGGAACTAATGTATTCTTGTTAGGTTAGGATAGGTTAGGTTACATTTAGCAATATGTGGGTAACTGCATTATCAATCTAAATAAATACACATCTGTATTATATAGAGTTCATATGTGGTACAACTACACACTATAGGTTACTACTGTTCTGGACATTATTGGAAAGCTGACCATATCAGAAAAATCCACAGCACTTTCTCAGGAGTAACTCAAGTTCCTTTGAATACTGACTTAAGTACAGTAATTTGAATATGTTTGATGCAGGCATACGAGAGTGTATTCATAACTAATCCTATTTAAATCCAACCATTTTCACGTTTGTATCAATCCTATTTTTAAAGCTAAATTGCTAACCCTCAACAAGGCTAGATGGAAATTTATTCCATAAGAAAATAACACGAGATAGGAGTCATTGCAGCAGGTCTTGTATCCCAATTGGGGGGGCAGCCTCCATTTAGTTCCAACCAATCTTCCCCATGTATTTATTATGTCTATATTTAAAGACAGCTATACCATTTGTCTTGATGTTGGCTAGCAACCTAGTCCACTCATCTACCATCCTGTTCCCTAACCACTTCTGTACATTTCCATATACTTCCTGAACCCAATCTCCTCCAGCTTATAGCCACTGTTATGAGTTGTGACCCGGATAGATAACTTGAAGACTTTGTTTACATCCATCTTTGTAAGTGTTCTTTACCCACTTATAAACTTTTATTGGACTTCCCCTTGTCCTACAAGAATGTCAAGTATGCTCTCCTAATCTATCTCCCTAGCACAGATTCCTGGTAACACACTTCAAGTACTTTAGGAATTAAGTTTCACATTCTATATCGAGTTCTTTCAAGAGAATTTAAGTCTACTGTGTAATATGGTCCCGTAATGCTTCAAGAGATAAGGGTCACAAACACCACCCAGGAACCAACAGGGACTCCAAACTTTGACAGCTGGCAAACTATTAATCTGGTTTCCTACCGTTTAAGGAATGATTTCAGATCACATTAAACACTGCGAACACAGGCCTGTTGTGTTTACATCTAAACAGTGCAAGCTGTTATATATTTTGTCAGTATAAATCAAACTTTGATGAGTAGCAGATTACGCATCACACTCTAGCAAAAGCGATTGCAACTAGCCTTAAATATTTAAGCAGGACCATGTCATCTCCACTAGTCAATGGCAAAAACAATGGCAAGAAAATCTGTGTACAACTTGTGTTGATATGTTGAATTACAAACACACACACACACATACTCCCAAGCCTTAACTTTGACCCCATATTGTCTAGGATATACAACTGTTCATCTTGTAATTAAACTTGTATTAATAGCTCATTGCAACTCATACACCATACAGGCAAGGAAAACTGGCCTGCTGTCTTACCTTTAAAGTTCTTAATAGCCAAGACCTTCTTTTCTGCCCCTTGCTTCTTCCCGAGGACCGTGGTTTTACTAACACCATTGGGAGCAACTGAGAAATTAGCTAGTTTTTGACTCTCCATCATGTCTGTCTGTCGGCAAATTTTCTTTTGCAAGTGAGGACAATCCGGTGAACCCGACGAAAACCTTTTTCTCTGGCCGTTTGTTACACTCTCACTGACAAAGCTTTGCCTCTGAGAAGACATCATATTCTAAGTCTTCATAAGAATCGGTGGCCAGAGCCACTTTGACGCACTAGTTGCACCTCTGACACCACACACAGTTCGCCCAGGTCATCTGCATGTCCTCCACCTGGAAGCAGTCCACCAAGACATGACGAAATCACGAAATTAGGCAGAGAACCGAGTGTCCAAACAGCGGTGTACTCCGTGAGAGCTCCTCGATGTGTTCCGACTCTGCACTCTCACACTTTACCCTTTCAGCAGGGAAAAATTAACCGTCCAGACCAACTCAATATAAAAAAAACGTTTTTTAAAATTACAAAGCTTCCAATTGTTTCAGAATAATCGGCTAGATCATTTCAACAGACCAAGTGAGATAAGCATAAAGTCAAAACGTTGAGGGAATCGGACGGGGGATGAACATTCCGCCTGTCCATGCGTCGTCTGGGCCCGCTGCTATAAGCTCTTCATATCCATGTAATTACTTTGTTTTCCTGGCCTAGCCTGGGATCTACGTGAAGGTCCTACGTCCCATATGCTACGCGAATGACTAATGATTATGTATTGTTTTCAGTTGGCATCTGTGAGGTATAGGTATAAGAGAGTGAATGTGTAGTTCGCCGACCCTGCTAGTATAGGAGCTCGGATCCTATGTGGCCGCCATAAAACACCCTATAGTGAGCCTCTGTACGCTATGGCAGCCCTGGAACCCTCTCCCAGCACGCCTCTTCTGCACACAATCATTCTCTTATGATTCGCAAGACTTCTGCACTCGATTTGGACTAACTTACTGTTGTTGGTATTTAAATTAAACAATTAAGCTATTATATATTTATTTTAGCCTGATTTTGAGTTTCAATAGTGATTTATAGTCCATGGCAGAAGTTGACACACTCCGAGTTCAAGGACACGTTACTGAACCTAATGAGTTGGAATTAAGCCGGGTTGACGTGTAATTTATAACCCCATTAGTGTTAATGATCTTGGGTTAAACATTGTCTCTGATTTTTGTATTTGACTTACAGAAGCCTACTTGTACCTGGTCTAAGCAAACAATTAGATGGAAGAATAAAACAAAGAAGATCGTTCAGAAGGTGCTGGATCAGCTGGGTTGTGATGACTAGGCCTATGTGCTCACCTGTTGGTGTCGACGTGGACTGATATAGCCCTCTAGGCCACGCCGCCCTAGGTATTTGTACCTCGTGCTTTTCAGTATCTTATTTTATTTCTGTATCATGTTAGAGAAGCTGTTGATAGAAGGGGCCAGCAACTTCTGAAGTGCATTTCACTTGTTGATTACCATTTTATCCATAAGATTTGTATATTTTTTAGCTCATTTGTGTTTGAAATTTCCATGTCAACTTGTCTTATATCCCATGACCACCATTTATATTACCCTTAATATTTTATAGGGAATGTACTTGTCTAGTTGTGCTTGTAGGGGGTTGCTCTTCAGCTCTTTGGTCCTGCCTGTCAGCTGTCAATTAACTGGTGTGCAGGCTGCTGAGCCTATTGGTCTCTGTCATGTCTCCATTTGAAATGGTACCGTGCCGCAAGCTGGTTACAGGTTGCAGCCAGTTGTCTCGACTTTGCTTTGAGGAGTATGTTGTGGCCGCTTCCCGGGTAAGTCCCTCGTTTTCCTTGTCTTTGGTTATGTAGCTCCAGGTAGCCGTATGGGCTCCCCACAGAAAACCAGCGTTGCATGTAATGAAATGCCATTTTCTGGGTGAGCCCCGGAGGCTCCCTGGTAACCCTTCCTCCTTCTCATCGGCAGTTTTTCACATTGTTTGATGCTTAGCTTCTGAACTGGAGTGCTAGGTAGCCGGCACGGGGAGGGCTGCATGGACGAGCAGCGTGGCAGTGGAGTGTGACGTTTGCATGTTTCCTTGTTTCCTTGGGATTGGAGGGAGTTCTGCCTCTCTTTTCGGTTTTTAGAGTACTGTAGTTGTAATTTTCTTACCGTGTGGGGTTTGTTTTGTTATGGCTACCTGTCTGGGTGCCCAACACTAGTTGATGGCAGATAAGGAAAAACCCCAACCACAGAGGGGTTTTCTAGGGCCATTGCTCCCTGCACCTCTCTGAGGGTACCAGGTTCTGGCTTCTGGTCCCTGGTAGGCTGAACTCCATAGACTAATGCCCCGGTCTAAGGTATCAAGCAGGCCTGGTCGACGACCAGGCCGCGGGGTCGCTAAGCCTTGAAATCACCTCAAGGTATCACATTAATCGGATAGCTCCAGGGAGCCTCCGAGGCTCACCCAGAAAATGGCATGTCATTACATTCAACTCTGGTTTTTTTGTGTCCAGAGACAAAACATAATTTTTTTGTGCCAGCCTCCAGATGTATCATATTACACCTTGCACAGTATTATCCTTCTTAGGGGTCTACTGGTCTATCTGCCTAAACTTTGTGGATTCTTCATATGCTTGAAAGGAAAAAACTAAAATTTATATTTTAGACTTTATTTTGATAATTTAAATATTATTTTTTATCCTTGTTATTCTCATAAGACACACACATCAGGTTAGAAAGTACAGTATTGGTCACATCATCAAGTTATCAATTGATCATTGAAAAGTTGACTAGTTATGACTCTTATGTATAGAGGGACAATGTTGAACAGTCTTGGGCCCGTAATGTTGACAGAATTGTCTTTGCGTACCCATTGCACCTCTGCATTTGAACAGGGGCATTTTACCTCCTGGTCTTGTAAGGAGTTATTTCAATGTATAGAATTGGAACCAGTTCTTTAATATTTTCCACTTAAGTTATTTTGTAACACTCGCCTGTACTCCAGAGAATACGGATTGATGATATTCATACATCTCAATAATTTAGATGTGTTATTTTGGTGTTTTTCTCGAACAGTGCCAAAGATTAAGGTTTTTAAAGCACCAACGTAGAAATCTTTAAAATTAACCTCAAGTAAAATTTTTAATTTTCTCTTACAATTCCTTGTTGGCCCTGTGGAAAACAAAGCTTGGTTATCTCTCTTCATTTGCTTATTCCACTCTTCGAATAACCAAACTTGAGTACCTTGTTATTATTCATGACACTCATCTACCATTTGCAGTGCTTTGATGAGCATAACAAGAGTTTTGTTTTTCATCCTTATCCTTAATCAGGGTTATCCATGAGCACATCTTTATTTTATATTACAGATTTACAAGTTGCCAACACGTATTTTCAGCCTGCAAAGTTTATGAAATCTGACCACACAGAGGCTTAGCATGCTTCTACTGCCTGCATTCTACAAGCACTCAAGCAGTTGATCTTTTTCCAGCAACTTATTTTCCTCTTAAAGTCATCTTAATCCAGTTTGGAAAAAACTTCACCTCTTAATCCAGTTGATCGTTAATGTTTTGCACTCGGCCATTTTGCATCTAAGCATCGAATACTTTACATTATAGTGTACAGTACGATACCAGTATTGTATAACAATTAGGAATGACAGTTTACTTGAGATTTATTAAACTACATAACACTTTGGCTTCTTTACCTGAAACATTTTGCTAACATAATCTTTGATGTAAGCTACAGTTCTTACTCTCGATATGAAAACTGTTTACTTGGCCTAGCTTTTATTGATAATAAATTCAGCACTACATAAAAACTTGACATCTTTACATTATACAGATAATACGGTAGACCTATATAAGACGTAGGTCTTATATAGGCCAATTTAATTATATCAATACAAATATATTTTCAATATATTTTTAAACTCATTGTGTATTTTACAGTATCCATCCATCCATTACATGCGGGGCCTGGATGTATAACCCAGATATTCGTCGTCATAATTGGAAAAATCAAGAAAACAATCGTATAGTGTACCTTTTAGAGCTGTCCGCATACATATATGCATGAAGAGGAAAAACAGTAGTCACAGATGGTTTTAAGTAAGTTTTATTTTTAAATTTTCATCTACCTCTAGACAATAAATATTTTGCCTTATTATTTGCTGTTATTTGGTAACATGTCTTATATATTAAAAACAGGTTACATAGACCTAAAAACCAAAAATCGGGCTTTAATTACAGTACATTAAAAATACCTTTTTGAACAAGACACACAGCTTGTTGCTAGGAGAAGATTCTACTGGTCCTCTGGGCACTATCTGAACCAGTCAGGTCAGGAAAACACTGTAATAGCATAGCAGGAATCTTTTTCAAGCATCTTATCTAGAGCACACTGGCAATTGGGAGATACTATACTGGAGATTACTCAACTGAACATAGATTTGTTAAGTGTCATGGGTTCAACTTCTAAGTGTTGTGTCAAACAACATGAGGCCTGTATGTATTTTTCATGATTGATTGGCTGACAGTTTTTGTAAAAGTGGTGGTTGTGTTGGTGGTTATCTTGAGGTTGAGGTTATCTTGAGATGATTTTGGGGCTTTATTGTCCCTGCGGCCTGGTCCTCGACCAGACCTCCAACCCCCAGGAAGCAACCCGTGACAGCTGACTAACACCCAGGTACCTATTTTACTGCTAGGTAACAGGGGCATAGGGTGAAAAAACTCTGCCCATTGTTTCTCACCGGCGCCCGGGATCGAACCCGGGACCACAGGATCATGTCCAGTGTGCTGTCCGCTCGGCCGACCAGCTCCCCATGGTGATGGCCGTGGTGGTGGTAATTGTCACTGATGTTGGTCATGTCATTGGTGGTACGTGTAGTTGTGTTGCAGATGTTGGCGTTGGTTCAAAAAATTCAAAATGTTTATTCAGGTAAAAGTACATATATGGAAGATGAGTTACAAACATAATGTTGGATTTATAGATAGAACTAGCACATACAATACCTAAAGCCACTAATACGCACAGCGTTTTGGGTAAAGGAAATGACAAAGGGTTGTCTTTGGTGGTAGTTGTGTCGTTGATGTTAGTGGCGGTGGTGTCGCTGATGTTGGTGTTGCCTGTCATTTGTGGTAGTTGTGTCGTTGGTGTTGGTCGTGTCATTGGTGGTAGTTGTCGTTGGTGTTGGTCGTGTCATTGGTGGTGGTTTGTGTTGTTGGTGTTGGTCATTTCATTGGTGGTAGTTGTGTCGTTGGTGTTGGTCTTGTCATTGGTGGTGGTTGTGTCGTTGGTGTTGGTCGTGCCATTGGTGGTGGTTGTGTTGTTGGTGTTGGTCGTGTCATTGGTGGTAGTTGTGTCACTGATGTTAGTGGTGGTGGTGTTGCTGATGTTGGTGTTGGCTGTGTCATTGGTGGTAGTTGTGTCGTTGGTGTTGGTCGTGTCATTGGTGGTGGTTGTATTGCTGATGTTGGTGGTGTGTCTAGTAGTGATACTGGTGTTGGTACATACCTAACAATGACTATGGAGAAGTGAGGTCTAGCCATGTTGTACCTGTTGTGTTATAATTTAACTTTCCTGACATTCAAATTTTTTGTCAACTCTGGCTTTAAAATTGTGGTTGGACATGGCATTTACATGTCCAACCACACTTCTTCTTCTTTTTGTGTATTCCAATTATTGACCACCTGTACCGGGTACAAATATTTCTTTACTGTTCTTTAACTCGCTTGCATTTTCAGCTACCATCTATGTCCTTTTGTTCTACTTTCTCTCATTTTAAAGAAGCTGTCCTTATCCACCTTGTCAAGTCCCCTCAATGTCACCAACAGCACTGTTGTTGGTGAATATCAGTTGGTGTTAAAGATCTGTGGTGTGTCTAGAGCATCTATAGTGAAAAACCATTTCCTCTTGACATGGCTCATTCCTGGGGTTTGGTGTCTTATTACCTCTTGTACTGTCATCATGACATTACCTGTCTCAAGTACGTTTGTTTTAGTTTAGTTTCTTTTTTGTTTTTGGTGTGTAATATCTCTTAGCCTTATGCCTCTCATTTGTAAATTATTGTTTGTTCCTCCCTGAGGCATCATGGTGAAGGAGTTCTGGGGTGGTACTGAAAGGACTGTCTTGGAGCATTGAGTGTAATGAACTGCCACTTTTTTGGGTTACATCTGAAAAGCTTCTTGTTCCCCCACTCTCCTCTCCTACCAGTTAATGATGTGTTCCTTAGGGGACTAGTAGTCTTACTTTAGGGAGAAACTGAGTATTATAGCTCAAAATTAAAGTACTGTATTAAGCTTATTGGTTAAATGTGTAAGGTAGTAAATGCAATTATTAAATTATAATTTAAAAATTGCAAGCTCTTAAATTAAAAAAAATACTGTACGTTACTGTATTTACATCTTGCTACTATGTATACAAATTAATATATATCGTTCTTGCAATTTCAGTGTTGTCAAGATACTGGCATAAGATTTTAGGAAAATTTGTAAGATGGATAGGACCATGGCCAGAAAAGAAGTGTTACAATCTTTCTCTTGAGGGTTGGTTTCCTCCAAAAGTTGCAGAAACTTTAGTCAGTGGTAAAAACAATCAGTTTTTGCCCGACTTGGCAAGTAAGAACTTAAGATGGTGTTTTTGATTACCTTTGACATACTGTACTTCACTGTATGTACTTTAACTGGATATTAGCTGCTTGAATTAGGACTTCATAATCATGTTAACCAAACCATACACTAGAAAGTGAAGGGACAACGACGTTTCCGTCTGTCCTGGACCATGGACGGTACAAAAGGTACCTTGCATACCTTTTGTCTTGCTTTTTCTTCCTCTAATATTATCTTCTCCTCATCTCTCTCTTGCCTATTTATTGTCTCGACTCCTTTCCTCTTCACAATCGACTTGAGAATGGTCCAGGGCGGACTGAAACGTCGTCGTCCCTTCACTTTCTAGTGTGTGGTTTGGTAAACATATTTCTGCCACGTTATTGTGACTCCTCGTCTTCATAATCATAATTTGGCCAAGTAACTGATGTTTGATACTCCTGACAGATACAAGTGTGAAATATGACCCTGAGCATGAGATGACAGAGGCTGAGGTGAAGCACATCAAACTAACTCCTGTACCTGAAATTTCGACTGAGAAGATCAGAAAGAAGTTTGCCTTGCTCCTCTCCTTCAATGGTCAAGGATACCATGGCTTGCAAACGTTAGTTTGATTTATGGAGATTATTTCATTAAAATTTTTGAAAAGTAAATATTTTGTAATACATAATCTTTTCCGGGGGGGGGGGGGGGGCATACGACTCCCTGAAGCTAATGGGCTGATATCCATTATTTTAGTCAAGAGCTTCAGTTAATTGAAGTTTTGAGCCTACCGGGAACCACGAGCCAGAACCAACCAGTTTCCCTCAGTGAGGCAAAGGGTGCAATGGCTTATGAACACTCCACTTTATGAGAATAGAGTCATGTTTGCCATCAACCAAGGGGTATGACCCAGAAAGGTAGGAGGACCATTTCAAACCCCCGACTGATAAAACATTGCAACCTAAGACCGAACAAAGCCTATTAGTGACCCCTCCCCCCCTCTCCCCGGCGACCAAGCGCTGACACTGGTAGTCGACTGATGTCGCATAGAGCAGACATTATTGCTAGCCTCATTCTCCTGTCAGGATTTTGCCCTGTGTGGTTGTGCATTGTTTGTTTGGGCATTGGCCACGTGTTATAGTGTGCTCGAGCTGCATTCATTTAGGGTTACCTTCCCTTTGTGCCCGGCAGGTACTAACCCTGCATATTTAGGGTTTTCTTCCCTAGGATGTTTGGGATTTCATGTTCGGGACAACCTTGCCCCTGGGGTTCAGCGGAGGTTGTGGGGCTCTGTCTGCCCTGGGTAGGGAGTGTTGTTGTTGGCTGGGCCATACAGTGTTCTGCTCAGCTTGCATAATTGCGGCAACCGTGTGTCTGTCTGGCCTCTGGTTGTTGTGGTGTATTTTCGAGGGTTTCTAGTTTTCTGTTATTTCCTGGAGGTGGTCTGCCTAGCTTCTGATTAGGTTTGCCTAGGTTGTGTTTGGTGGTGGTCCTCTGGGCCCCCTCGAAATTGCACGCATGATGTCTTGGGGTCAGTTTGCCTGGTATTAGACAGGGTTTAACCGGCTTTAGCTACACCAGTGCCTGGGCTTCCTATTGGGATTTCTACTTCTGCGGGGCCTGGTAAACCCTTTGGGGCTCGGTGCAGCTATAGATATGTCTTCCGAGTTCCCACTCGCTTTGTGCGAGTTTGAAGGTTGTTTGTTGCCCTTGTCTCAGGGTGACGATCATCTGTTCCCCCTCCATCATGCTGCTTGTTAAGTCGGGGATACCTACGACCCGGAAATGTGCGAGACTTGTTCCCTGCTCGTTCTCCAGCTTTCGTGTTCTTCTTAGGGGAACTTAGGGGGTCAGGCAGTGGCTGCATTGCAGTTTAGGTTTTTGTTGTTGTGATGCATCTGGTTTGTGGCCCGGTCAGATGCCCAAAGCTGTTCCCTTTGGTTTTAGGGACACAGAATTGGTTGTGTTGGTCGCTTCGACCTTGGTTTTGCCCGCCCGCTTTCCCTGATTCCGTTCTCAGTGGGTGTGGTCCACCCTGCTCCTTCTCCCCCCCTTTTCCCGGCTCCCAAACGTTTGAGGGTTTCGGAGTCGGGGCGGGGTTTAGCTTGGGATGAGGCGGGACAGGGATCTCAATGGCCTGATATTTGATCATGTTTCTGGTCCCCGGTAATCATATGTTGCACTGGGCAGGTTTCCTGGCCCACTATCTCTTCTTAGACCTAATATTTGCTGTCTCTCTCTCCCTTCCTGGTAACTTCCTTGTTTGCCTTTTGCTCAGTGGTTGGTTAGCTTCATGGCTCCTCCCAGAAAACCCATGTTGAATGTAATGAAATGCCTATTTCTGGTAGATCTTTGGTGGCTCCCTGACTCCCATCCTCCCTCTACCGGGTTCATCAGTTCATTGATGTTCATTCAAGCAGGTATTGTGCAGCTCCAGACTGATAGGGAGCTGGCTGGGGGCTCTAGGCTGCCTGATGGCTGTTTTTGGTACTACTGGATTTGAGCTGATTTCTACTGAATCAGTTGTTTGGAATGAATCATTCGTGGAGTCATTTGGTTCTTACAATGCTTCATTTCCTATGAATCTTGCAGTTGTTTGTAAAGCTTTGCTATTTTTTTGGATACCGTACTTTCCCAGTGAAGGTGGAGATGATAGTTTCATCTCTATGAGGGGGACCAGGTTCTGGCTCTGGTCTCCGGTAAGCCAAACGACACTCGTGCAACTGATGTGACCTAGTAGTGGGAAGCCATTTCAGAGGTATAGCTTCAGGGGCATCACCAGGCTATACCAGAAAGAAGCATGTCATTATGTTCAATGCTGTATTTTTTATACATATGTCAGCTCAAGTATATCTTTGTCAATCACCCTCGTGTCATTAATATATAGCTAATATACCTTAATGTCAACAGGAATACGTGTACCCATACTATTGAAAAGGATTTATTTGCAGCAATGCATGCTGCAGATTTGATCACTCGGCAAGAATTGTTCATACCTCAACTTTATTTCTACCAGCGTTCTTCTCGAACTGATAAGGGTGTGTCTGCAGCTAGACTGTTGGTGTCTGCATCCCTTCGTAAGTCAGGGAAAGTGTTATACGTATTTTACTTTGGTAATTGGTATACCCTACAACCTTGCTCGAGTTTGTGGTGGGCCATAACTACTAGGAAGAATTTGCTAAAGGGTAAACATTTGGAGAGCCAGTGTGTGTGGTGAATGCCTTGCCAAGCTCTCTCTGTGAGCTGATTTGAATTGGTAACTTCATAGTCACAGTTTTTGAAGAGGGGGGAAGTAACCCCATTAAGTACCTTTCCTGAGCTTAAGCACTGGTCATTTCTGGTCAAAAATCCTATAAGATTTTTTTATGAATGAGAAGTACATGAGGCTCAAAGATCAACTCAATACTGAAATAAACTGCTCTGAATGTAAAGAAAGCAAGTCACAACGCACTCAAATTCCCTCTGAGAAAGGTTTTGGAATATACTGAGTGAAGGCCTTCTCATAGATATGATGGCTTCTTCAGTTAAAGTTTCCTTGGCTCTTCTAGCTGGCCTGGTGGTTATATGCTACATGCAGTTTCATGAGTGGGCATCCCATTCACATTATTCCTAGTGCTTGCATTCACCTCAGCCTGTGCTGGCAATGATGACTATTCTCTCTCTAAAGTTATCTTTGCTGAGGGCTTCGGTTCCTCCCAGGGGTGACTCCTCGTTAAGTTGATCCCAGGTTAGATAGTGCTTTGAGGTTGTTCCCGGGCGAGACTTGTTGCATGGGGGTTGGTTACTTATGCTTCCAACATTTCTTCTGGTTGCTGTAATGTCTGGTGTATAAAGTTTAGCTTTTGTGGTTGATAATGTAAATGTTTCTCTTATTTCAAATATCAGTTTGTTTTGTGTGTGTGTGTTAATTTTTTGTTTCATTTGTGTTTGAGAGTACAGTATGTATTAGTAAATGAGTATGATTCTGCGTGTAAAAGTTATCCTGCACGTTTTCATGAGAGGAGCATCCCTCCACTCCATGTGGGAGAGAGGACTGAGACTCCATACACACAGGTTGTGTGGTGTGTGCTTGTGAGGTACTTGCCTTACTGTGTGAGGTTATTGACCTCCATTTATATCCAAGTGAAGAGTACTGTATTTGTTAATCTGGTGAGTGAGATTTTCCCTTTGGTGTATTATCCCTTTTCCTGTGGTTAAATAAATGTAATGCACGCGCTTTGAGTGTTTCTCGAGTCCCGCCAATGCAAAAATATGGTATCAGTCCCATGTGGTCTTTCTTGTGTTTGAAGTGTGTATAAATGCCCATTGATTATATATCCCTAGTTTAGAGTAACGTACCTATACTGTAAATAAGAAAGTAAGGACGGGTTTCGTGAGTTCATACTCTAGAGTACGGCTCACAAGTTTCGTTTCGCGAAGTTTCTAGTTCTGCTTGTGTCATGTTCCCTTTCAGAAAATCCAATTGCCTGTGCAGAAGCACCCCTGGAAGTAAGCAGTGGGTTACCTGGGCTACCATCTGGTGGTAGTCAGGTGCATCAGAGCTAGTTTTGTCTGTAGGCGATGAGTCACAATAACGTGGCTGAAGTATGTTGACCAATCCACACACTAGAAAATGAAGGGACGACGACATTTTGGTCCGTCCTGGATCATTCTCAAGTCTACAATCGACTTGAGAATGGTCCAGGACGGACCGAAACGTCGTCGTCCCTTCATTTTCTATTGTGTGGATTGGTCAACATACTAGTTTTGTTTGCCCTGCAGCAATGATCATTAGCATTGTCTGCCTCCAACTTTCTTTATTCCCTCAGGCAGGAATTAGTTTTATTTTGTCAATCCTTCTGGTTAGCTTTTTCTTGGTTTTAGATTGATATCTCATCTCCAAGCTACTCTCTCTCATAAGAGAAAGCCAGATTCTGGTCCTGACTCCCAATAGGGCAGCACTGATTTCAGAGGCCAGGGTCAGGATTCATCAAGCATTTACACATCACTTATGAGACCTGTATATCTCTTCCAATCATGGTTGCTTTGTTTACATTTGTTAAACAGTTTATAAACTTTAAAGGACTACGAGGTTGGTTGTACAGTGACAATAATAACTTTAGATTGTGAAGTTCAAAGCTCGTAAACTGCTTCATAAGTGTAAACAAAGCTAGCATGATTGTTGAAAGATGTTTAGGTTTTGTAAGTAGATGCATAAATGCTTGATGAATCTTGGCCCAGGGGGCACGTCTCATTGTAGAACAAATTACAGCAAGCTACTGATAGCCCATCAGGAAAAGGCGTTTCAGGACATTCTGTACTAGATTTTATTTATACAATTTTGACATTGATCTGCATGAAAATTTTTAGGAATTCATTCTTCCTTTAGATTGAGTGCCAACTGAACTGTATTAAAAAAAAATAATCTCTCTAGGACTGTACTCCACTTTGCAGCTGTTGTGCCTAACGTGGACGAGGAAATCAACAAACACCTTTGTGACCAGATTCGTGTGATGGCCGTGTATCGTGTTTATGAAGGATTTAACTGTAAAATATGGTGTGATTCCCGTACTTATTCATACTTGTGTCCTACTTTTGCCTTTGCCCCTTATTCAGAGGTAGGTTTAAACATTGAAGAAGTTTGAAGAAACAAAATTATATATATATATATATATATATATATATATATATATATATATATATATATATATATATATATATATATATATATATATATATATGTCGTACCTAGTAGCCAGAACTCACTTCTCAGCCTACTATTCAAGGCCCGATTTGCCTAATAAGCCAAGTTTTCCTGAATTAATATATTTACTATAATTTTTTTCTTATGAAATGATAAAGCAACCCTTTTCTCTATGTATGAGGTCAATTTTTTTTTATTCGAGTTAAAATTAACGTAGATATATGATCGAACCTAACCAACCCTACCTAACCTAACCTAACCTATATTTATAGGTAAGGTTAGGTTAGGTAGCCAAAAAAAGCTAGGTTAGGTTAGGTTAGGTAGGTTAGGTAGACGAAAAAACTTTAATTCATGAAAACTTGGCTTATTAGGCAAATCGGGCCTTGAATAGTAGGCTGAGAAGTGCGTTCTGGCTATTAGGTACGACATATATATATATATATATATATATATATATATATATATATATATATATATATATATATATATATATATATATATATATATATATATATATATATATATATATATATATATATATATATATATATATATATATATATATATATATATATATATATATATATATATATATATATATATATATATATATATATATATATATATATATATATAATATATATAATGTCGTACCTAGTAGCCAGAACGCACTTCTCAGCCTACTATGCAAGGCCCGATTTGCCTAATAAGCCAAGTTTTCCTGAAGGGGCCATCTCACCCGAAATAAAAAGTTGTTGTAGGGTATTCATAATTTATTATCCTGATACATGTGAAAGGTGCTGCACATAGGCCAAGTTTCAGCATCTCAGCCTAAATAGAGACGGAGAAAAACAAAAAACAAAAAAAAGACGAATTTTTCAACCATGTTCAAAAAATTTCACAGCCCACAATTGTGAACCAAAATCATTTATAAGACACTCAGCTATGACCTTACTATATAATAAAGATTTGCATGTCACATTATTTTCCTAGATGTATTTAGTGCAATAATACAGATTTTATAAAAGTTTCCCAAAAACGTATGCAACAAAATGAGGTGTATCATTATTTATAAAATCAATAAATCTACGTAGATAAGAATAATGACATGCGTTTATAGAGGCGTATTTTCTACATATAATGTGCAAGTTTCATGTAAATAGAATAATAAATAAAGGCTGTGAAATTTTATCTAGTATTAAAAGTTGGAGTTGCGTAGCGCGCTCTCAAAGTCTACTGAACCTGCGGTCACTCGTGAGTGGTGATTTACGCATTGCGGCCAGCTCGTATGGAGAGCTCGCATGCATCTAGCTGTCAATGCTTCTCTCTTGTTCGTTTGGTAAGTCATATTGCAGTACAAATAGCTAAAAATCCAAAAATAGCATGTTCTGGGAGATATTGTGTGAGCGCGTCAGCATACATCCTCTCTCCATGAGAGACACGCAGTCACTGACTGCACCACCCTGTGTCAGACCATATGTTGTGTTGCCATATGGTTAGTTTATATTCATTTTATGCATAACATGTTATTTTCAACGCTATTACGAAAAATAAGACATCTACAACGTAAGATACAATACCCCGCGGCGTACTCACGGCGCGAGGACCAGATTCACGAAAGTTGCAGCGGGAAATTTGACTCTAATTACGTTATTTTTCAAGATATCATTAAACGGTTTGGACCACAGTGTTGCCAGAACGTTGTAGTATTTTTCGTAATTTTTCGTAAATATTCCATTTTTCATCGGACTTTCGGTGACATGGCCCCTGAAATAATATATTTTCTCTAATTTTTTTCTTATGAAATGACAAAGCTACCCATTTCATTATGTATGAAGTCAATTTTTTTTATTGGAGTTAAAATTAACGTAGATATATGACCGAACCTAACCAACCCTACCTAACCTAACCTAACCTATCTTTATAGGTTAGGTTAGGTAGCCGAAAAAGTTAGGTTAGGTTAGGTTAGGTAGGTTAGGTAGTCGAAAAGCAATTAATTCATGAAAACTTGGCTTACTAGGCAAATCGGGCCTTGCATAGTAGGCTGAGAAGTGCGTTCTGGCTACTAGGTACGACATATATATATATATATATATATATATATATATATATATATATATATATATATATATATATATATATATATGTCGTACCTAGTAGCCAGAACTCACTTTTCAGCCTACAATGCAAGGCCCGATTTGCCTAATAAGCCAAGTTTTCATGAATTAATTTATTTTCTCTAAGTTTTTTCTTATGAAATGATAAAGCAACCCATTTCATTATGTAAGAGGTCAATTTTTTTTTATTGGAGTTAAAATTAACGTAGATATATGACCGAACCTAACCAACCCTACCTAACCTAACCTAACCTAACCTATCTTTATAGGTTAGGTTTGGTTAGGTAGCCGAAAAAGTTAGGTTATGTTAGGTTAGGTAGGTTAGGTAGTCGAAAAGCAATTAATTCATGAAAACTTGGCTTATTAGGCAAATCGGGCCTTGCATAGTAGGCTCAGAAGTGAGTTCTGGCTACTAGGTACGACATATATATATATATATATATATATATATATATAATGTCGTACCTAGTAGCCAGAACGGACTTCTCAGCCTACTATTCAAGGCCCGTTTTGCCTAATAAGCCAAGTTTTCATGAATTAATTGTTTTTCGACTACCTAACCTACCTAACCTAACCTAACCTAACTTTTTCGGCTACCTAACCAAACCTAACCTATAAAGATAGGTTAGGTTAGGTTAGGTAGGGTTGGTTAGGTTCGGTCATATATCTACGTTAATTTTAATTCCAATAAAAAAAATTGACCTCATACATAATGAAATGGGTAGCTTTATCATTTCATAAGAAAAAAATTAGAAAAAATATATTAATTCAGGAAAAGTTGGCTTATTAGGTAAATCGGGCCTTGCATAGTAGGCCAAAAAGTGAGTTCTGGCTACTAGGTACGACATATATATATACAGTGGAACCTCGATTAATGAGCGGCTCTATTAACGAGCATTTCCAGTAACGAGCGAGCCACTCGCAGCAAATTTGTCTCTATTGACGAGCTTCACCTCTATTAACGAGCAAAACCACATGGTGCTTCCTAGCGTCTCGCAGGTTCTCGCAAATTCTTGGACGCCTCCGACGCCAGTGTTGTTGTTGTATCGCACACGACAAGCATTCCTTTGGATTTATTTGCGCTTTTCTTTGTGTTTTTAGTGGTTTTGTGACTACAATTTGTAACACACGATGTCGCCAAAGAAGCTGCTTGCTAAAGATAGTGTTTTCAAGAGGAAGACACAATTACTGTGGATTTGAAGAAGGAAATTATAGCAAAGCATGAGTGTGGTGTCTGTGTGACTGATCTCACAAGGGAGTATGGCAGGTCCTCATCAACAATTTACACCATTAGTAAGGGAATAAGGAGGTAAGGGAGGATGTTGCCTCTTCCACTGAGATCAGGGAAGTGTTGGGAATTTTTGAAAAGGTGAACGCGTTCTTGGAAAAGCTGCTCTGATAAAGCAGTGACAACCCGGTGTGTGAAAATGTTTAATTAATTTATCACTTTGTGAAAGTGTTATCACTTTCGCAGGTATATGTCGCTTGAACGTGACACACTTTTTTCTCTTGAATGCACCCAAATACCGCGCTCAAGTGTCATTTGAGCAAATATTTCTATAAAATCTAATTCTTATCCGATCGACTTGGGGATAGTATAAACATGTTTGCCATGAAATTTCCGTTTTCTCTAATAGCCACATAGCCTATTTGGGAGAAAGGCATTGTAGTGTATCTTCGTGGTAAGACCATTGTGTTGTTGACACGAGTGCAATCGACGTAGTTTTTTATTTGGTGCTGGTCTAACGCATCCTTGTGTGACATTTGAAATGAAATTTGGGTGAAATTCCCAAGAAGAGAGAATCCGTCTGACTCAAAGGTGGATTCTCCTTCCACACCATAACCCCTCTCCTCCTTCCCCAACCCGTTCTCGCAAATTTAATAAGTCAATATTGACTTATTAAATATGTGCATAGGTGACATACTTAACATAATAGTTTCCCTTGAGAAGCTTCATAGAAAACACCGACCTTACCTAACCTACTTAGTATGTTAAGATAAGCATCTTATTGCTTCGTAATTACAATTATTACCTAACCTATACCTATAATAGGTTAAGTAACAATTGTAATTACGAAGCTATAAGATGCTTATTTTAACATACTAAGTAGGTTAGGTAAGGTCGGTGTTTTCTATGAAGCTTTTCAAGGGAAACTATTATGTTTAGTATGTCACCTATGCACGCAACTAATAAGTCAATATTGACTTATTAAATTTGCGAGAACGGGTTGCCTTCCCACCTCCCCATCGTCTCCCTCAAGCCAGCAACTACTCTTCATAAGGTAAACATTAAAACAGTATAACAAAACATTTATAATTACATGTGCAGTATTATATTTACATAAAAAAATGTCATACAAGTATGGATGTTTTTGGGAGTGGAACGGATTAAATTTATTTCCTTTATTTTAAATGGGGAAATTTGTTTCTTAAGACGAGTTTTCCAGATAACGAACTCGGTGCCAGAACGGATTAAACTCGATAATAGAGGTTCCATTGTATATATATATATATATATTATATATATATATTTATATTTATATTTATTTTAAACCGCTAAGCTATTTCTAGTGAGTTCAAACGGCATTGCACCACCTAACACTAGTCAGCTGACGTTGCCACCTGACTGGGCAAAATTCCTCCACCCGACTTATTACGCACATCACTAATTTTAGACAATGCTGCTATTATCAGAATCCTGATCACTAAATCCTGAAGATTAATAAATTTCCACAAGTTTATTTTCTAAAGAAACATGAGCTGCCACTTCAAGATGCTTAGATGTACCAAACAATGGCAGAGTGCTGTGATTGTCTGCTTTGCATTGTGAACATCATGAACAGCATTGTGCTTACTGATATCTGAATACTGTACATAATCTTTATTACAGTCAGGATCTTTTGTGATACTGTCATTGCAAAATAATAGCAGTTCCTTATATATTTCGTCTTTTTAAGTGATGGTGTGGTCACAAGGTGAACAGCAGTGATGTTAGTTCATGCTGCATGCACTACACTTGGTTGCTCACTCAACACCGAGTTCTCCACACTCAGGAATTGTGTCCACAATTTATTTGCAAAAATGTCGTCTGTTTACTGGAGGCCTGAGAAAACCAATGTAAGCCCCCTTGTTCCTATAGGAGTTTTAAATCTTATGTGATATGTTAAATCATCCCTAGATGACTGGCAGAGGATGGTCAGATATGTTGTGGTCATCCCTGTATGATTCGTGCAGAACAAGGGTTAATAATTTGTAGTCTCAAGACATTCTAGGTATAGAAAGACTTATACCAAGCTTAGATAATATAAGCAAATTGCCAGTTTATTGCTTAGGAAACAATTAAAAGAATTTAGTTCCATTTTTAATTTTAAATGATAGTGAATGTTCATTAATTTACACACAATTTTCCGTTAACAGAGAGTATGTGAGGATTATCGAATCAGCCAGGAAGTTTTAGAAGATCTCAGAAAGTTGCTGCATATGTATAAAGGCCGTCACAAGTTTCACAATTTCACTTCTCATGTGTGAGTGTAAGCAGCAGCATTTGCTTTATTAATTTCTTTTGGAAAAAATAATATTTATGTTTTTACTTACTGTCTGCCACCAAAAATCTTCATTAATTAAGGTAGTTGTTGTAACACAATAATGCAGTACTGTACTTGCAAAATCAAAAAGTTTCTAAAGAATGGTTTGAGAGACTGAGTGTGAGCTGGGTGGTGCTTGCTAAATGAAAGCATATCTGTAGTCATGTTTTAATAGGAATGCACCAATATATATGTAGGCAAACAGAAGTTTTTATGTTCTTTGGTACAAATAAGTGTCCTCCACCACTGAATTGTACCAAGACTACAGATAAAGTAGTGGAGATCTGGAAATTTTGATTTTCGAACAGTTTGAAAATTCAGAAAAAGGTGATCTGGATAATGGGGGGTACCACTGTTCTGTAATTTATTTTATGGTTGGGCCTCTGTATAGCTTCCCAGAACTTAAGCATTGGTACTATTTCAGTTGTACTGGGCCCTTATTCCTGGCATGCAAAGACAGTGTCTTCGATACGTGGCATAAGCTGGTCTGACCACTTTAACTGTAGGAAGCTAATGAGCTGGGGTCCAGAAAGGGGCATTTCATTACACTTAATGTTAAATCTTTTAGCTGCATGTTTTATATTGCCCAACAAAATTAAATGGTAAATATTTGTACTTGTTTTATTAATCGCATCTAATTGCTTTCAGAAAATGCCATAGTGCTCGTGCTTGGCGCAATATTATTGATATAGACTGTGGTCAGCCATTTGAGCGTGATGGCTTAGAATGGCTCTCCATCAAAATAACAGGTATAGTAAATAATTCATGAGTTTGCTATTTTCTGGGAATGCCTCGTCAATAGCTGAAGACTTGGCACAGCTAAATCTTAAAAAGCATCTCAGGCCTCTAAAACCCAGGCTGACCCAAAACTAAGGTGACCCAACCAAAAAGGGAGAAAACAAAACAAAAAATCCACACTTGTAAAGAAATAATTCAAATGATGAAAACAAAACAAAGAATTTGTTTGCAACGGGTGAAAAAATTAGTGCTAATTTGCTCTGGTGCCACTGGATGCTGGCCCGGGGCACCTAGTGTTGTGGCTCACAACCCCCCCCCACCCCTCTCTTGCACACACGCACGCTCACTCACTCACTCACTCACTCACTCACTCACTCACTCACTCACTCACTCACTCACTCACTCACTCACTCACTCACTCACTCACTCACTCACTCACTCACTCATTCACCTGCTACTGTGAGGTGATCAATTGCAAAAGGGGTCAATTTGCTCTTTCTTGGCACAGATAAGTGCACTTGGCTATTCCTGTAATTTTTGTTCCATGTTGTGTCATTGCTGTGTTTTTGTTCTTTTCATTCCGTGATTGTGTTTTATACAGTCCATCTTGCATATTCCCTATTTACTGTTTCACTCCAACTTTGGCTCTGGGACTCACTTCCCTGATTTGCCAGCTTGTGTCCCCCTTCAGTTGCCTTGTTTTCTAGAGTTTGTGTACTTGTCACCACTACTAGGTATATCGATAGGGAGTTGATACATGTAGTTAGCTCTATGCTTTTCAGGTGCACTTGGGATAATTAAGTGATTCTTTCTTATCCATGACTTTGAATGCCTTCCCTCGTCAGCTGGTTTGCCAGAGTTGATGTGCACCCAACGGTCAGCTTTCATTGGAGGCTTGTTTTATGTTGATTTTCTCTGCTGGATTGGTCTTGATAAATCTGGTCATCCAGGACCTGGATTACCTCCAGGTGGTGGCTGGGCGAGTTGGGGTAAAAAATGATCGGCAGTGAATGAGTTGCTCATCTATTGCTAAGCATTGTTTGTAATGTTTGATTTGTATCAGTTTTTATTATCTTCTAGTTTTGGTATATTCAATGCCTCCTTTCTTTTCCTTGCAACTCTTCTTTTTTTCAGTTCCAGCAACTTTAATTGCTTGTCATTGCATGTTTTCCAATTTATTGATGTGCTTCTTGAGGTATGGGCACCATACAAATGCTGCATATTCCAACTTTGGACTCAAAAAGGTCATGAATAGTTTCTTTAATATTTTGCCATCTATGTATGTAAATATGATTCTAAAGTTGGAAAGCACAGCATATATTCCTGTCACAATGTTCTTTATGTGATTCTCAGGTGAAAGTTTTCTATTCAGAACCACCCTTAGATCTTTATTATAGAGTAAATCTTTGTATCAATTTTGTTTAGCAATAATGCTTTCTGGTCGTTGTTTTGATCAATAATGGCCTTCAAAAATTAAATATATTGCCTCAGTGGGAGTTGATGTACTTACAGGTTTGACCATTATATCTCTGTGGGTCCATTTAAAACTTGAGAATAATGGAAAGCATTATCATTCCATAAGAAAACAATTGTGAAAAATATAGTATTTCAGGAAAATTTGGCTTGTTAGGCAACTTGGGATATTGGTTCAACATCTAGGGGGGGGTCTTTAGCAGATATATGGGAAAAAAAAGGCAAACATAGTTCCAATCTACAAAAAAATGGTGACAAAGGAACCGCTCTGAATTATAGGCACATATCATAACAAGCACAGTAGTAAACAAAAAAAAAAGTTAAAACCTAATGGATAAAGACCCTGGAGATAAGAACCATACTGGTAAGAAAGTCAGTATGGTTTTCAATGAGGAAGATCATGTGTAACAAATCTACTGTCATCCTCACATCACTGGAAGACAGAAGAGTTAGTGAAAACATAATTATCACCTACAAAATTGTTTAAGGAATTGATAGGGTAGATAAAGATAAACTATTTAACACGGAGACACAGGTGGAAATTTAGTATCAAAATGAGCCACAGAGACATTAGGAAGGATTTTTTCAGTGTCAACATAATTAGCAAGTGAAATGCACTAGGAAATTATGTGGTGGAGGCAGACCCCCATACAGTTTCAAATGTAGGTATGATAAGAGCCCAATAAACAGGTACAGGAACCTGTACAGCAGTTGACTGACAGTTTAGGGGCAGGACCAAAGAGCCTGAAAAACAAAGTAGGTGAATAGATGAATAAATTCTCACATTAAAGTCAATGTTGCTCACAATTTCACTCACATATTTTCACACACAACACTCATTTGTGAACAGTCAGTGTGCTGTATTATACTGTACCTGGATTCCTTTCACTGGGAAATGTTGCAAACTGTTGCAGTGATATTTCAAACAGAACAGAATCCATTCACTGCAATTGTTCTTTTGGTTAACTAGGGTTAAGTTTCGGTGGGGCTCCTACTGCCTTGATATACTGTACTGTACTGAACTGAACTGAGAGATTTTTCTTTCTAGTGTTAAATGTATAAACTATTGCAGTACTGTATTTATGCACTTGATACATAATTGTGGATTTCATATTAACAGGTGAGAGCTTCTTGTTACACCAAATTCGTAAGATGATTGCTTTAACGATAGCAATTTGCCGAGGACTGACTACATATGACACAATCACAAGAGCATTTGAAGATGGGAAAATGGACATCCCTCTTGTGCCAGCTAATGGCTTGGTTCTTGATGATCAACATTTTAATGAATATAACAGGAAATATGCACGTATCCTTGAGGTATGTTTTATATTGTAGATTTGTTTATTTGTATAATTTCTAATACAGTATTATGTTTATAGTATTCATTGTAATATGATCTTGTATGACTCATAGCACCTTGATAACGATAAAGTAAATGAATGGATAAATTTTCAATAATTATTCAATACTGGCAAATTGAAAATTGGCCCCAGCAGAATACCCTCTCAGAGCCCCTATTTAAATGTGATCTTAAGTCTTCATTTTCTCATGTCATCGTGAGAATTTTTATGTATATAATCCTTCACTTTTGCTTTCTATGAAGTAGGTCGGTCGCTTTTTATGTTTTGTGTTTACTTTAAGAGCACAAACACAATTGTTCCCGGTGTGATAATAAGATGCTATATAACAAAAATGGGGAACAACATTCCTGGCTGATAATGAAATTTAGGCATATGTAACGTTAAATATTGTAGTTTTGGTAATAAAACTGTAACATACCTTCAGGCTGATATTTAAGAACATATTTCTGGACTGCTCCCTCAGTTACCCTCCACCTGCCCCCAGGCCCTGAGCTCTAGCCACTACTAGCTAGATGAACCAGTGCCAGGTACCATACCATGAGGTTACCTTGAGGTGATTCCGGGGCTTAGCGACCCCGCGGCCCGGTCGTCCACAAGTCTCGAGCCTCTGATGTTGATAGAGTTCTCTCTCAGAGTACCTGTTGCACCTCTGCTTTTCAGTGGGGGTATTCTGCACATCCTGCCATGGCTTCTGATCTCATGTGATGTTATTTTTGTGTGCAGGTGTGGGCTCAGCCCCTCTGACCATGGAGGGTCTTGCTGCCTGCCTAGGGTCTTGGCAACTTTCCTTTTCACTTTGTACAAGGCAGGGAGCAGACATATCAACTCATTACTGAAGAAAATTTGCTTAAATGCAATTAACGGGGGGTAACCAAGACACTCGAGCTCCCTTTGCAAAGGGTTTTGGAAAACTATCAATCTACAAAAATAAAAAATAAAATGTCCCTTCCATCCCTGCGCACACTGCCACGTTGTTTGGCTGGATGCTCACAGTACGCAAGGTGACCAGTGAATACCTTGGATAAGTATGTGGAATTTCTTTGTTTCTTTGATCCTATGGAATATCATTGGCCCTATGGGCCTATGTTGAGATTATATACCTATAATGTGTTTCTTGTTACCATTATCCGTCTTGGTTTATGTTTCGGAGCCTTATTTCTTGGTACTCTTGTCTCTTCTCATAGAGATATTTTTACTCTGGAGTTTAGTTCCTTATCAGGAGAGACTCCTTTCTAATTGACTTCAGGTCAGGTAATACTTTGGGGTAATCTTACGAGGAATTTATTTTACAGTATTTAGTTGTTAATACTGGTATTTATTGTGTGGTGCCTAGTGTTGGGTCATTTGATTGTTGGCCCTATTCCTTTCTTTCCCATGGGGTGTTTTGGGTTCAGTTATGGCAGGTTGTGAAGGAGGTTCTTGCCAGCTTAGACCCCAAGTGACCTGGATTGCCATCTGGTGGAGGTTATTCACTTGTGGCAACAGTTGTTAACCTAGTTTGCCTCCTATTTCATGAAATTCTTCACGCAGTTGCTCATTTTGTGTTACTCATCGTTTCTGAAAAGATTTTTTGGGGCTTTGGGGAGTTCCCTAATTCCCAAACTTTCATCACCTCGTAAAGAAAGCCATTGTCTGGTCCTGGCTCGTGGTAGGTCAGCATGGATCTCAAAATTTCTGGGGCCAGATTCATGAAGCAGTTATGCAAGTACAATACTTACGAACTTGTACATCTTTCCTCGATCTTTGACGACTTTAGTTACATTTATTAAACAGTTTACAAGCATGGAAAACTTCCCAATCAACTGTTGTTATTGTTATAAACAGCCTCCTGGTGCTTCAGAGCTCATTAACTGTTTAATAATTGTAAACAAAGCCGCGGAAGATTGAGAAAAGATGTACAGGTTCATAAATGTTTGTGTAACTGCTTCATGAATCTGGGCCCCTGGTGCTCTTCCTAAGGCATGGTTTCACCAGAGCATAAGTTACAGGATGCTACTGAGGATCCACCAGTGTGTAAGCTATGGGAGCTACTGAAGACCCACCAGAATAATGCATTTTACTACACTTAGCACTTGATTTTTAAGTATGATAACCAGTAAATGTAATGTATTTCTTTGTAATCTTGTGTATTCCCTCAGCCTCTCAACTGGGACAAGGCAGAAAAGAAAATCCAAAAGTTTCGTGAGCAGAATATTGACTTGATAATTTTCACTAAAGAAATCAAGGAGAAGGAAATGCTTAAATGGCTAATTAATCCACATTTCTTCACTTATCACTTGTGTACTTCCCCGTCAAAAGAGGAGAATGAAATTGATGAACCAAATTCACAGGTAAGTCATTATACCTTTCTTAACCAAATTTAACTACAGCATACCAAATTTAAGTATAGTATACTTAAACTAAATGTCTTTAAATATTGCTGTTGAATTTTTGACAATATTTTTGACAATTTTTGTACACACTATGCAGTATACTTAGTAAAGAGATGATTTTCTTTAGGAATGTGTGCATTAGTGAATAGCATAATCCAATATGAAGTTATTAATTTCTTAAAATTATGAGCCAAGTTATTGCTTTAATAGAAACGTATTTCCTGACTAGATTGTATTGACCAACTGGAATGAAGCTTGCCATTTAACAAATTTTATTTTCCAGTAGCTTCCTATATTATTCCATAAACATACATTTCACTTACAAATATTTCTCCTTTTTCACTTAATGTATATATATATTATTTATACAGTAAAATAAGTATGTGAAATTTTGATCATATTATACAGAAGTATCAATTGAATCCCAAGTCTTGTGTGGTAATAACCTGCACAGACCTGGTGTAACTCCATGAAGAGGACCTCTTTTTCATTTAATTGAACATTTAATTTATAAAGTGCCCATTTAAAATTAGCTTTAACATATTCTCAGGCTTTTCAAACTCATAATCATCATAATTTTGTTATGTGGTCCATGAAGAGTACAGTAAATGTTTAAAGTACAGTGGAGTAAAGTTGCATGGCATGTTCAACCCAAGATTTATTGCTATCAGCATAGGCACATGTTTTAGCAGATTGTAAGTGTGAGAAGGAAATATTTCTTTCCCTTCTTCATTTAAAAATACTGTTGTTTGGCATTCTTTAAAATTTGATATATTCTATAGGAGTGAGAACTTTAATAAGGTAACATTGGGATTAAATGCTTGGCTACGACTCTATATTCTCCAAAAGTGCTTAAAAATAATTTGTTTTGTATTTGTTTGCATCCCCAGGCAACATCTCTTTGGCTTGCACAAAAAAAATGTTATATAGACTGTTTTAGCAAATCCAAACACCAGAAACAAAAATGTTATGATGAGGATGAAGACAAAAATAGATGATTTCTGTTCTGAAGTGGACTATTATATTAACAAGCCCCTGACTGAAAATGGTTATAGAATCCATAAGGCAACGTCGGCAACAGACAGCTGGTATCAAGGCATTATGAAGGTAAAGTTTTATCCTGTTGAGTATAATGGACAACTTTTGAACTATAAGACTTCTGTATAAATAAATGAATGAGAAAATTTGTTGTTTGTTCTCATCCCATTAACACTTTCGCCCGGGCATGACGCAGCATTGCGTCATCTGTTTACTGGCGGTAATACCGGGGATGACGCAGCATTGCGTCATCCACTTTAAATAATCGCCAAAAATCAGGTTTTTATCCGTTTTTTTTGGGACTGGTTTTAAAATGTGCGCCGATGTCTTCCCATTTTCTTTGTTGAGCCTCGTGGCCCTCAGGTGGCTTGGCAAACGATGTCGGCCCATTGTTTTCGCTCCACTGTTGTGACCAATGTCGCCTCCCCTCACATCTCAAACGTGTGAACATTTCGTCTATTTTCCATGGCTATATTTCTTACTGCGGCTTTAGAAACTATCTACGCTTACTCCACGATGTATAGTGATAATGAACAAGGCCCTTCCAGGAAGAAAATTGTGAAAGAAAGGCTTGAAAAGGAAGAGAATTGGGAGTGTAGCTGGAAGGCGTCTGAGTGCTCACTCGCGGCTAACGCGTGGCCCGTCTTCAACTCGTCGGCGGTTGGAGCGTAACCAGGTTTTTATTTTATATGCTAATGTTCCTCTAGAGAATTCTATTGCGAACCCATTGAGACCAAAATGAAAGACCTAGGACAAAAATTGAGGTGACCAGAGTAAAAATAGTGAAAACATTTTATCGCGTTTGCACACTCCTGGGTAACTCATTCGCACTTTCTCTGTTTGCTGCGGGTAATTAGCCGGGCTTTTGGAGTTTATATGCATTTCGTGCTGTAGAGAATTCTATTGCGAACACAATGATACCAAATTTAATCTCGTAGGACGAGAATTAAGGTGACAAAATTGAAGAGTATACACTTTCCAGAATTTACGAGCGCTCCCGTGACACCCTGGGTCCCATATCGCACAGTTGAAGGGTGGCGCGCGTGGTACACCAAAGTGTTAAGCAGGAAGTTGGGTTGGGATATATTTTGAATTACATTTAAAGAAGCGATCACACATTGAATGTAAAATAGTACAGTGAGTAAAATGGTTCATGGGTCATTTATATCATTGTATGCTACAGGAATCAGCTAGAAAATTTTTGGTTGTGTAAGTGGAATAAAAGTATAAGAATTATATAACTTTTTGAAAAACTTGTGGTATGAATTTTGAAGAGGTGATTTTGATCTATAAAATGGCACCCCTAAATTTGTATAGAGATGCAACACCTACTGAGGGAAACAAAATATGGCATTGGCTGTCCCTTTCCCACTATCATATTCACCAACCAATATCCCTCACCAATCCCTACACCAACAATAAGCTCCCTGCCAACCCCTCACCATCCCTCTTATACCACCCCTCCCCACCACCAATCAAAACATCTCTCCTATCCATTGCCCTCACACCCCCACTCCTCCCTGCCACCTCCCCTCCCCACTACCAACCATCATCCATAATTATCTACCATCTGCCATCACTCACAACCACCCCCTTTTTAACCACCAACCTAATCACCACTATTAATTAACCACCAACCACCAATCTCCCCACTTCCCACCACCAGTTAACACCATTCCCTCCCCAATCAACTACTGCCACCATCAACCACTACTACTACTTCCCTACCAACAACCACTACTTCCCTACCAACAACCACTACCACTCCACCACCCCTTCTACCCACCACCAAATGCCACTACAAATTCCCCATCTACCACAAACCTTCCAGAACTACCAATTCTCTCCAGTCAACAACCTGCTGATCTAGTAGTGGGGATAGGAAGCGCTCTGCCACTAGGCATTCTCAGTTGTGGACCTCAATTGAACAAGCTTCGTAACAGCCCAACAGATCTCCATCACCCCCTCCTCATCACCACTACTACCACCATTGAAAGACTTCAAAACAAAAATCTGAGATGAGGCAAAGTTATCTCACGAGTGGACATAGAAATATTACATAATAAAAATAATGCAACCTGTCCTCGGAATACCATAGTACTTACGTCACACTGCTCATAGTTCCTATGTTGCTAATGTTCATAGTTTCCCTGTTGTAGATTTACAGTTATTAGCTATCACCAGGCACCAACCCTTCCTCACGTCCCATAGTACCCGTCCCATCGCCTTGGACAGCATAATGGTCTGTTTGCTCAAATTTGACCCGGCTTGGTGCCTTCTTTGATAATTACCTACTTACTTGCTCAAATTTGAACGATAATTGTAATTTTCCATTCCTACTTCTGTTGTGAGATTTACATACCATTTTCCATCCTATTTGAATATCACAGATCGGCTATATCCTCTTGAAGACTTTTATTTTTGTTGAGAAACCTTGGTAATTCTCAGTAAATTATAAGTTATTCTATGAAATATTATCTGTATATATTTCAATTGGTGCCAAATTATAATACAGTATATACAATAAAATATACTCTATGCAAATTGTAGAAAATGAATTGTACATTATGTATTAAAAAAAATGAATTGGGTAGGGTATACTACACTACTGCCCACATGATACGTATAATAATTACAGTATACAGGTAATTCATTGTGTCGGGGGACAGGAAGCCAGAGTGTATTCCTACACAGTAGACTTATACAGAGGCCCCCCTGCATGGCCAAATTACTGACCCTGGCCAGGATGCAACCCCACAACAAGCTGTCTAACTCGTGAGTACCTACTCACAGCTAGGTGAACAGAGGCATTAGGTGAAAGGAAATGTGCCCAACCATTTCTGTCCCGCCTGGAATTTGAATCCGAAATTCTCGATTGTGCTTCGAGAGCAAATCTGACTGTACTACCGGGTATGGGAACCAGTACCCTAAACAGGATGGTTATGGGGTCCACAACCCCCCACGGGATGGGAATAGGGACCATTACACCCATAGGATGGGTATTGGGTTTAATACTACAAGCGCACGTACTCTGTACCACCATGTGCATCCTTGGGGGACTAGGCACGGCACGGAGACCTCATGGGACAGCACAGAGGATGGCACGGACACCTTCGGGGACTGCGCACGGAGACCTTTTGGGACTGAGCACGGACACCTTCGGGGACTGAGCACGGCACTGAGACCTTGTGGGACTGAGCACAGAGGACGGCACGAAGACCATGTGGGACTGAGCACAGAGACCTTGTGGGACTGAGCACGGAACGGAGACCTTGTGGGACTAAGCACAAAGGATGGCACGGAGACCTTTTGGGGCTGAGCACAGAGGATGGCACGGAGACTATGTGGGAATAAGCACGGAGACCTTGTGGGGCTGAGCACGGAGACCTTGTGGGACTGAGCACGGCACGGAGACCTTCGGGACTGAGCACAGCACGGAAACCTTGTGGGACTGAGCACGGCACGGAGACCTTGTGGGACTGAGCATGGCACGGAGACCTTGTGGGACTGAGCACAGAGGATGGCACGGAGATCTTGTGGGACTGAGCACTGCACGGAGACCTTGTGGGTCTGAGCACAGAGGATGGCACGGAGACCTTGTGGGACTGAGCATAGAGATCAGCACGGTGACCTTGGGGGGGACTGAGCACAGAGGACGGCACAGAGACCTTGTGGGACTGAGCACAGAAGACGGCACAGAGACCTTGTGAGACTAAGCACAGAGGACAGCACGGAGACCTTGTGGGACTGAACACAGGGGACGGCACGGAGACCTTGTGGGACTGAGCACAGAAGACAGCACGGAGACCTTGTGGGGCTGAACACAGGGGACGGCACGGAGACCTTGTGGGACTGAGCACAGAAGACGGCACGGAGACCTTGTGAGACTAAGCACAGAGGACAGCACGGAGACCTTGTGGGACTGAGCACAGAGGATGGCACTGAGACCTTGTGGGACTGAGCACAGAAGACAGCACGGAGACCTTGTGGGACTGAGCACAGAAGACGGCACGGAGACCTTGTGGGACTAAGCACAGAGGACAGCACGGAGACCTTATGGGACTGAACACGGGACGGCACGGAGACCTTGTGGGACTGAGCACAGAAGACGGCACGGAGACCTTGTGGGACTGAACACAGAGGACGGCACGGAGACCTTGTGGGACTGAGCACAGAGGATGGCACTGAGACCTTGTGGGACTGAGCACAGAAGACAGCACGGAGACCTTGTGGGACTGAGCACAGAAGACGGCACGGAGACCTTGTGGGACTAAGCACAGAGGACGGCACTGAGACCTTGTGGGACTGAGCACAGAGGATGGCATGGAGACCTTGTGGGACTGAGCACAGAGGATGGCACGGAGACCTTGTGGGACTGAGCACTGCTCCAAATTTAGTTAAATACTTCTATCTATAAATCCAACATTGTTTGTAATGCATCTTCTATTTATGTACTTTTACCTGAATAAAAATTTGAATTTGAAATCACTTGCTCGTAAGGAGGGAATTGAGTACCATCTCTGAAGAGCCCGAGGGCAGCAATATTTCGTGAAAATCAAGAAAATCTAATTGACTTGAGACAAAGTTAAATAATCGCCTGACATCCTATAAAACTCATCTTGAGACTTGTACTCTAGGCGATCGAAGAGTTCTTTGGGGAAACTGAGACAGGAAGAGCGAGGAAGGTGACTGGAAGTCTTGTTTTGAAGACGAAAGGAGCGCCGAAGACCCATCCAGCATCACATGGTGATCGTGACCTATCCAGCGTCACGGACGCCACTTGTGCAGAATAATAATTTGAACAATGTCATCATGGACATTAATAGTTATTAAAGTGTGTGGACATTTATGCTTTATAAGTTAAAATTAATTAATGTTATTAACGTGCAATATCTTAAGTCAATTAATTGAAAGCAAATATTTAACATGATCTAGTGTTGTCAGGAACTTTGTTGTTTGGTTGCTTAGTCCTTTACTACATATGCTGTATATTGTAGTTGTTGAGTGGCCATTAACAGTTCTTGACTGACAGAAGAGTACTACGTCACTGACAATTCTATTGCAAATGT